GTACCTGTAATTATACTGGTACTCTACCATTCAGACTGGTAGCAGTAGGTGGTACGTACCTAGACAGACTCCCAAGGCAGAAAGGAAGTCCTACCACCTAACAATAGTAAGTAAATGTAAAATCTAAGAACAAAGTAGAAAACATAATGGCTATTTTTTTTTATAGGATAGGGTGACAAACGAGCACACAGTCCACCTGATGTTAAGTAGTTGCTGTGACCCATAGACATCCATATCTATCCTCAATAAAGAATCACAATGCAGATGCATTGTCACCCGTGAGGACTAAGACGGAATGTCTCTTTTCCAGTAAAAAGGGTTTCCGGTTCTCTACACTCACCATACGAAACACAGCAGCACTAAGCTGCTATTTTAAACTGGTATTCTGTGAGAGTGTGGTCCTTCCCCAGTCGAGCCGACCCATTCGTGCTACAACTATACTACTAATATAGCTGCACCATGGCTCTACCACGTAAAAAACTTAATATTAATGAAAGCACAAATTACAGGCTGAGAAGAATTCCATCTTGGTCTTCAGAAGTGACAATGCATTTGCAGGTGTCAATGGACTCCAATAGCCACTCACCATCATGTAGACTGTAAGTTTGTTTGTCACTTCAGTTTGATAAAAAAAAATCAGTTTAAAAAACCTTTAATCAATCATATTATGATTAAAGGTTTTGAAGGAAAAATATGGCAATAGCAAAAGTGCAATAAAATTGAATAAAACAATTTTTTACACATTTTATCACATTTAATTTTAACTTTTAATATTACCGAACATTTTCCAAAGTTTAATTAAAATGCAATAAAATCTGTAAAATTCGTTTTTTTGCCATGTGTTGTTTTCGCGTAAATTTAAGAAATCATTACAGAACAATATAAATTCCATTTACCTTTATTTACACATAAAAAATTCATAGCTGCTATAATGAACTAAACTTTTGATACCAAATTAATCAAAACAAATATTTCAACATATTGCATCATCCACACAACGCCATTGTTGTATGTTTTGGCGCGCACACGCATTATCATACATAGTTTAGCTATTTACGTAGTAAAACTTATCTGAGGCAGATTTCACACAGGGATGGACTTTCAATGACCTATTATTTATTGGTTTAATCACTGTATTCATTGATAGGAGTCAATGTGTTTATTTTAAGAAAGATAATTACAAATACAATTTAAGTTGCATAACTATCAAAAATTAAGCTGATGTCTCTGAACATAAGATACAGGTGCAGTTTGCCCAACCTAAAGTAATGATATGTATAATATTATTATGTGCACTAAACACAGTAGTAATCATCTTCACAGAATATATTATATGGTCATGTTGCATGTACATGTACACACTGGCTGAAACACTCATTCAGAATACCTATGGATATCTAAGGAACTTATAAGAAACAGATAGGTAATTAACATATCAAAACCTAAAAACTATTATTCATATTTGTAACTTGTCCTAAATATTAGATCCAGCAGTAATTCAAACTCAGAACCCACAACTGAAGACTTAGTAAACAACATTTAATTGCCATGTTTATCACTATATAAAGATACAAAAAACTTAAAACGGAATAAATCTTATTGCATTGAGATTTTGATTATATCTACACAACATTTGTACTATAGGGGATGGACATGGAAAATTCCGGAGACATAAGTCTGAAAGCCTCTAATAACATGGTACTGGTAATATAACCATCTCATATTATATTCTATATTATGACAGATGTGAAATATTCAGATTAGTGACAGGTTATAGCAGTCTTTCTTAAAGTGGGTGATAACGCCCCCTTGTGGGTGTTGGAGACCTAGAGGGGGGAATTATAAATTGATACATCAATATTATAAAGATAAAAATTCGCCAGGCGAGTGTAAAATACCATGTTTTTTTCAGTTTCATATAACTTATGTAATAAAATAGAAATTAATAAACAATATCACTCTCTACTTTATTTATATACCTCACTACAACCATATATTTAGCAGAAGAGTGCTTATGGGCTCATGAGAATACTTGATATTAGTGTACAGTGACTTGGTAACTGCCTTTTTCTTACAAAGCAAGCTGCTTAATGAGATGCGTGTTAAGTTTGACTGGCTAAGACCAACGTTAGTGTAGTTTCTTTATTAAAATTGTGGGAACTCTTTAAATATAGTTAAGCTTTTGAACAAAAATAAAAATAACTGTTCTGATCTACCATGCATATGTAATCAATATTGCACTATGGACATATAATTTGGGATAAAGCACTGATCAAAGCATTTAATGCACAAAAAAAATGTATCAGAGCAATATGTAGACTTAAACCAACTCTATCATGTCAACAGGTGTTTAAGAAACTTGACTTATTATCTTATTACCCTTACCATATCTTTATATTTATGAAATATGCATGTTCCTATGGAAGCATAAATATTTATGTAACACAGCAAATGATGTAAATCCTCCAAACAGGTGAAACTCATACAAGCTCATTTTAAATGACAATCTTAGAATAAGTAAATATAATAAAAACTGTTTATCTATGTGTATACATTAATATAACAAGCTACCATATAATCTTAAAATGTTAAATACTAGATTATTTAAATCAAAATTACAAGAATACCTAATTAAGAATAGTTTCTACAGCATTATGTACTTTTTTAATAATAATGCCTTAATATACAAAACGAAACTGTTGCTGTTTTGCAACAGTTATATTATATACTATGTAAAGGTTTTGTTTTGTACATTAAGGCATTATGATTAAAAAGGTTCAATTTTATAATATTTGTAAAACCTTTTTCATACCATGTTTTAAGCAAATAAATATTGCCTTGGGATAGATTTCCAGGTAGAACAAGTATTTGAACATGTTACAGATAATAATTCTTCCTGCTTTTGCTATTTGTGTGTGCAGTTATATAAAATGTCTCCATGAAATTCTTAATTGTGAATCGGGAGAGATTCCAGGTAAAAGACAATTCTTTCATTAGATACTTGTCTTATGTACATTACATAAATAAAATGTTTAATTAAAAGCTATGTTTGTTCTAAGAAATAATTGTAAATTGAAATAAATGATAAGGTCTGCCTGTCCAGTATAGTATGGGCACATATCAATGCATGCATGCCATACAGTTCATTTTTGGAGAGGCTTATGGCAGTCAGAGGACTAAAAGGGCTTGTGATGCAATAGTGATAACACAAAAAACACAAATATTTATATAGAGATGAAAGGGGTAGTGGTTTTATTGAATACTGAATATCTAGCAAGGCTCTAGGCCGGAGTGCCAAATATTAAGTTTAACCTGTACCTAAAAGTTTCAACCTGTAAATCACAACAAGTGACCCATTATATAAAATCTAAATCTACATCCATTTAATTTACGTTTATTTATATTTGTCATTATTTACCACTCTTATAGAATTTTATTTTTATAAAGAAAGAAATAAATTCACAATGGCCACATAATTACAAAATCAACAAAAGGTGGTCCCAGTATTACTACCAATTAAAGAACAAAAAGATCCCATGTCAGCCAATATCATTTCAAGGACAGCTGGATCTATTAATAGAATTAAATGAGTGCAGATATTCATTGTAAAGCTAGAAGAATGAAGTCTTAAGCTGTACACAGATAAAATGGTACTATATCATCTGCCATATCACATACATGGGCAGTTCTCATTGCCCAGAACATCGACCAACACTAGCTAAGCACGCAGAGATGGGGGTTCGCACACCCCCACTCGGACAGCAGTTAGATAGCTCAAAAAACCTTAAAAGAGGGTATATGATGATTGGTAACCATACCAAATCATAAACCAACATCACCCTCATCCCCATCATTGCCTTTTGCTTATTTAAATAGTTTGCGGCCTGTAAGCCTTGTCATATGAAGCTGTAAGTGGCATAGGCTAACAGCACTTACATCACAGAAAATAGATGATGAAATCGATACCATATCACAGATAAACATATACTTAGACAAGACAAATACCCAATAAAAAGCAGTAGAGGTCGACCACCAGTCACATTTATTGACAGTGTTATATAACATGACTAATTTAACTGAGGTGTTTGATATATGATATAAGATAATTTAACATATAGCTATTTACCAACTTTAGTGCATCAGAAAAATATAAGGTCAATTATTATGTACTTAACTCTTCTTTTTTTAATTTTATGACTAACTGGTTAAATAATATGAGGCAAGCATAATATTATAAACAACATATGTTTGAATATAAACATAAATGAATATAACTAACATGGTCGAAATAATTCGACACTATAGAAAAAAGTCTAAAGTGGGTAGGTATAAACAAATGCAATGTTTACAAACAAAAATAACTATTAAGAAATATAAAGAGATAAGCACTCACCTTTTTGGCAGCAGCATAGCCGCCGATCCCTTCCTTTGGAACACACCGTCCACGAGCACGCCATTCTTGCTGTTACACGTGAGATAAAATTCCGGATGATCATAAAACAGTTCAAGGTGTCGGCGAGAAATGAAACTTGAATGGCCCATGTTTACGTCCACCTGACCGCGGCTCGAGTTCCGACCTATTATTACGCGTTTTTGGCGAATCAGGTACTCGAAGTCCCGACCATCTAATCTCGCGATCGCAGTGGGCGCCGGCTCCTGGGCCCACTGGACCTTGGACGGCGAGGCAGGCGCCGACTTGAGCGCGAGCAGCGCCCATGCGTCGCTCTCAGAGCTTCGCGTGAACTGAGTTTGAGCCATGTCCGGCGCGTGTTTCATCAACGCTGTCCCGCGGGGCGCACACCCTTGCGATGGCACATCACAGCTCCAACAAACCACCCGGATATCCGGAAACTGCCGAATACGTCCCCGTTCTACACTTTGAGGTTACTGATGGGACGCACATGCGCAAAGTTTCTACTAGTGCGGTAAACAAGAATTATATAAATCACACAACCACGTGATAAAACTGTATACATATATCTAGGCCGGAAGCACGGATCGATACTATTCAGTGTCAAGACGCGATCCTCAATCCAATTATTAACCTTTGGGGTGTTGCACAACAAAATTTTCGCAATTGGACCGAAATAAGACACTAAAGTAAACACGAGGTGAGAACAAAAATAACCAAAAACGTCAATTCGGCATACGCAGTTTACAAGTCCGGTGCGCCATCTGTAAGGTAACAAAAAGCAACAAATTAATATTGTTCCAATGTACGCATCGGAATGAAACCTTAATATTTTATATTTTTGTTTTGAAACAAAAAGCATTTTGATTTTAGCATTTTTTGTAACGAGTGGTGTGGTTATTTTCACAAAGTTTTAAATATATCGTGGTTAATTAAGGATTTTATTTTAATTAAATCCATGTGATATACTAATGTTAGCGTTCTCTCACTTTATTGCGTGTAACGGTACAGGCTTGAAAATTGTAAACAATTTTCTTATCATGGTAGGTCGCTTTTTATCAATGACAATTATCATTATTTATAATTTCTGTTTATGACAAAAATATCATTAATTAATAATCAAGACAGGTCTATCTTCAATTTAAAATATTTCGGGTATACAGATAATTAAAGTAAGGAATATACCGGCAAAGTGCGAGTCGGACTCGCGCCTGAACAGTTCCGTACCAACGTAATACACGTTTCTAGTAGGGAGCCCCTTTTAATTTTTAATTTTGATTGTTATAGGGGTAACAGAAATACACATTCTGACTTTGTAAAAATTTTAACTGTCTACCTATTACGGATCATGAGATACAGCCCGCTGAAAGACAGATGTATGGACAGACGAACGGCAGAGTCCCGTCCCGTTGGTTACCCTATAATTATGGAACCCTAAAAAGTAAAATTATAACATATACACATATCCCACAGCTGGACACATGCCTCCTTTCATATCTAAGAGGTTTTTTGGGACATGGAATGTCTGCTGCTCTGTCCCAATACACGTTTGCGGACTTCACGTGTCTTCGAAATTCGAAATATTTTTTTAATATCCTTGTCCGAGACATTAAAAAAAATATTTCGACTTTCGATTTGCAAGTTTCCTTACGATATTTTCCTTCACCACCGGGCACGTAGTAAATGGGCACTAAATGGTAATTATCAATTTCATTGGTGCCCCCGGGAATAGAAACCGGGTTGCTCGCGTACTATGAAATTTTTCAGGTAATTAAACAACACTGAAATTTACAGTAATTAATTTTAAATAAAAATACCGCTTTTTTAGATAGTTAAATTCGTCTCTATGTGAGCCGCTCAAGAGCACTTTGCTCCTCCTCACTTTTTAACCGACTTCAAAATGGAGAAGGAATTCAATTCGTCTGTATTTTTTTTCTTTTTTAGTGTGTCACATGATAACTTTTTCCTATGTGAACTGATTCTTTTTTTGATCAAGGTCTAACCAGTATTTACTTACTTACTTATCTTCACGTACAATCCCTGACGGGGTAGCCAGAGAGAACAGATCGCCAAGTGTCACGATCCTTACATACCTCTTTCGCTTCTTTCAGATTCATTATCTTCTTCATACATGCACGTCTAGGTATCCGAGTACTCTTGACCCTACCCTCTTCGAGCAATTTGCTCACATAGTCTTCGAAAGTTAGTCTCGGTCTACCTCGACACCTTTTAATATTAACTTTCGCGCTATATATTTTCTTCACCATTCGGTCTTCACTCATTCGCTCAACGTGCCCAAACCACCGAAGCACGCCCTTATCAACTTTTGTGATAAGGTCATCTTTTAAACCTGCCATATTGCGAATCTCTTCGTTTCGCTTTCGGTCGGCCATGGTAACGCCGCACATTTTACGAAGAGATCGCATCTCCACTGCATTCAATTTGCTTTTATACTTCTTCTGGCATACCAAGGTTTCGCTGCCATATAACAAAGTCGGTACCAACACTGCGTTATGTATTGCAAGGCGTGCACTCTTCACTACGCCTTGCCTTTTGACTAACGCAGTCAGGGCACCATTGACTTTGTTCCCGGCAGCGACATGCCTGTCCACATCTAAATCACATCTTCCATCCCGGCTAAAAGCACTCCCCAAGTATACAATTTCATCTACTTGTTCTAGACGTTCCTGATTTACCCATATTTCACACTTCGTTCTCTCTTCGTCCCTTTCAAATACCAGAACCTTAGTTTTATTAGCGTTCAAACGGAGACCTTTAATTTCACATTCCTCTTTCATACACGTGACTAATGCCTGCAGTTCTGCCTCTGATGGTGCAATAAGCACTGCATCATCAGCATACAGCATACTGCTGCTGTAACTAGTATTTGTTATCCTTAATCATTTATTTTGAAGCCGGTTGTACCAATATTTTGTTAATAAAAATTTATTAAATTTTGCAATTTACTTATTAGTTTGTGACCCTACAAAACGTTTGTACGGATTTGAAGCGCTGTCGTTGAGTATACCGGGAACTAAATTTGACATAAATTGCATTAACATAATAGACGTTTATTTGTAAAGTTTTAAATGAGAAAATGAGTGTGTTTGATGAGTGTATGGCCGTGAAAGGAAAAGGGGAGATCTCCCGCCGGGCAAGGTGTTTTGTCCGGGGAGCGGCCAACACTTCGAGTGGTAGTTCGGTGTTCTGCCCGGGGAGCGGCCAACGCTCCGAGTGGTACCTCGGAGCTATTCTATATATGCTGCTTTAATTTCGGAACTTTGTTAGCGCGATTTAGGCTTCGATGTGTTTAGCTTGTGGCGCGACGACAGCGCCGCCACATCACCCCCCTGCTCAGACCGGAGGTCGATAGTGCAGTCCGACTGCCGGTGCGTCCTTAATGCCGGTGGGGAATGCATGCTGTGTTAAGGCCAAGTGACGCCGGTGCGAACGATATGCCGGTGTGTAATGCATGCCGTACTACGCACTTGCATGTGGTGCCGGTGAGAACGATGAGCCGGAGCAATTGCCAGGGATTGCCTTGTAGTGTGCGGTGAGTCGAGAAGAAGGCAAGTAATCTGCGAGAGTGCCGTGAGCAGAGGCGAGCAGTAAGGCTCAGAACCGTGCCGAACACTGTAGCGCAGAGAGTAGCTTGAAGGAACAGGAAGCATTATTATTCCAGTGCTGCGATGAACCTTTGTAAAGCTAGATGGCTTGCAGAATGTTAACACTGCAGACAATATCTGCTCGGGAGCGAATGACTGGGGTACTTGAGGATGATGAAGAAGGTTTGAATTTGTAGTTTCCGAAGATTGTTGGTTGTGTGTTCAGATCACGTCGGGGTCACCACTGTAGCCGGTGTAAGGAAAAGGGGAGATCTCCCGTCGGGCAAGGTGTTCTGACCGGGGAGCGGCCAACACTTCGAGTGGTAGTTCGGTGTTCTGTCCGGGAAGCGGCCAACGCTCCGAGTGGTAGCTCGGGGCTATTATATATATACTGCTTTAATTTAGGATCTTTGTTAGCGCGATTTAGGCTTCGATGTGTTTCGCTTGTGGCGCGACGGCAGCGCCGCCACAAGTGTGTGAAAAAGATGTGGTTTTCTTTGTACCTATTCTATTTTCAACAATGAAAATAGCTGACAACAGATAATTATCAAATATTTATTAATTTACAGACTTTCAACTGACTCTATACCAAAAATGTGATCAAAAAGCTTACAAATTGTAAATTAGCGTCCAAAGCAAATTGATTATGACTGGCTGACTGATTATTACTGGTATAGTATTCTTTAATGTAATTTAAAGCTTGGAAAATTCTAATTGTACCTATAGATATAATTGAAATAGGCATAATATTTTGGCAACTTATTGATTTTTTCTATAACGAGGAATATATATTTTTATTTTGTAGTTACCAACCCCAAATTTTTTTCTACTCATTGGATCTTTTTAGACCTCTCGAATAAACCATAGGCATACTCAATATTGAAACCCGGAACAAAACCCGTTTTATACTTACGAAGGAAAACGTCGATAGACTAACATAGCGTAAATTTTTGTTTGATATGAGGTATAAAGCTTGTGTCTGAGATAAGTATTAGTTGATACATTTATTTATTGTATGGTATTAAGTATACAAAATAATATATAAATAGAATGGGTTTAGTGTAAAGGCCTGGGTATACAATTTTTATCGATATATTTTGTCACACTGTCTGATCTCTATTATTAGTTCAGTGGGCTCTCACTTCTGCTATCAGCGCCAAAATGGCGAAAATCAAATCGCCCCATTATGTGACGGCGTTTATCCACTCTAACTTACTGGTATAAATACTCCAAACTACTGGTACCAGTAATTTGGAGCAACACTACTGACCTCTATTATAATAGAGGTCTGTAGTGTTGCTCCAATATTTTCATAATAATAATACAGTAACATTAATTGAATTTAATTGTCGTACATTACTAGACATAATTTTACATTTACTTTTAGCTATAAATATATAAAATTATACTTATATGAAACATTTGATCTAAACAGTCAGGGATAAAGAATGGGATTAAAAATGTGTGGCTCATCATGCCCATACCGTCACATTCACAGTACCAATAGCTAAAACTTGTTAATAACAGTATGTCGTTATAACATCATATTATTAAGTTATATAACATTATATTATTGGAAATTTTCTATTAATGGTAAAACTATTAAAAAAAAAATATACGTAAGTAGGTTTTTCATCGTATTTATTTTATTTTATCAATATTTCTATTTTAATAATATCTCTAAACTTCTTGGACAAAATTTAATCTAGATCACTCCTGGTATTTCCCTCTATTTGTTCGTGAACTTTTATTACAATTGATTCAGCCATTCCCAAGATAAGCTCGGATAGACAGACAACCGAATATTTTAAAAGGACGGCCAAGTGAGAGTCGGACTCGCATTTGAAACTGCGCGAACTCACGCATGAAGGGTTCTATACCATCGTAAAACACTTTAATAGTAGGGGAGCCCACTTTAATTTTTAATTTGTTTTTATTTTTATAATTTTTTTATTATAGTGGCAACAGAAATACACATTCTGCGAAAATTTCAAGTGTATCTATTACGAATCATGAGATACAGCCCACTGACCGACAGATGGACGGACGGATGTGCGGACAGCGGAGGCTTAGTAATAGTAATAGTTGATTACACTTTGGGTACGGAACCCTAAAAATGGTTACTAGTGTCTCAATGGCATGTAAATTAAAAATATTTTATACAAAAATATTAACAAACAAAATCAACAATAATTATGAAGAAAACTCTTGAAACGCATCTAGTTCACAAATTAACGAAACCGGACTGATTTTATTGTAGTTATGGTATTTTGTTATCATTGATGCCAATGACAAGTATGACTGAAGCGCAAACTAATAACAAGTACTAGCGCATACTGAAGTTATGAGATATACGAAAAACGCATATCACAACGTATTTTTTTGTTGTCTTTATCGGCTGGTGTGAGTATAGATAGCGATAGTGTGCGAGCAAGAGGTGAAACTAGAAACGACGCCATTTTCATTTCCACATTCTTTAATTGCACGGGTAGTACATAAAATATCGATTATGATTATATCACTATTACCCCGATTTCATCTTGTTATATTAAATAGGAGAATCTGTTTAGCTGTTTTGGAGTGATTATTTTATAATAGAAATTAACAAGCCTTGAAAATTAATATCCTTAACCCAAATCAAACTAAGTATTTGTGTGCTACTGCATTTGGAGACCTTAGTTATCAAGTCTCTTAAGCAAATATTTTGCGTGTAGGCAGGAATTAATGTTATTCAAGCGATCATAACTTCTTGAGAATCTTTACAACTTTTCAATATTGCCCAAGATCTCGTGTAGCCATTCCGGCAGATAAATATATGTAGCCCTGCAACAGGCAACCACAGTAGGCGCGACCGGCCGTCTCTTAATACTGTCCACAGAACACAATTACTCTCTACCAAGAGGTACTCTCCGTGACACTGACACCTATAGTAATTAAATATTTAGATAGTAGTAGATCAAGTTGGACGAGGCGAATAGTGTAGAGAGGTACTTCGATTCACTTCGTCCAACCTCGCTTCATCTCGGGCGACTTCCGATCGCTGTCGGTTTTTTGCGCCAGAGTCAAAGGACTTAGCGAAGTACCCCGAAGGTACACGAAGCGTCTCACTACACTACTCGGCTTACGCCAGTTATGAATATATTTTTTTATATATAAATATTAAATATGTAGCTTTCTACATAATTATTTATTTAGTTAACGCATTAACGTCGTACTGTTTACACAACTAGTTACCTATAGCAGCTGCCTATTAAACGACATTCATGTTAAGGGTGCGGGAGACTCAAGACGACTGAGCTCTTCGCGAAGTAGCACGAGGGTGTGGTTACGTTCTTCGGACTGCGATCGACTTAGACGAACACTTCGTCGAAGTTACTTCGCGACTAGTGTAGAGGAAGCATAACGACCCATGCTCAGTTAGAATGCCGTTACAGTTAAAATACAAGGTTTGTTCAAATGAAGCAGTAATTTGGTAATAGTGGGCTAAAAAGTATTGATCCGACTGCCCTTATGCAACTCAGTATGGTCAGTTAGATCTATTATGATATTAAGGAGAAAATTAACAATATTACAGCATTTTTGGACATTCTTTTTGGCTGAAGGCCTGTAGCCTATATCACAATAAACATATTTTAATTTGACTTCCGGTTTATATGAAGTAGGTACTTACATATTATATGCACAAGCTAATAAGCAGTGCTAAACCTATAATATGTGAATTTGACTTTGATACAGGTTCAGAATGGTTAGAACCCAGAGCCGTAAAGCCAGTTATAAAAAAATTACTTTGTCATATGACCTTGTTTCTATTATTGTTTATATATTTTTTTAAGTTTATATTTAAAAATTTTAAGAAGAATATTTTTCTGCGGTGTTAAGTTTTTCTGGATTAAAGTATATGTACAAGTAAGTGTTATTAATTTTGCAAGATTAATTGATATTAATTTCTAATGGTAACATAAATGAAATAATAAAGTTAAGGTATATTTTTTCCTTTAAAAAATATTACATACAATTACGTACATTTAGAATCAAATACAATCTAAGAGGAGCACTTTTTATTTAAAACCTAAGACCTCTTTAATAATCAAATGTATCATAATTTTGTGGACATAGTTCATAAAAAAATAAAGTAACAACCGATTCATCAATTACATTGTTATATTTTTCTGACTTTAAAGCAGTATTGATGCTGTTATGAGTGATAATTGTGCAGACGTAATCCTATTCCTTCAACTAATGAAAACTAACTTTTAATTTACAACGGCACCCCACAGCCCCACTGATGTTTGCAGGAGTACATCCTTTAGTAATAGAATGATTTATATCAAACCTGTTCATTTTATAAATCTTCATGACATAGTTGTATAAATCACAGTCTTATACTGCTATTTGAATATATATTATATAACACCCCATTATATCTTTACTTACCATAAATAGGGTAAGAGTTAATGTATTTATGCTGTTATTTTGCTTATTCATTACTAGCGACAGTCCCTGGCTTCGCCTAGGTTGTGTGTGGTGTTGTTTAGATTTTTTAAAGCTATCAATGATCATTTATTTAAAAAAAAATACTATTTCACGAAAAATTCGAAGTTTACTTGGATAAAAATAGCTAAGATCACTACCTTGCATTGCTGTCTATATGTTTGTAAAGGTTAATCACAATTGATTCAGAAATATATTTCAGAAGACCATAAATAAAAAAAATCATTTTTGGGTCATCTTTGTAACAATGGCAACTGAAATTTTGTTTGTTTGAAGGGGTATTCATGGAAGGGAAGCAAATATTTGTTTACCAATCAGGTTCAATCTACGCCAGCACTGATAAAATAGTTACTTACAAATTTAAGTGCTGAATTTCTTTGTGCTGGGCAGTGAAGAGAATCACTGAGGAAACCAGCGTGTCACAAAAATAAAAATTTTGAAGACTGTGCCCAGCTGTGGCACTTATATGGACCATAACTTTACTTTTACTTTTGCAAAGCCGGAAAGGGACGCCCTAGACGAAGATTTATCGACCAAATCGGCGATACATTGAAAATGGGCCAGATTAGGAGTACCCTTAACCTACGAGCTTGTATGCGTAAATATATGGATGTAAAGGAGGCGAGAGAGGTGTGTCAGGATCGCGCCAAATGGAAGTCCGTAGTCTCTGCCTACCCCTCTGGGTGACAGGCGTGAGTGTTTGTATTGTATGACTTTACTTTTTACTTTAATTTTACCTCAACTAGGTATAGACTCAAAAAGTTTTTATTAAGCAACTTGCCTGTTTTTGGCTTGGTTAAGGCCTCACTTTGTGTAATACATACACACAATACTTGAATTGAATTTTGAATTGAATAAACGGACTGTTTTCCGCAACTCCATGTTCAACTGCGTATGTTGGGTGTGGATAGGAATAATGTATTTATTTGAGCCATAAAATCTCCTCGAAGAAGTTCGACAGCCCTTTGATGTTGCAAGCAACTTCGGGGAGTGATCCCGGCATGCCGAGATGTTTAGCCCTATATACAGTGACTCCTGGACACATCAGCAACATGTGGGCCGTCGTTTCTTCCTCCCCCATACATGCCCTGTGCAAGGCGACAATCCATAACACCTATGGTAAATTAATGTTTGTTAAAGTTACCGTGTCCTTTGATAGCACTTGTTACTATCCTGATCTGCGACTTGTTCAGTCTCATTAAAACTTGCTTAAGTGACTGTTTATTTCAGGCAGGTCCTCCCTAGCTTATCCATAGTCTACTAGATTTGACCAAAGTTGAGCGTGTTGATTAGTGTAGTGTCTACGTACCAGTGAACGAATATTACCAAAGGGGATTGGTGTGATTGGTTCCAGCCCTATAGTGGCCAGAACCGATCCTCTTCTGGCCAGTTCATCTGCTACATCGTTGCCGCTGGATCCACTGTGTCCCTTTATCCATTGCAGACTCACATTGTTGTGTTTACCTACCTCATTTCATCGTTTGTGGCATTCATATATTAGTCCTGAGCTCACCACATTGCAGATCAGGGCTTGTAGTACCACCCTACTGTTGGACAGTATTGTGATGGAGAAGACAATAACCTTTCTAGCATCTATTGCTATGGCCGCTTGAATGATACCCATACATTCCACCTGAAAGACTCTGTTGTAGGTACCCAGCGGTGTGCATATGTCGATCTTGAGGTCTTCCGAAAAATTTCCAAATTTAAAAATTTAAAAATACACCTTCATTTGTTTTAGAACCATCGGTGAAGACTAAGCTCTTTTGGGCTAACACCCTCTGGCTGTTTGGTTTTATTTAATTGTATCTTATACTTTTTATCGAATATAAATTGTTTATGGATCTTATCATACTTGGCTTGTAAGATAGGAAGTTCTGAGTGAATTCTATCAATTATGCCTGTATGAGGGACTCTTGTCCCTTCTTGTTGTATGTGTAGATGAAGTGGGGTTAGCCCCAGCATCGCCTCTAAGGCTGCTCTTGGCGTAGTTCTTATGCAGCCTGTGGCAGCCATACATGCCAGTCTCTGGTAACGCTGAAGCTTCTTTATGGTGGTGGCTTCATTTGTTTTGGTCCACCATACCAGAGCGCCGTATGTGATCATGGGCCGAATTACAGTTTTGTATAGCCACAGTATGATTTTTGGTGTCAGACTGCATCTTTTGCCAATCATGTTGCATTTCCAGAAAGTTATACTAGCCTTGTTGATTTTGTTTTCTATGTGCTTATGCCAGTTGAGTTTACTGTCCAAGGTGAAACCTAAATATTTTACCTTGGAGGATAGCTGGAGTTTTGTGCTGAAAAGACTTGGGAGATGATAGTTATTCAGCATTCGTTTTTGTGTGAACATTACTAGAACCGTTTTATTTGGATTTACGGTTAAGTCGTATTCCTTGCACCATGACTCCACTATACGGAGAGCCGCTTGGGTCAGATCGCACACCATGCTTGCTGTCTTTCCAGAGACCAGTATTGTCAGGTCATCAGCATAACCTACGGTGTAGAAATGATTGGCATTTAATTTGCTGATGACTTCATTTATCACCATATTCCACAGTAGAGGTGAAAGAACCTCACCCTGTGGGCAGCCTTTCTTAATTTGGATAATTTGAGATTCACCACCAATTTTTATTGTTCGTGTACTGAGCATGTTTACTATCCAGTCAATCAGTGCCGGTTCAACTTTATGTCGGCAAATCGAAGGTGAGTGATGTACTCGCCATTGATGTTAATACCGTATCCTTTCCAGTCCAGAAGCTTGAAAATGTCTTCCAATGCAGCGGTGAAGAGTTTCGGGGATATAACCTTGTCTTACACCTCTCTGCAATTGGATAGGTTTCGTACTCTGGTTCTGTACTCGGATAGCCATCTTAGTTCTACTGTACAAACACTTCAGCACTTCGATATACCGACAGTCAACTTGGCACCGCTGTAGGGACTGCAGCACCGCCCAAATTTCGACGAAATCAAAGGCTTTCTCATAGTTCACATACGCCAGACATAGTGGCAAATTGTACTCTTCGGATTTCTGTACAATTTGCCGAAGGGTATGTATGTGGTCTATGGTGCTAAAGATAGATGCTCGTAACTTATTCTACTCTTTTGATGTATGCATGACGAATGATGTAGCAAACCATTTGGTTCAAATGCGTGGTAAGTCGACAGTGAAAGAGTGGAGATTGGATGAGTGTCTGGTTGGCTGATTGTATAAGGGAAGGGGGGGGGGGGGGGGGAATCAAGTTATGCAATTTTTCAACTATTATTTATAATGAAACAAACAGAAAGTACGAGACTCATTATTATTGGCTATATAGAATTCATATGTGTAGAGTCTAACATTAACCTATGCATATAACTTGTATCAGCTACTTAGTAGGAAATTTTCTAGACACCAGTGTTACATCTATACTATAATGAAATGTTCAATATAAAATTTTCAATGTGAGGTTACTCTTCATCAATTCTTCTTCTTCTTTATCAGCTCTTTTAAGAGTTCACTGCTGTACATAGACCCCACACTCAACATACAAAACATACTATAATTAAGCTGCTATTTTACTCTGGTATTCTATGAGAGAGTTTTTCTTCCGCGGTTGAGCCAACCCATTCATGTTGCAACCATAATATAACTGCAACCCCAGAACTAGCACATAATAATTTTCATATGATTCTATAGATGTGGCATATATGATATATGATATTATTCTTTGTACATTATTTTTTTTACAGTTCATGTCGGCCATATTTATTTTATGATTGCATCATTATAGTCTATGTTATACCAGCGTAATTAATGACGAATCGATTAAGTTACATTTGACAAAAAATTCAACAACTAATTTAAGAGTTCCAGGTGGATAGACATTATACATATAACACAATAATCGAAAACATTACCTCAATTTTTGGCTTGGCTGCAGTCGGGTAAATTGAAAATAGTGTTGCAAATCCATTTATAAATCTTTATTTGAAAATGCAATACAATATAAAAATAATATAATATGGTTAATAATCTAAACCTTAGGAAATATTTTCTTTTGAATGCAAAATCGTTTGACTAGATTAGATAGTTTTCTTCCTGGAGACTTTATCATTTTTAAAGCATAATGAATATTTAAAGTAACACCAAAATAGTTTGGAAAATCCAAAAGTACACACCTCTTTTTTTTTAAATAAATATATTTTAAACGTCTGATAACAACCTGCAATAGGGATCACCCTGAGGATAAATATAAGCTTATTTACAAAGATTTATTTCATTTGACAAAAGAAGGAGACAAAAGTGCACGGACTAACTGACAGGTGTACTAATTATTTTTAACTACATTTTTTGTAAATATAACTAAACAAATAAATTAAAAAAAAATTCGATGACTTTTATAATTTAATATGTCTAGTTATCAAAATATCCCTTTTTATTGATTTAGTCTCTAAATTGAGACCTACTGACAAATTTATATTGCAAAATCGTCACATAGCGGCATGTCGAAAGTAGGCACTCCCACACGCTCGCGCGTTGTGCGGCGTGCAATAGCATCTCTTTTTGTGGTTTCCCATTTGGCTTACAAGTTTATATCACCTATAATCATATTTATTGAAAAAAAAAACATTTGCCCATTTCAAATTAGGCATTTTACAATAGGCATTAGACAATAAAATAAAGTTCAGAAACAAAAAAAAACAAATTTATTTTGAGGTATTCTTTTACCACAAACAAAGTACAGTCACAGCCTAAGAAGAACACACAGTCAGTCATCGCGTTTGATGTTGTCGGAAAAGCGGAAATAAACAATAAATTGCTAAGGGTTGTCAGACCGGAAAGTAATATAAAAATAAAAAACTGATTTTATTTTATTTCACGTTTAAACAAATTAATGTGTATGTGGAAACTGATGAAACTATATCCTTATCTTTAAATGAGGACGACCCACTGTTTTTACCGCACATATAGTGTGAACCATTATATTTGCGTGACAGGACAACCCTAGCGGACAGTTCCCGAACGGCCCTTGGACGTGAAGTGCTTCCCGGCTGAGGGCTGCTCGGGAAGTGCTCAGCCCGCGTCTCGCCCCGCACCGCACCGCACGATTGCCCCGTATACTGCCTTTGATTCGATGACCGACTGTTATTAGTAGTTAAACCAGTTAAACTGTGGTAGAGTACTGACATAGGCATAGACTGACATAACACAAGTGTTAGTCTGTATCATTTTATTTAATCATCAAGTTGCGTTAAGCTAGCAACACCTCTGTTAATCCAATGTTTTTCTGGTACGTCCGATCTCAGTGTTACATACATTACAAAGTTACTGGAATGGCCCGTTGTTGCTAGGACCCCCTTTCTCTCACTAGTTTTATATATTGGACAGAAGTAGCTGGGTGGCGGGTTGAAATCGACGATTAACGCCGGCTTGAACCAAATAATAGGGATTGTATCAAACAGGATCTTTGGGTAGGACTCGTCTAGCTGACTTGTTTCACGGTTCCATCTGGCACCCTCTAGATAAAGACCCTGTGAATACAAAACATCTCTGTGAATGTCAAAACATATGGAGTGTTAGGATATGTAATTATACATAAAAATCTGTAAGTGAAGAAATATCCTCTAAGATATTTTTTTGGTTTGATATTTATTATTTATAATATAAAAATGTTCAATTTAATTTTTACAAGCAACTCGCCCTGACAGCCTCAATGGGGTCAATCAATGTGGTCAACGACCATTTATTTTATCCATTATACCATTTCACAATATCAAGTTTAATATACCTAGATCACTCCTGGCATTGATTGCTCTTCATCTGTTCATGTAGTTTCATTACAATCAGGCATTAGAAAGCTTTGCCCGGACAAACACAAAAAATATATCTAGCTCTATATCTAGCTCAATATAAGGCAGTTATTTCGATATTACGGACAGACACTTCAATTTTATTTATATATACAGGGTTATTTTTCAAAGAATAGGCAAATTTTAAACTTAAGTTCAATGTATAAATAAAGATATAACGTTATTGCAGTTTTTGAAAATGCGAGTAAATAAGGCTTCCTTTCACTCTTATTAGAAATTATCCTAAATTGAATGTGATTTATGGGCAACAACGTTTTTGCCTACTGATCGACCCTTACGAATGTGTGCATTCGCAGTAAAATCAGTTAAAATAATGCATTACCACGCATTTTGAATTTAAAAGATAAAAAGGACAGAAAGTTGGAGATTTTTTTAAATTAATATTTCTTCACCATTGCCTATAATACTTATTCTGAACATTCTCTGCAAATTTGACCGGTTTTTGCAAAATAACCCTGTATATCTATTATAATATTACACGAAAATAAAGTTTAAGCAATAACTTTAAAAAATAATTCAGCTTATTTATGCATACTAAGGACATTAACAAGCATTGAAACTGAATCACCGCTGGGCTGGTAACACCATGCATTATATTAACAACTCACCCAAACAAATACACTGTGACCCTGTTCCTGACCCTGAATATCCATATCTTGCTTTTGCTGCATGCATTATACACGACAAATACTTTACTATTTTAAAACATTTCCATTAAAAATACAGAAGCAAAGTAAATAGATATTGTTTCCCAAAGTATCAGACGTCTCACACCTTTGACGTCTTTTAATCGCAAATCTGGGTATTAAAGATTGGCGCATAATGGTACATATATACAACAAATGTATCCCGTTAAATCTCATTCACAAACCGGCGACATTCATGAAGCGGCCTGGATGGATCCTGATGTTATTTCACATAGTGGAGACCACAACACGTATCTGGCTATAGGAATAGATAGGATATCGATTTTTTATAGGATAGGGTGACAAACGAGCACACAGTTCACCTGATGGTAAGTGGTTGCTGTGACCCATAGACATCTACATTTATCCTCAATAAAGAATCAAAATGAAGATGCGTCGTAACCCGTGTTATCGTTTCCAGTAAAATGGGTCTCCGGTTCTCTACACTCACCATACGAAACACAGCAGTGTCAAGCTGCCATTTTACGCTGGTATTCTGTGAGAGCGTGGTCCTTCCCAGGTCGAGTCGACCCATTCGTGCTACAACTATACTACTAATATAGCTGCAGCATGGCTCTACCACGTATAAATATATGTACCGCCATTCATATATTACGGCCTATAAAACTCCACTACTGCACATACTAGGCAGGCAGGGAGTTTTTATCAGGAATATGCTGTCCTTCTGTTTTAGTTTCCCTCTGTGACCTCTTACGACACCCACGGGCCGATATGAGTTAGTGGATATTCTTACACTGCCACTACATGGTTACACCATGACGTCATCACCGCAGTCATTACACGATTGTAACTTATGTTAAAATTATTATTCTCGTTATCTTTATAATTTAATAGGTCGCTGGCTTATTTTGTGCTTAGCTGTTTGTTTCAGCTTGTATTATTCTTTTATCTTTATCTATTGTCAAGCATAAGTGCACTCACTGCTGTCTTCCAGTCAAAAGCTACACTTACAGGCGGTGAGCCATTCCATGTGCAATCAACAGATGTGACGACGCCTCTGTAGCCTTGTTTGTAGTTGGTTGCAGTAGCTACTTACCATCAAACGGACTGTTTGTCACTTTAATCGTCATTATTATAGACCTTCAAATGTCCACTAACTGAACATAAGCTTCGCTTAAGTAATGCCACAGAACACTATTATTATATATTTTTTGTAAATCACAACTTCCGTCAGACTGCCGCAAAATACAGCCATCAGCCACATTATTTAATAATAGTCATCATCAAGCCTAAACATAGACCTCGCCGAGGTCTCCCTGATTGGATGCTATTATAAGTGGTCCGTCATACGAAGAAGACCATGTATGTGTTTGATACCTGTATCTAATTGTACCCTTTCCTATCGTTTGAACCGGAACGCTAAAGTGGGTGTATTTGGGTAATGAAAATGGAAAAATGTCACAACCATTACAATTTTACTTATCTGCACAAAATTGATAAATAAATTGTCATAGATTGTAGAGCATGTTCTAAACACTTCTTCACCAGGCCGTAAGAGTCCACTGCTGGGCATGGGTTCCACCATTTGTAGGAGTTTTTTTTTCATAATCGTTACGCTTGACAGGCGTATTAACGATCGTAGTACCAGACGTCTCGCATATTTGACGCTGCTGCCCGTCGCCGGTCTAGCCATTTAAGTCTCGCGCAAATAAATTAGTTACGTTAAGTTATCAGACATACCTCAAAACCTGAAAACGAAATTGTACAACCAGTGCGTGTTGCCAGTGATGACTTATGGAACTGAGACGTGGTCCTTCACTGCTGGCCGTATGAGGAAGCTCAAGGTCGCTCAGCGAGCTATGGAGAGGGCTATGCTCGGAGTTTCTCTGCGTGATAAACTTAGGAATGAGGATATCCGCAGTAGAACCAGAGTAACCGACATAGCCCAACGGATTGGTGAGCTGAAGTGGCAGTGGGCCGGCCATATAGCTCGAAGAACCGACAACCGATGGGGAAGAAAGGTTCTCGAGTGGCAGCCTCGTACCGGTAGGCGAAGTGTAGGGCGTCCCCCCACGAGATGGAGTGACGACCTGGTAAGACATGCAGGAAGTCGATGGATGCAGGTGGCTCAGGACTGTGCTTTGTGGCATTTTTTGGGGGAGGCCTATGTTCAGCAGTGGACTTGTGAAGGGCTGTAATGAAGTTATCGGAAGCTCCTTACAACACTCACGTTGTTGAAACTATGATACTTTTAGTTTAGTCTATTCGCTTAGATACGGTCGCCTTTGTATCGTGCCGCCTTGGCACGTGCCCCATTTTGTCAAAGGCGCCGCCGCGAAATCAAAGGTCGCCGCGTGCGGCCTACACCCGCAGGAAAAATTGGCACTTTAAAATGAAGCGCCGTAGTGAAAGGTTCTTTGCTACCTAATGTGTTTATTATTTATATTTGAATTTTATTACAATAACCATAAGAATAAAATAGTATTCTATTTTGTTTTTAGAAAAGAAAAACATTTATTTAACATACACGTTAAAAATTATAAAATAAAAGCAAAATAATAAGTGCGCCTCCGGGTGTACCGACTTTATCTTAGCGAACAGACTATATCTTGGTAAGACCAAATAAAGAAATTCGAATACAACACCTTGCAGTAAACTCCAAATGTGGGCTCCTCTTCACACTCCGCCTCCATGCCTGTGATGGTGAACTCGAAGTGCACCTGATCGATAGGTATCTTATTATGCCGAGAATAGTTCTGCAGAACTCCAGTGAGGAAAGACTGGGTGAAAAAGAATCCTGATATCCAAAATACTGTTGGTGGTCCTTCGTCTATCCAGTCTTGAAGGAACTTTAGTCTATAGAAAAAGGGATATTTATATTAGTTCTGTAATAACACTTAAAATATATAAAATGAACAATTTAAGCTGTCTCTAGGTCGTCGCTTTAAGTCCCTCCTACTAAGTCGATTCTGAGATAGCTAAGAGGCTTATTAGTAAAACTGATTTGTTTGAAACCAGTCTTGACAGCCTCGAGCACAGGTGCACAGTAAGCAGCGGCTCGGTATTCTGAGTGTGCGCAGGAATTGCGTACCTTAATTCCTCCCTCCCCTTTCCATTTTTACATCTACTACTCCATAATATCATCTCGTGGATGTCATAAGAGATGATAGAGATAAATAAAACCGGAGACGGTTAGCAGCATCCCGCTTGCCAAGCTATGGCGAAAATCCTCTCTGTGAGCAAATAGTCTCCGGCTCTCTACCATAAGAAATATTTTACGCTGATATTCTGTATGACCTTTTCGTCTTTTCAGAAAAAATGACCGAACAAGTATTAGATAAAGAGACTTGGCCGTTGGAAGCAGAGGCTGCGTTGAACGACGTGCGGAAACATGTTAGAGAAGCAATCGTGGCGCCGGAGATGAAAAGCACCAACCAGAAAATCTATCTCAAAATAACCACATATGAAGATGAAGTATATATAGTAGAGATGTCGGCGTCCGGATTCAATGTTGTGTCCAGTTCAAGCGCTAATAGAAACAAAGCGTCCGATAGGAAATATGAAACACTTTACGCCCTCCTAGACAATATTAGCCACAGATACAGGGAGTCGTTTGGCGAAGAATTAAGTTCGAAACTGAGCGATTTGGAAAGGCAATGTCAAGGTTAAGCGCCTCGACACAATTTTTTTTTCAAATGTTCCTTTATATATGGAACTTGATGTATTGCCATATTTATATAAGACGGGAGTTGTTGATCTTAAAGTAGATAATAAGAAAGAAAGAAAATAAATGTATTAAGTAACAATTTATAGCAATTTGCTTACAACAGCAAATTTAAAATTATGATAAATAGTTACTAAAAATGTGCCCAACTCAGCATAGTCTTGGTACTGGCAGAGTACTGGACGCTGATCTTCCGTTTGTGCCAATGGGTTGGTGCAAATTTAACAAAAAATAAAAAATATATGTACCTATTTAAAAATGTGTGCAATTCACAGGTAGAAGTGAAACCTTCAGAAAACTAAACTTCGAGAGAATGGGACGCTAAATCCTATACATGTTCACTGACCGGCACAAAAAACGACTCACTATGAATTTTAAGTAATTAATAATTTTTTTTGGTATCATGTCTTATTGATAAGTGTTATTTAAGTTATTCTCTGGTAAAGAATATCCGACAAACAAAACTCGTACATAAATGCGAGATTCATCTGTGAACAGTACTTGGCTCCACTGTTCCATATAGCAATTGAAATGTTCATGTGCAAATGCAAGTCTGCTGACTCGATGCTGCCTGGTAAGCTCTGGGCCATGTGCAGGTCTTCTGGCCATGATATCAGTTTCATTGAGGCGTCTTCTGATAGTCCTGTCACTTACATGTACATCTCAAAATTCAGCAAGGCGATTCCAGATTTCAACAGCAGTCATGGCCCTGTTACGTATTATTTCTAGGTTAAGGGTCTTTGGTGACCTGTTCCTGGCCGAAAATAAACACAAATATATTTTCAAGATTATTTATTTAAAGAAATCATAGCGAGTCGTTTTTTGTGCCGGTCAGAATATATGTTTGTCTCTTTTTAATGTCGCTTTTTCGTTTTTTTTTATAGGATCGGGTGACAAATGAGCACACAGTCCACCTGATGGTAAGTGGTTACTGTGACCCATAGACATCTACATCTATCCTCAATAAAGACTCAAGATGCAGATGCGTTGTCACCCGTGAGGACTACGATGGAATGCCTCTTTGCCAGTAAAAAGGGTCTCCGGTTCTCTACACTCACCATACGAAACACAGCATCGTTAAGCTGCTATTTTACGCTGGTTTTCTGTGAGAGCGTGGTCCTTCCCCGTTCGAGCCGACCCATTCGTGCTACAACCATAATATAGCTGCAGCATGGCTCTACCACGTAGAATGAGTTGTGAATGAGTGATCGAGTTTCTAATCACAACGAATCTAAAGAAGTATTCACTTCAATAATACATGCCCATGATTGATGCCAGAAGGATCTTATGGTTTCCAAAAGATGGCGGTGTTCTCGTCTACGCTAGATATGCAATACCTAGACCGACTATAGGCTGCAAATTGATACTGCGATCGTCAATAATTACGAACTCCTGCCAAGAGTGATGACTAAAATAAATCCCACAAAGGGAGAGGCCATGTGCAGCCATGGACTTTTTCAGGCTGAAGCAGGAGTAGATAATAAACCGAATAAGATGCGTTATTAGGTTCTCAATACGTTTTCAGTCCATATGTCTCCTATCAAACATAGAAATATAACCTTTTATTCAATATTATTATATTATGAAATCTATACATATAATAAAACTGTAAATAGCAGATGTCTGTACATTTTATATTTTTGTAATAAAAGTGATTAAGGGGTACTAAAAATAAGTAACTAAATACATTTCTACCATTTTTAGAATTTTCTGTCTGTCTGTCTGTCTGTCTGTTTGTTTGTTAACGTATCACGTATAAAGTACTAATTTATATCATAAGAATTGTTAAGGAAATTATAAAGTGTATCTTCGGGTTACATTTAGTCTTTATTTCATTAAAATCAGTTCATTCCATCAAAAGTTATGATAAATATTCGGAAGTTTGGGTAGGGAAGTATAGGTACGAATTTGCTCAATGGTGGCTTTGTTTGAGTCATCAAGTGCATTTTAAACTAATATCATATCATAAATCATAGTTAAATTATGTAAAATAATAATATAATTATGTATATCTAAAACGCAGTAAACAAAAGTAATAAAGAACGTATTAAATAAATTATACAAAAATATATTAACCTTATTAGCTAAATCTGAAGCACAATAGTTAACCCATTTCTTCGATAGATGGTGGTGTTGTGAAAATGTAATGCAATTGCAAATGTGGTTTTTTTCCTGTAGATGAGTTTTCATATTTACTGCTAATCTTTATTATATTACTCGCTGCCCTACTGCGTGTTGACAAACTCAATTTATTCTTTACCGCCGAGTACTCTATGTGGTTAATCAAATTTTAAAAGAGCTATTAACAATTGCATTGGTTTTGGCGAGAGTCAAACTTTATTTTTTGCTTACTGTGCAGGCACTGATTTATAAGTTCTCTTACGTTTTATATAATGTATCAATCGCGTCAATTAATCTCTTTTATTTTTAGAATTGATGATGTTAGCAGCGCCATCTCTCTTTAAATATAAACATATAATAAAAATGATGATAACATGTTGTGTCTCTTTCTGTACATTGTATATATATTTTGGTGGCTAAAATCATTATGGGGAACTGAAAATAATTAAATAAGAACATTTTATAATTTTTAGAATTGTCTGTCTGTCTATTTGTCGCATGAACGCATCACGTCTAAAGTAAACATCTTTTATTTTCAAAGAAATCGTTAAGAATATCATAAAGGGTATCTTCGAGTTACATTTGATCTTTGTTTTATTAAAATTGGTTAATTCTATCGAAAGTAATTTTTGAAAACATTAATTTTGAAATGTAGGTTCGAATTTGTTCAATGGCGCCATAAAATCTCAGAAATAGTAATAAAAAGATTTCTGTGTAAAAAAAAAAACGTTCCATAATAATTAATATATTTATACTTAAAACACAAAAAGAGATAGGATGTTTTCTCACACAAAGGACGTAATAGATGGAGTTGTACAAATTACAAACTTTTCTGAATTGCGGTGTTGAGATTTTTCGCCGATGAATCGTATTGAGACTTACTGAAAAAATTTGTATCCATCGAAGCCATACAACGGAACCCGACCAAAAATAAAAATATTGCAACGAAATGTCGTGATATTGTATTTAAAATATACGCAAAATCAGAACTGCCATTTTAGCGCTTTGGGAACTAGATTTAGCACTTTTTTGGAATGTATAGCGCGCATTGCGAAATTTTAGCACCTAGCGCTTAATCCAGCGCTTTTTGGTGTATTTAGCACACATTTCAATATTTTAGCGACTAGCGGGTTATTAACTCTTTTATAGCAGCACTGTTAGTCCACATTACCGATAATAATAATAATGACCTTCATTATTTTTTCCCACAAATAGTACATTGCAGTTTATCTTTTTCAAACATATTTTTTCCACAAAACAAAGAGCATGGGAGACGAGTCCAAACTAGGATACCCTGTGCTATGGATCTCCTGGCATCCCCTTTACGATGATCAACTTGATTTTTTTACCGACGACTATAAGCGGGGAAATCCCCTTTATTAAAGTTTTCGTTCATGGTTTTGGCAACGCATTTATTTTGCTTTATTCAGTTTCAGTCAGTTGTTTAGAGCACAGCTAAGTTAAAAGTTACTTAGAAGTTATAACACAAAGAAACTGTGTAGCAACCGCAATCAGATGCTGACATCTGAAACTAAGTTGCGAAATACATTGCACTTTAAAACAATTAATGACATTTTTATTGTTCGTACAATACTAACTACTGTTGACAGAAATTGCTATAATTATAAGTCGATGTCCTGCGAAGTATTGATACATCAAAAAAATATTTCCAGAAAAAAAAACTTAATGTTGTTTTCTTTATTATGATTATATAAAAAAACACAAACTTTGTTTGTAGTTAATTTAGCGCGAAAACTGTTTTCATGAAATCTAGCGCTTTTTGTGTTGTCCTAGAGCTGAATGAGTTTTTTTTATCTGGCAGCACTGCCCAAAAACCCTCTATTAAGAAGTAACTTTCCTTTCAGTTTTAAGCGCGTTCAGTTCCCAGTTACAGTGAGTGTGTGTTATGCGATGACCGTAAATAAAACGCAAGGTCAAACTTTACGCGTTGTAGGAGTGTATCTCAGTACCACAGAACAACTAATATCTATATTAAGTGTTCTGTGCTCAGTACTGACTGTTTTGCACATGGCCAACTCTATGTTGCTTTTTCCCGCGTTAGTAGCCCCCGTAACCTTTTTGTGTATACCCCGGCTAAGCCTACTTCTAACGTCGTTTACACAGAAGCTCTATCATAAACGACTTAGAACTTTGATGATAATGATTTATTTTGTTACCACTTATTGATACAGTAATGAAATAAATCGTTTAATATTCTCTTACCTAAACGACAAATTCTTTATGTAAAACCTGTATACGCGAGCTACGCCGCGGGCACAGCTAGTTATTAATAAAATATAAAAAATATATTGAAAGTTATTCTTAATTTACTTTTGGCCTCTCTCTTTACCTCACAGAATATAAGCGTGTAAAATAGCAGCTTAACGCTGTTGTGTTTCGTATGGCAAGTGTAGAGAACCGGAGACGCTTTTTACTGGAAACGAGGCTTTCCATCTTAGTACTCACGGGTGACAACGCATCTGCATTTTGATGTAGATATCTATGGGCCACAGCAACCACTTACCATCAGGCGGACTGTGTGCTCCTTTGTCACCCTTATTCCCTAAAAAATAATGTAATACAAATAACAACAAAAAGCAAATTAGGAATATCTTTGTAGCAATCACCTAACTCCCAGGGGTTATTATCATCCAAAAATTTACATACGTAAGACTTACGGTCGCAAACATATGCATATGCATAAACATATGCATCGCAACTTAGGAGGCCATACGGTTTTATTTCCTTGACTTAAGTATGTTACATTCACAGGACAAACTGGTGTGAAGATGATATTTAGTCATAACACGGCCACAATAGATAATTCTCCTGTATAAAGTAATTTTAGAAATCGTTTACAGTGACCTTTAATTAAAGCTAATGTGTATTTTATAGTTATTGTGTGGATATCGTTGTTAGGTTACTTACTAATTTCTTTTACTAATTGCTAATGTTAATAAATATTTCACATGTTTACAGCTCCATTCACAAAAATCAATATCGACTTGATAAAATGCTAAAAACATAAATCAACCACAAACAACTATTTTATGTTATACCGTTCTTCTTCCCCATTTCTTGGCCTGCTCGGATTGTGCGTCAGCCATGTTTTCCATTTTTCAACATATAATTATCCTTCGTAGTACAATTGTATAATTAGCCTTCATAGTACACTGCTTCACAATATGTTGATGCGACACATTGTGAAGTCCTCGGGAGATTTTGGCGGCAACTTGAGCCAGCAGACAGTTGGCAATGGTATCTCAAGGCGCCTAAGCAGACAACCTTATATTGAGAATCATATCACCATTAGAGCACTTGTTTCATCGTTTCCACTAATAGTTCACATGCGTAGACACTTAATATACAAAATAGCACCACTTTTATATATCAAAGTCCACTTCAAACCATTATTTAAACAATAATACAGGAGCAGCATACCGCCGCCGGTCATGTTCCCGCCAAAACTCTTGTTATACCGTTATACTCGCGACATTCTAAGAAGTTTCGTTTGACGTTTTTTATTATACATGCCACGATAACTTTATATGAACGTCTACGTAAAAAATTGAAAAATTCAAATTCATAATACTAAATAATTACTGTTATCCATACACTACTATACAATGCGTATTATTCGTAAGTACAAAGTTTAACTTTATACTGGAAAAATGCACTCAAAAACACCAATTAATCGTTGATTAATATTACCGACAGGACGTTATTACAATGTTATGTCTTTGGGTTCGTTGCCGTAGTGTAGTAATTTTAACTATAACAGGTACCTGTTTTTATGTAATTGAATAGTTGACACTAACAATAATAAAGTAATATAATAATATAATTTGAATTTACTACTTTTGTAATGTTTGAAATTTTAAGTTCATTTTAATTTTTTATTTTATTGGATTATATTATTTTATAATACGAGTATATATAAAAAAAAAGATTTATTTACCTTAAGAAAATTACGATATTCTTTACTTGTTTTCGTATACTACTGTAATACTTTTGCTATACCATAATGTTTATATATAAGATTTCTCTTTGACAGTTTGTTAAAAGTAATTTTCTACTTTCAACCATTTTATAAGCGTTATGTTTTGTTGGTACAACATCAAGTACAAATTATATTATAATTTCTCACCGCTGTTAAATGCAATACAAGAACTACATAGATAACAGGATGAGTTGCAAATATAACAATGTTAGTAGAAAGTGTGCAACTGTTATTATTTTTGTTAATGAAACATAATGTTCTAGTGCCTCTTACTTAATTAATCAGTACCTATTTATTTATATATTGTATACTGTATAATAAAGCAGTTTTATTGTATTCCTTTTTATTTTTCATAACCTCAATTCACCATCGTCATTATCATTGCAGCTCTTTACATGTCCACTGCTGTCCAAAGCATGGTCCTGAGCCCCATGCATCCATCGACTTCCTGCATGTCTTACCAGGTCGTCACTACTTCTAGTGGGGGGTCGTTCTACACATCGCCTGCCGGTACGAGGCTGTCACTCGAGAACCTCAATTATTTTATAATAATAGTTTGACAAATGAGCTAACAATTTACCTAATGGTTCTTGTAAGTGATTAATACAGCCCATAGATAATGCAACATTCTTCAATTCTTCTTCAAAAAATGATTACAACCCCTGAGGACTATGGTTTAATACGTTAAGGCCTATTCTACCCAGAAGTTCGTCCGGCTTGGCTTAACACAGATGAAAGAGCCTTAAGAGTTTGTTGGAGCCACTTGTATTCCTGGTTTAAGAGTAAAAAAAGCCAGTCATACCTCCTAATTGGCAGAAAGCTTCACTTGCCCTTATAGGCTTATAAATAAATTGTTAATTATAATTAAAAAAGCAATTAGATTTCACATATTGTGAAGGTCTCGTTAAGAACTTACTATAGAAATTATCCTATGAAGAATGGTCTTAAAAAGTGATGTACGTAAAAAAAGTAATGTACCTATTTAAAAAAGTAATTATTTGTTTCTGCCTATTGAGAATAAGTATTGTCTTCCTGACCAGCTTTCTACCGCCTTCCCGTACATTTGGACAGGTTGTCGCGTTATCTAATAAGGGTTGTCACATACCAGTAACAATACATTTCTCAGACTTGTCGATTCTACGAGGCATTTGACCTGTTCATTGATATTTTAGGATACTGTATTTAGTAATTAATCTCTTAACATCACTCTGCAATGAGAGGGCTAAGCACGTAACGATGATATCCGCAGTAAAACCAGAGTAACCTACAGCCCACCAGATAGGTAAACTGATGTGGCAATGGACCAGCCATAAAGCTCGACAAACCAACAACAGATGGGGAAGAAATGTTCTAGAGTGACAATCCTATACCGGTAAGTGGAGTGTGGATCGGCCCTCCAATGGAATGACGACCCGAACATGGGGTCGGTGGATGCCGATTTCTTAGTACCGTTATTTGTGCCATTCCTTAGGAGAGGCCTATATTGAGCAATGGATATGAGCATAGGCTTAACAGTGAAACGTAGGTAATGATGATAATAATACGTACGAAACCCACACTTGTGTCATCAGTCAATGACTTTTAAGGTCTATTTCTTCTTTAGCCCATACTAAGCATTGCCACCGCTGGACGTTCGCCTCTCCAGTTAATGGGAGGACTAAGTTCTGTAGTTTCGTATAAGAAACTATTCTAACTAGTTAAAAGTCGATTAAAATCAAAATATTTTTAATTCAATCCCGCCATTTTTTTTAATGAAGCTGTTTTACTGTCTCAAAATAGGGCTTTTGTGGGGAAATTAGGTTTATCGACTAAATTGACAATATGTAAGCATGTATGCGCAGATATTTGGGTGTGGAAGAACCGAAGAAGATTTTTTTGGCAAAAATTTCAGTAACGCTCATATATCTAGCCTCGATTAAGAATCAAAAGTCAGATGTAAAATTTAAACCAGAACATATTGTACTGCAATCTAGAGAGTAATACCTACCCAGACATACTTTTGAGCAGGAGAGGATTCATAGAGTTTCAAACTATATTTCCACGAATTTTGAACTATTATACCAACCTCGCAAGAAAGTCCGTCATGTAGGAGCCCAGTGGCTTCATAGAGGGATAGGACTTGGCCATCCAGGCGTTAGGCACCAGCCCCTTGAGGAACGAGTCCGCGCACGCCTCCAGCTCGGCGCTCATTATGGCCAGCCCCTGCGCCGCTAGGTTTACGCCTTGAAGAGTTCGCGATACAACCGCGAGTAGCCGGTTGTAGCGGATCAGCTCCTGTTGTTCATGAATGATCACAACTTACAACAAATAATCTAAGGAAAATAAAATAACTTTTATTAGCAACCAAATATGTCTAATTAGAAATGAGCAAGGATACAATAGGATTATCGTGCACAAGGGTATGCACAAGCACAGGTGCACTTTCTCAGGGGTGTCACTTCCACTATGGAAGGTATGGAGCACTCCATACCTCAAGTTTTTCAAGGTATGGAATTCCATAGCTGAAATTAGGAAATAAATCGCATATTACTACAAACCCCATATAAATAAATCGCAAGCCCTTAAACCTCAATACCCCACATCTTATAGTTCAATAAATAAGTTGAGTATATACACTGCAAACTCTTAAACCTTAATACCCCACGAGTAATGCGAACAAATTTGAAAATCGCGCCACCATTTTCCATACCTCAGATTTTTACAAAGTGACACGCCTGCACTTTCTATTCTCTCACAGTGCAATGGGACAGCAACCCTACACGCCAGCAGTACAACGGCTTTACGTGTTTTCTAAGGTACGGAGATGAAACAACGCCAATTCCCTGATTCCGAGCTGCTACTTCTTGTACTTACTATTATTTATTCTGTGTTGCTACTAAGAATTTCTTGACAGAAAAAAGATCAATAATTGATTTTTTAACTTGACTACTTCGTATAAAATCAATCCAAACATGTAATAAGTTATTCACCACATATTTTTTATGGGATAAGGGTAACAAACAAGCACATATTCCAACTTGTGGTAAGTAAATTCTGTGGTCCATAAACATCTTCATCTATCCTCGATTAAAACTAAATGCAGATCACAGAGGTCTAAAATGGAATGCCAAGTTTCCAGTAAAAAGTGTCTCCAGTTCTCTACACTCACCATACCAAACATTGCAGCATCAAGCTGGTATTTTGTGAGAGCGTGGTCCTTCCTAGATCGAGCCGACGCATTCGTGCTACAACCATAATATAGCTGCAACGTGGCTCTACCACGTAGTAAAGCTCGTGTAGGCTACTAGTCACCCGTAAGTATCCTAATGGATGAAGGGCTTAAGAATGTGTGTATCCAATAAGGCAAAGCGAGAGAGGGGGTATGAGTCTGGCATAACCTTGCAATTGCGCCCACAGCCGTGATCCATTTCCCCATGATAAAAGAAGCCTGTCGTGCGAGGTGTATCGGACGGTGACCTGTTTGAGCACGGTGTTCATGCTGTTGTAGTACTGCACTGGGTGGCGGCGCGAGACCATCACCACGTCGTAGGGCGGCGGCAGGCGCGCCAGCAGCTCGCGCGTTAGCTCGCCCACACCGCGCGCTTCCCCGCCCTCCCCACCCCCACCACCGCCGCCCGCCAGCCACGTCTGCGTCAGCAGGCATCCAAACAGCAACTGTTGGCGCGTTTGGTACTCTCACATAATACAGTCGCGTAAAAATATTACTTATGTCCAAATACTCAAACGCTGCTCAGTTTTAAAGGTGCCGTTAAGCCTTGTGCTGTCTCTATCATTTTAAGTTAAAGTGACTGTGACACCGCGAAACTTAACGTCACCTAAAAATTGAGTAGCTTTGTTTGTCAAACTTATGGAGTATTTGGCCATAAGTTTGACAAATATTTTATTTTCAAAACATATACTAGCAACTCATAGACATGGTAATCTATGGGAAAATAATAATATAAGTAATGGTAATTCATTAAAGCATAATATCTAAATTCACGCAGGCAGGCAGGTCTGCTAGCTAATGATATTTTTGAAGTTAAAACTTCTGTAGTCGTGTTCAGCGATTTTTTGGTTCGCGTCACCGATGACCTCGAAATGCTCGTGACGTATTGCGCGCATGTCTACTACGTTCCGGGCGACGTATAGCGGCCTGTGTACACATATACGCATATATCATTGAGTTGTTTTTTCTCTAGTTACGAGGAAGACGCTGCTGCCCATCTCCTGATTTATTTCCCTTATGTCGCCTCTTACGACGCCCACGGAATATGGAAGTGGATATTCTTACACCTCCACTACATCTTCAGTCTTGCTATTTGTGTGATATAATGATGCTTTTTTTATAGGATAGGGTAACAAATGATCACACAGTCCATATATTTTACGCTGGTATTCTATATTATAAACCCTTGGAAATGAGGTGATCGCTATCGTGCCGTTTCTAAATGTTATAATACTAATTGTATAAATAATAATTAGAAGATTAACTACAATATATTTATTACATTTACAATATTAAAATACCATAACTAAAAAAAACTAAAAGTAATAACTAATTTATCACACAGTCCTACTCCCCATGGTATCGTGCCAAGAACGTTGGCTGCGTTTCGCCGTTGAATGGCTATAGGTAAGCCTTTGAGCGAAAAAAGAACCAGCTCTCTTGTCACCAGCAGCAACGACCAGTCGCGGATAATTGTATAAATAATTGTATAAAATATTGTATTGAAAAATATTTTTTTTAAATACGTACCGCTGGCTTTCTTGGTTGTTCTTCCCAAGACAGAGGTTTTTTCCAATCAGTGGTAAAGCTTAAATTACTTTCAATACATAAGTATTAATGTAATCTATATTGAATAAAAATAACTCTATTCTATTCCATTAGGTATAATTTTTTTTAGTCTGTAATAATTTAAGGGACATTTACCGCTTAGCGTATGTCAGTCCCATCATACCCTAACATACAACATGACTTACTCATATAACGTTAGTTTATAGTTTCGAACAGAACTTTCGCATCGCCGCCATTTGGTTGGGATAGAATATTATGAAATACTATAATACAACGTCAGTTCTGTTTAAATTTAAGACCCTTATGAAATTACTTCTAACAGACGCAAATCGAACACATTCCATCAATATATGGTATAGGTCTTCTATAACTGCACAATCTTCACGTACTCGTATATTGACAAATGAGACATTTTAACAAACAAATTTCAATTGCCAACTTTCGTTTTTTCCTTCTACCTTCCTTAATTATTTCTACTATTACTACTATAAACGTGCTAAATACTTCTAGAAATTTTATTTGATGGAAAGTATGCAAATTAAATTTATTTTTAAAATTTTATTAACTCACCGCAGCAGTCTCCTTGTTGTCTTTCGTGATGTCGGCGTTCTCGTGCAGCCCGAACACTTCGGGTTTCGCAATCATGGGCAGTGCCTTGATGTGTTCTAGCACGGAGTTGTAATCCATGCTTGGCGGGATCCGGTAGTTACCGCTCGGGGAAAACGAGTAGCTGTGGTGTGAGGGACGATTTTTTTGTTATAATATATTAGACGTGTATTACTTTAATTAAAATGAAGTGACAAACGAACTTACAGTCCATGGACATCTGTAGCTAACTTCAAACAAAGAAAGCTATAGATACGTTGTCACCTCTGAGGACTAAGACGGAATGCCTCACAGCTCTGGCTCTCTACACCCTCCAAACTGGAACACAGCAGTGCTCCCACCATACCATCTCGTTTGCACCAGACATAAAATACCTAATCAGCGACCGGAAGCAGCGTACGGATGCGAAGTGCATGGTATTGCGATCGCCAGTCCGCATTCCTCACACCAAGATGGACGATTAATTGTCCATTGATGTTCTACTCCTAAGCATGAGTTAATTCCCCAGACTGCGACAAAGCATGGCCTTGGTCTACCTGCACATCTTACCAGCTCGTCACTCCATCTGGTGGTTGGCGGCCCTTTATTGCGCTTGAACGATACGAGGCTTTCGCTCACGTATAGTAATATCCAGACCGAATTTCGCTCACGGCGGTCAGCCTCAATGGAGACTAGTCACCGACGCGGGACAAGATTATAGTGCCCAAGTGTATGCGCAAGCATAGGTGCATTCTCTATTCCTTCACTCTCATAGTCCGATGGGACGGTAAACCATCCCGACAGGAGAGATATCAGGTGCAGGTCCAACGGCTTTACTTGCTTTCCGAGGCACGGGGTGAGACACCGCCAACTTTCTGACTCCGGGCAACTACTGAGAATTTCTTGATGGAAAACCTCAATAACTGTTTTTTTTTGGCTCAACCCCCGGGACTCGAACCCGTGATCTCATGATAAGCACTCGCACTACTAGACCAACAACCACTAGACCAACGAGGAAGTCAACTGTCGGTCACGTATATAACGTATAAACAATACTGTTACGAGCTTGGGGTTCGAGACAATTAAAAACTGTCGATTGAATTACCAAAATTGTCACTTTAATTACAGAACACTAACTACAATCTAAAACCACACAAATAATAAAAACACAATCACTTTAGTTCGCAGTTATTTCGCTTCGAAGTATTCTCTTGTATCACCAATTCAATATATATAATAGGGCCTCAGATAGTTTCCAGAACCTTCTACTGTAGCGACATCTAGAATGTTCGAGTACATATCGATCCCGAAATTTCTGGAAGGATCTTGACTCTCCTAGTTCTGCTACTCGACACTAGAGGGCGCTAGTATAACTGGTGTTGCCATGTACAAGACATTAAAAGTGGCGCACATCACTGCCCCCTCCTAAGACATGCTCGTCCCGAGCATTATTGGCGCCATAATAACGCGCCAGTCGATCCACATGGACAATCTTCGGAGTACCTCTGGCACCTTTCTGCATCCGGTAGGTTACGTCATTGATCCTTGTCACAATCCGGTACGGTCTATCTTATTTAGCTTGAAGCTTAGGAGATTTCCCTTTGCTGCGAACTGGATTGTGTAACCACACAAGTGAACCTTCGTCAAACCCTTTGTTGTTCATTTTGCGGTCATACCGTGTATTCATCTGTCTGACGTGCTCATAAATGTCATTCATTTTGTTCCGCAAGTCATTTGCATGATCGGTTATACTGCGTGGGGCATCAGGTGGTATTCCGGTGATCAGGTCTGCAGGCAGCCGTAATTCTCTCTCAAAGTTTGCGAAAGCTGGTGTCACTGATGTACTTTCGTGAACAGCGCTTCGATATGACAACAAAAACGGTTGTATGTGCCTGTCCCAGTCTCATTGCTGTTTTTCCACAACTTTTGCTAGGTATCTCTCCAATGTCTGATTAAATCGTTCTACCATTCCATCAGATTGTGGGTGGTAAGGAGTTGTTCTTGTTTTATGAGTACCCATAACTCGGCAAGTTTCCTGGAATATTTGAGACTCAAAATTCCTTCCTTGATCGCTGTGAATCTCTAAAGGTACTCCAAAACGACAGAAGACTTCATGAACTAGTTTATCTGCAACTGTTGAAGCTTCTTGATTTGGAATGGCGAAGACTTCTGGCCACTTAGTGAAGTAATCCATCACAACCATGAAATACTTGTTACCACTTTCACTTTCCGGAAGCGGTTCCGCAACGTCAATGGCTATCCTCTCCCATGGTGCACCAACATTGTACAATTTCAATGCGCCTCTACTACGCGTTTGAGGTCCCTTTACAGCCGTACAACTTGTACATTTGCGGCACCAGTCCTCGACATCGTCACGACAGTGGACCCAGTAAAACCGTTCTCGGATCTTCAGTAGAGTTCGTTTAACTCCCAGGTGGCCTCCTGAACAACCACTATGGTACAGCTGTAGAACATCCGGTACTTTAGCCTTAGGGACAACCATTTGCAAATGACATCTGTCTCCTCGACCATTGTCCCATTTACGGCACATGACTCCATCCTGAATCAACAAGCTGTCCCATTGGGCCCATTAGCTTTTCGTGGTCGAACTCATTGCTGAGACGTCGCTCCACTTGGGCTTAGGAGCACTGGCCTCCATCCATTCCAGAATCGGCTTAATGTCGGAATCTTCCTGCTGTGCATGTTGTAGGCTGTCCTTCCACTCATTGCTGAGCTGGTCTGTCCTGAGCATCCTCACAGATACCACTTCCTTACCCTCTTGCCTAGTACAATGCTTGCAATCTTCAGGGAAAGGTCTTTTTGACAATGCATCTGCATTGCCATGAGATTTCCCGCTGCGATGTTCGATCACAAAGTCGTATTCCTGCAGTAGTTCAATCCATCTCGCAACTTGTCCTTCCGGATTTTTGAACTGCAATAGCCATTTCAGTGCAGCATGGTCAGTTCGTAAGTGGAATTTCCGCCCCAGAAGATATTTGCTAAAATGCTGCAAGGACTTTACCAGAGCAAGCAATTTCCGTCTTGTGACACAATAGTTCCTTTCCGGCTTTAACAACGACTTGCTGAATTACGCTATCACAATCTCTTGATCACCATTCCGTTGAGACAACACACCACCAAGTCCTATATCACTTGCGTCTGTGTCAACTATAAATTCCTTGCCCGCATCAGGGTACCCCAAGATAGGTGTTTTGCACAGATAGTTCTTGAGCTCCTGGAATGCAATATCGCAACTTTCATCCCAGCAGAAATGTCGCTTCTCCTCGGTTAGCTTGTGCAGAGGTTTGGCTATATCTGCAAAGTTCTTCACAAATCGCCGATAGTAAGAGCACAAACCCAAAAATGCTCTAACCTGTGTCTTGTCTTTTGGAACCGGCCAATCCTTGACAGGGGCAATTTTCTCTGGATCCGTGCGGATACCTTCTTCCGACAATACATACCCCAAAAAGCTAACTTGCCGTTTGAATAGTGAGCACTTCTTCGGACTGAACTTGAGGTTGGCACTCTGGATCTTCATGAGCACGTTTTCCAGGTTTTGAAGGTGTTCCTCAAACGTACGGCCTACGATGATGATGTCATCCAAGTAGACCAGACAGGCATCGCCAATTAGCCCGGTAAGTACAAGCTCCATCAACCTTTCAAACGTTGCCACAGACCCTTTCTTGTGGAGAATGCAGTTTTCTCCTTGTCCTTAGGGTCAATTTCAACCTACCAGTAGCCACTTTTCAGGTCCAGCGTACTAAACCACTTTACGCCTGTAAGCATGTCCAGCGTGTCATCAATTCTTGGCAAGGGATAGCTGTCCTTCTTCGTAACGTCGTTTAGGCGGCGGTAGTCAACACAAAACCGCATGCTACTGTCCTTCTTCTTTATCAACACCACAGGTGAACACCATGGACTAGATGAAGGTTCAATAACACCATCCTTCACCATTCCCTCAATCATGGTTTCCACTTCCTTTTCACGTTCTACAGGCAATCTCCTTGGCCGCTGACGAATAGCAATTCTTCTCCTGTGTTTATTTTGTGTTGAACTAAGCCAGTCTTTCCTATGTCAGCTTCGTTTGACGAGAAAACATTGGCGTACTTGAGTAACAACTTCTTCGCCTTGACCATTTCATTCGGGGAGAGAACGCTGCGACAGTCTTCTAAAAGTGTGGTCACTCTCGTTTATCCATCCTTGCTGGGGGTCCCAGTCAATGAAAATTCGCACCGACACAACCAATCCACCTCCTCACTAGTACCAACCAATGTGCCTTTTTCTATAATCTGTTCCTGATCACAAAGGTTCAACACACGTACTCCTGAGATGTCGGTGGTTCTGACCAAGGTTCGAGCCACTTTCCATGGAAGGTCATTGTCTACCCTTTCCACGAGTACACAACGATGAGCTTGCCCAGGACTCCGAGGAAGACTAACCGGCACAATCATTTCCGATCTCGGCGGAAGAACAATCTTCTTAAGGCTGTACACATTCCCTGGTACCGCCCTTTTCATTAAAAGTTCTTCTTGTACACATTTCAAAACACCTTGCTTAACGTCGATCTCACAACAATTCTTCCTCATAAAGTCTAGGCCCAGGATGCAGTCGTCCATTATATCAGCCACGATGACATTATGCAGGTAGATCATGTTGCCTAGCTTCAACTTCTCTCCACGGACAGGTATGCGCTGACCGGTGGCTTTCACCAAATTAATGCGTTCGCGGTTGTATGCGGAGTCCACAAGGTACTGACTTATAAGTTGGGAACTGACAACCGTGGAAGAGGCTCCAGTGTCTATGGTCAGTTTACACGGCGTTCCGTTGACCTGGCCCTTGATGATTAGGCTGTTCCCATTACGGGTTTTTGAGATCGAAATCCTTGGGGCTCTTTTAACATCAGCCAGCACCCGCCAGTTTCCATAATGCTGCTGGGCGGTGCTGTTAGCCACACTACCCACTCGAGATCGATCACCTTCCATTTCTACAGTTCGCTTAGGGCAGCTGAATCGAAGATGGCCCATCTCCCCACAGCCGTAGCACCTAGGTCTATATCCTTTACTGTGGTCACGAACTATAGCTGCTGCAACCTGCCTGACGCGATAGGAACGATGATCCTGTCACACGGATTCCACCTCCAGTACATGGGCCAACGCGTCCTTAAGCGTCTCGTGATGCCCGAGCCTTACAGCAGCTCTGACTTCAAGGTCGCAGATGCCGTCGATGAATGTCTGCACCAGGTTCCCTACAATGAGCGCAGGTACAGACTGGTACGCTTTTCGAACCAGCTTCTCCACCTCAAGGGCCCACTGCTGCAGGTTTTCGTTACTGCGTTGCACGTGATCTTTGAGCTGCGCACGAAAGACGTGTTCCAGGTGAGCGTCGTCATATCGCGCCTGCAATGCCTCAAGGTGCTGCTCGTAAGTCACTTCCTTACCGAGAGCTTCCAGAACAGTTAAGCCTGGTCTCGCAGGCCTAGGGTGAGAGCAGTCATGGCCTGACTTTTATTCCAGCCGTTCGCCTTCATGACAGCCTCGAATTGGATTTTATATGCCGACCAGGAAGAAGTCCCGTCGAACGCCGGCGCTTTAAATCCACGTAGCGAAAGTGTTGTAGCTACCACGGGAGCTATAACTCCTTCCCCAAGTTTGAGGTTGTCCAGCGTTTTCTTCACGTCAGCTATCACGTTGTCAACCCGATTGTACACTTGGTCCATTCGGGTTTCAGTTTCCGACAGGCGGTTGTCATATCGAGCAAACTTATCCTTCACCTCCCTTATCTCTTTCCCAAAGGTAGCGTGAAGGTCCTTCATGAGAAGTATCTGCTCTTCCTTATTACGTTTGAGCTGCTCTTCCAACCGACGGCCCTCTTCCTCCTGTTGGCGGGCCTGTTCCTGCAGCATCATCATCAGAGCACCTAAGTCAGGTGCTGCAGATGCAGGAGTTGCTGACGGGCCGGCCTCCGTGGTCGGCAGCTGGCCCTCCGACGTTTGCGGCGATGCATTACCAAATCGTCTCTGGTCCGTCTCCATCTGGCGTCGACTTCGAGTACGGATACCCTCCATGTCGTCCTTTGGTAAAATCGGCATGATTTGATCCCACTTCTGACACCAATTGTTACGAGCTTGGGGTTCGAGACAATTAAAAACTGTCGATTGAATTACCAAAATTGACACTTTAATTACACAACACTAATTGCAATCTAAAACCACACTAATAATAAAACACAATCACTTTAGTTCGCAGTTATTTCGCTTCGAAGTATTCTCTTGTATCGCCAATTCAATACTGCCTTCGTCGTGGTCTATACCGGCCTTATATAGAGCCTCAGATAGTTTCCAGAACCTTCTACTGTAGCGACATCTAGAATATTCGAGTACATATCGGTCCCGAAATTTCTGGAAGGATCTTGACTCTCCTAGTTCTGCTACTTGACACTAGAGGGCGCTAGTGTAACTGGTGTTGCCATGTACAAGACATTAATAGTGGCGCGCAACAATACGTACAGAAGTGTGCGAAACAATGAGACAGAAACAGAAACTTTTTTATTCAATATAGATTATAAATAATACTTATTGAAAGTTACTCTTATGTTTAATTACCAGTGGTTCCAAAAAAAACCTCTGTCCTGGGAAGAACCAGCAAGAAACCCAGCGGGACTTTTTTTTAAAAATAACAGCCTACAATCATATATGTTACACAATCAACCAAACAAAACAAATTAGAAATAGCTTGGTAGCGATCACCTTATTCTCATACATTTCTTAATGATAATAATTCCTGGAAATGAGGTGATCACTACCAATTTTTTTTGAGTGAATTGGTGAGGGTGCATTACACAGTAAACCCACCTCACTTTCCCACTACGGTGTTGTTTTGCAGTCACTATGTGTAGCTTGCCGTATGGAACCGTCCATTCTTTCAAAGTCCTTAGATCAGCTATCTCGTTTATCGTGATTCTGTTCTTTGTGACCATTTCTTCATTCAAGCGGTTATCTGGACAGATATATGGGTATGGGACCCATCCAGAGTTCAATTTTTTTATTTATAAAACCGCCAATCCCGAAAGTCGTGTGTACCGAAATTAGCTCCCTTTCACGTTTATATTTATATTAATTTGGAAGAGGAATCTTACGACATGCATTTTTGTATACGATAGCTTTTGTTTGTTTCCTTACTTGACAATAAATTTTGTTAAAATAGGAAATGCCTTATGTGAACTTACTTCGGATCCGTAATGACCTCTTCGTTGTAGAAAATGGAGAGTAGCGAGAGGATGAGTCTGCGATCCTTGTCGTCGGTGACCCGACCGCCGTAGTTGCACTCGCCCGCGAGGTAGTTCAGCGCCTCGAACGGTGTCTCCGCGTACTCGGACAAGAACATCTGAACATTTAACGTCTCTGGTTAAACATTGAAGTAATATAATACGTACTAGAACGGACACCGCGAACAAAATCTGGAAAGAAGGAGGATAGTGGTTTTTATGTTACAGACTATCGAAGTAAGTTTGAGCCCGCGGTTTCTAACGATATAACAAACAACCAAGTCTCGACGTCTCTTCTAGTAATTAAGTATTCGGAATTGCTACTTAAAATACCAACAGTGAGAGAAAATAAGTCTGGCCCACCAGGAAGGTTACATGAAGTAGATAAACTCACGATTAGGGCAGCGGCGACTTTAACGTGGCTTCAACGATATCTTCGAATGTGAAAAACTTCGGGTCTTCCTTGACCACATTCCTACGTGATTTTTATAGTATATGCACACAGCTGGGTCGTCCCGACACAGCACAATCATTAACACTTTAATACATTACCGATGCAGCTAGTCTTCATTATTTTTACACACGGGTATCGATCGTGTCGACTTCTTTTACAGACGCTTTTGTTGTAGGCCAACAGATGGTGCCATAAGTTTAGTTTTGCATATTATGGAAGGGATGGATGCGGTAGTAAAGTAAGGAAGGCAAGCCAGTACAATATCTCACCTGCAGCTGCATGATGCAGATCCTGAGGTCGCTCTCGTTGAACTCGTACGGTATGTTCCAGCCGAGTGGTCCAAACGCGCGTCGCTCCTGCACCAGAGCGTGGAAGAAACATAGCGCAAACAATAGCCGCCTCCACTCTTCAGTTCGCGGACACGATATGTAGAACTCCGGCTCGCAGATCGGGTCCGACGTGTACGAACGGTACATGTTGTTCTTGAGACCTTTTGGTGCCTCGTTCGTCATTTTCACTCCTGTAAAGCATTTTATATGATAACTGCCCGTGAACTGCGCGTGTTAGACCCACCCTGCAGCTACATTTATGGTTGTAACACGAATGGGTCAGTTCGACCGGGGGACGCCAATGCTCTCACAGAATAAGGGGCGTTTTATTTTAGTCCTCAGGGGTGACAACGCAACTGAATTTTCATTCTTAATCGAGCATAACTGTAGAAGTCTATAGGCCACAGCATCCACTTACCATTATGTGGACTATGTGCTCGTTTGTCACCCTTATGTGGCATTAAATCTAAACTTTTTTTTGTAAAAACATTACAATATTTAACATGTTTTAATTTTTTTATATTAATTGTTATAAGTTTTATGTTTAATATTTACGTGGTAGAGCCACGTTGCAGTTATATTAATTGTATAGTTGCAGCACGAATGGGTCGGTTCGACCGCGGAAGGACCACGCTGTCGCAGAATACAATATAATATATGTGAGTGTAGAGAACCGGAGAACCTTTTTACGGCATTCTATCTTGGTCTTCACTGCTGACAACGCATCTGCATTTTAATTCGCAAACGAAGATAGATGTAGATGTCTACGGGCCACAGAAACCATTTACCACCAGGTGGACTGTGTGCTCGTTTGTCACCCTACCCTATAAAAAAAGTAGCGGTATAAGAATATTCTCTACCCTCTATCATACCGTGAGTGTCGTAAGAGACTACTGACAGAAACAAATCAGGAGATGAGCAGGAGCGTCTAACTAATATAACGACTAAAAATAAAAATAAACTGCAGTTGCCAACCCGCTTGTCAAATGTGGCAACTATGGCAAACATTCTGATCCATACGAGGCAAACTATGGTACCATACACACCGTATCCATACGAGGCCTATGTTCAGCATTCGACTTTGGATAGGTTGTAATGGTGGAAAGTGTATGTTGAAAGCACTGACCGTTCTGTAGCACAGTAACCGGGAACGCCTTGCTCGGGTACGACGTGAGCCAGCACCGGAAGTGCGGGTGCGTCGCTTGTGGAACGATCACCTCGGCGCAGATGCGCTCCAGCTCGCCCATCCACGACTCCATCACGTGGCAGTTCTGCAGCACCACCCAGCCGCCCGACACTATCGCTTGGTTTATCATGTTAGCTGCTATGGGGCCCTGAAAGAATCAGACTGTCACGTTTTTTTAACCTCGTAAGGCCCAAGGTGTGTACAACTAGATGAGCTAAACGCCCAATGTGCAATTCAATGCACAATATCTTGTTATACCGTTGCGGCCAATTTTACGCGAACAATTTTATTACTAGGTAGTAAGGTATTCGACCTTACCGCACCAATGAGCCTAACCAGTAGGTAAATATTTGTCATTCAAAGATATCTATTATAAAAGCTTATTTTACGTACATCACACTAGCTTTTGTTTCATGTCAATATATGTAGTAATAGCGAAGTTAGGCGCGGTTTTTCTAAGTCGCGAGATTTCGCGCGCTCATGGTGTGACGTCATCTCGCCCGTCTCTTACTGCTCAGCCATTAACCTACGTATGCAACGGTCGAACACGCTTGTTTTTCCGCAATATTTTTCCTATCTAATTTAAAAAGCTTGTAAAAATTGACATGGAAGTAGGCTACTAAAACGGTCAATCTGACAATTTACCTAAAGTAAATGGTTTTATGGTAGCTAAATATTTATTAAAAATAGTGACTATCGCAGCAAGCATTAACTTATCTATTAAGTAGTAGAAGGTTTGTTAGGAATATTACATATCATGTCTACGCTAGAACAAGATCCCAGGGCCACCAGACGTCACTTATTTTTTGACGAACGAAATGTATATGATTGAGTAGTGTTAGTATGTACTATGAATGTTGGTCAGAAAACATGTGACATCTGGTGGCGCTAGGATCTTGGACTATACGCTAAGGACCGCATTAATCAAAAAGTTTAGTAAGAACTAAACTTGTGTAAAGTAGACGCAACATTTCCATTTACATTTTACACAGAATTTTCTTAATAATTTCTGTCTTTTTTGTAAGTTTATATACAACGGACCGTACAGGTTTTATTTAGCTGCTTTTGACAAGCAAACTTGTGAGGCAATACGCCTTTCTGAAATTTCAGCAGTCCTCGAACTCGATTATACTTAACATAGACATACCATGTCATTTAAACTTGAAAACAAAAATGAATTTATTTTGACGGGGCTCCGGGTTCGATTTCCGAGCGGAAACTATTCTAAGTAGATTTGATATTGTATAAATGATATTTTTATATTTTTAGAGCCATGTAAATTCAAAATAGTTTTCAGGTTCTAAGCATAGCTGGAAATATTTCACACACATTTTTTAAATGCGGGTCTCAAGCTTGTAGTCTTGCCTGTGCAATACAACATTTTTTATTGCAGTTTTTATGAATCTGTTTTACAAATAATGCGGCCCAGCAACTGCTGTAGGTTGAAATGAACAGCCCTGCATTGTATGCCAACATAGATTATAATAAAATAAACAATATTTAGATAGGCAAGCCATATAAGTTACCTATATATTATAATTACTTTTGAATTCACTCTTATGGACCATAGATAATACACTATTTATATCAAATGTGAAATCTAATCTCGATACATGCACCTTTTTTTTTACATGGGGAAATGCCTACGCATACACGCCTCACGGGGGCAAGGACGGGTTATGTCGGACTCGCACCGACTAAAACTCCATGGTGTTCCACCTTCGTCGCAGTATTGGCAGGGCCACGGGAACGTCGAAATAACAGCTTTTTACTATCTGCATACGAAAGTGTATACAGTACTTATAACAAAAACACGATTTTTAAATTTTTTGTCTGTCTGTCTGTCTGTTTGTTCCGGCTAATCTTCGAAACGGCTGGACCGATTTAGACCGAACTTTCACTGACAGATAGCTTAGGCTTAGCTTAGAAGTAACTTAGGCTACTTTTACTTCAGAAGAAGAATTAGGGTTCCGCGCAAAAAATTAAAACCTAAGAAATCCAATCGTAATAAATTACGCGCGGGAGAAGTCGCGGGAAACAGCTAGTACGTAATATATTGGAGTCATGATTATTATGATTTTCAAATACACAATAATATAAAATTTTCTAACATCAAAATGATTCTCATAACAGAATGCGGTAGTTTTTGGTCCAATAGAATCTGCTCTCTATAAAACGATCATCTACTTTTTTGATATATGGCTAGTACGAGACCATAAAAACAATTTATTAGTAATACTCGCGGTGCTCGGAGACGACACAATACTTATATGACATTTTAATCAAAATAATAATCACAGCGGTGAGTGACCCGCTCGAAATTGCGAGCGAAATAGTAATTTCCCTGCGACGCGAGTGATGACGTCACCATGCTTTGTCCGGCTGCCGGCCGAACTTCGACAAGAACATCGCGCGGTAGGGATGGGCAAGGGAAAAAAATATATCGATATATATCGAATCTATATTTTTAAACAGTATCGATATTTATCGCGTGAAAAAAGACGATATATCGATATATCGTCAACATTTGCATGATGTAAAGATAAGGTCAAAAATTTTATTTACTGACGGTTGGACGACGAAAAAAACGATACAACATTTTAAAATATATCGAAATTGATACGAATTCGATACTCTAAAATAAATATCGATATATCGAAATATTGCGTTTAAAAATATGGACGATATATATCGATATTTTTATTTAAAAATATCGCTATTTCGATATATCGATATTTCGATATATTTTGCCCAAGCATATCGCGCGGGAAAACGCGTACAGCCGCGTACAGCAAAGGAGTGAAATAAGTTGCCAGCATAATATGTCTTTCTATCTGATTACAATGTGAGTGTTTTGAAGGCAAAAGTGAATAGGCTTTTGTTAAGTTGTAAGTGTTTTGGCAAGTGGGATTATAGATGAGCGCTGGCTTAAAATAGTAAAAAAATAAAATAATAAATAAATAAATATGACCAGCTGTACAAAGTATGAAAACTGTTTCTTTACATTCCTCGTTGTACTTATTAGCAATAAACACGTAAAAAACTTGAAAACTTGTCTTTAAAGCTGAACGGACATATATCCGCGCCGTACGCGCCGCACGCGCCGTACGCGTCGAATTTTAGAATTCGTTGTATGAAATCATATGAAACCTCGCACATTACACCCGCACCGTACGCGCTGAATTTTATAAAATGCGGTAGGTATACGATATCGAAGGATGAATGCTGATGACGTCATATAGTGCGGCGCGTGCTGATACTTTTTTTTTTGGAGTTTATGGCCTGGTATCTAGACCTTTAGGCCAAGTCTTAAGTATTTTTATTCGGTTTATTGTAATTTCCCCACTCCTTCATAGTATACTGCTTCACAATATGTTGATGCGTCACATTGTGCAGTTCTTGGGAGATTTTGGCGGCAACTTGATCCAGCAGACAGCTGATAGTTGGCGATGGTATCTAAAGGTGCCTATGCAAACAAACAGCTTATCTTGAGAATCCATCACCATCAGAGCACTTGTTTCACTGTTTCCACTAATAGTTCACATGCGTAGATACTTAATACACAAAATCGCAACACTTTTACATATCAAAGTCCACTTCAAACCATTATTTAAACAATAATACAGGAGCAGCAAACCGCCGCCGGTCAATTTCCCGCCAAAACTCCGCGTGCTGATACTCAGTGTTGTCTAATGTTGCCAACTTAGTGGATTTTCCACTATAACTGGTGGTTTCGACTTACATGAAAATTTTTGTATTTTATAACTTTTAATTCATTCCTAATTAATTATACATAATTTGATTTTTTTTACATCGATGATCAATATGAATACTTAGTGATAAATTATTTAAATACTGAACTAAAAAAAATGGTTAAATTTAATTAAAAAACCCAATTATACCTGATTACTTAATTATCAATAAAAATACTTACCTCAAACGTACAACAAGTCTTTTCTCTGGTTCAATTGGCCTTCTAAATCTTGAGTTTTCCATAGAAAGATATGGTTTTAGTACATGTAGCAATTCTTGAAGTTTCATGTATGTTAAATGCAAATATCTAAAAAATCGTTCATCATCATCTAATAAGTCTTTAAATAAAGTATATCCACTTCATATTCTCCATACAATTGCCTTTTTAAATTAATATTATGAATCCAGAATCTTCTTTTTCTTCGAATTTTTTTTACTTCCTCTGCCCATATTATGGTATGGTATGGAAAGAAATATAGTAATAGCAGGCAATTACTATATTTCTTTCCATTGTGATTTCAAGCGATCAATTGCAATGTACCGTTTCACACCAGTGGTTGGAAAAAACTACAAAAGTTGTTGGTAATACAAAAGATTTGCGTACGGTGCGGACGATGCGTACGGGCAAATGTGCGAGGCCATCAGTAAAACTGGGCGCGTGCGGCGCGTACGGCGCGGATAAATGTGCGTTCAGCTTTAATTGACTTTTATGAAAAAAATAAAACTACCCGCACCTGACCCTGTCCAAGCGAGATAGTCTCGAAGCTAACGACCTTCTTTTCCATCGAGAACTTGACGAGTCCCGACATGGGGTCTGAACCGGGAGACAGTATGAAGATGAGTGGTGAGCAGCAGTTGCTATCGTCGTACGAACGCTGGAGATCAAAGGGCGGCGGCTCGATGTAATTCCGCCCCAGAGATTCGGCCACATATTGTTGCACCAATGGGATCAGTTTGTCTGGGCGGATGCACCTGCAATGTAAATTTTAAATTGTGTGGTGTAAGGTGTGAAAAGAAGATGATGATCTAATGATAGAATAAAAAGCAGCTAAATCTTGGATCCACAGTTTCAAATTGTTTTCCTGAGAAGTCAAGCATAGCCTTTTGAATAACTTGCTAAAGGGAACACCATAATTATCTAATGACTACATAGTTAAATTATAAATCTATATACACATCACAGCTCTGCATAAAGCTCCGCTCATTTGTGAGAGACATGAAAAAAGCCATGCGAATATACAATGTTAACACTAATACGTAGGAAGCTTCCAAATCTATACCTCAGAATAATGAGTTCCGGAATCCCGTTGATGTTTTCATAGGGCGTGGGGAAATTGCTTTCTTGTGGAGCCGATAGATCGTAGAACTCCTTCCAGCTGTTCAAATTCGCTTCAAAGTTTTCTTTGAAACCACGCAACCTGAACAAAAAAAATTACTCACAAGATTTTTTTACTTTTAACATTTGATATCTTTTTTTATAGGAGAGGGGAAAGCGTGCATACAGCTAACATGATTGTAAGTGACTACAGCCGCCCATGAACAAGTGCAACACCAGAAGAATTTCAGGTGCGTTGCAGGCCTTTTAGAAAGGAGTAAGCTCTTTTCTTGGAGGTTCCTAAGTTGTATCGGTCCGGAAAAATCGCCGAGATCGTACGCGGGAGAAAACTCCTAGTAAAACGTACAGTCGTGGACCGTCATGCATCCAGATGGTGTGGATGGTATCGGGGAGTATTGCCGAGATGTGCATTCGTGAAATTTGGCCACTGGGATCAATCCTTAAAATTCCTCAGAGCACTCCCCGTGGTAAATGCAAAAGAAAATGCAAAGGGATACAGCATCTCTTCGCAGCGCCAATGAATCGAGCCGATCGGAAAGGACTCGGTCGTCGACGATTCGAGCCGCTGTGCGCTGGATGCAGTCAACTGGAAGGAGCTGGCACTGGGGAGCCCCAGCCAAGAGATAAGAACAATATTCCATATGAGGCCGTACCTGTGCCTTGTAAAGTTATAAAATATATTATCTAATATATAAAAATTAATGTATGTTTGTTCGTATTTCATGCGCTGCCATACCGTTGATCAGGTTGCGGTAAAACTTTGCCAAATTATTGTATGCATTTGCGTGAAGGTTATAGCCATATTACAATTAACTTACAGTAGGTTGTGCGAGTATCGTACCGACAAATTTGTTTGAAAGTCATATATCATTCAATTTCAATGAATCTATTATCTTTCCTAACTAAACTTCCAAATTTAAAACGATATTTCCACAATTATTTCTTCTGCAGCAGCAACGCGCCGAGTGCCAGCTGGTTAAATATACAATCTCTACTTCTTACCCATTCAGATTGCTACAGCGCACGATCTCCGACCAAGATTTCTCTGAAAGCCAGCCGGGCGCCGGATTCTCGTAAGGGTTCTCCAGTGCCACGCCGCCGGTCAACAGGAACGCCACCAGCTCATCGTCTATTTCTCCCTAGTTATAAAATCAACAGATGATCAGATGAAGCTTGTTATTATTTAATATTTAAATTATGTTTAGAGTTTTTTTTTATAGGATAAGTGTTCTTGACGTCACTGCCTATTATTCTCCCCGGCTCGAGTCGTCGGGCGGCGGACCTCAAACTGGTTCAGCGAGCGATTCACGGCCCCACCACCTTCATGGACACAGCGCGGCACCACTACAAGGCTTTCCTGCTAGGAACAACCAGATCGCGAACGCACGCATTACGGCTACCTCTGTTATAGCAACCAATAAATTACCTTTATACAGTCTACATATTGAAGTTCTTATTTTAGTCAAGAATTCCACCAGCACAAGTGGAGCTTGATATTCAACAATAAGGGTGACAAGCGAGCACACAGTCCACTTGATGGTAAGTGGTTGCTGTGGCCCATAGACATCTACATCTATACTCATTTGCGAATTAAAGTGCAGATGTGTTGTCAGCCGTGAGATGACTAAGATGCAATGCCTCTTTTCCAGTAAAAAGGGTCTCCGGTTCTCTACACTCACCATACGAAACACAGTAACATTAAACTGCTATTTTACGCTGGTATTCTGCGAGAGCGTGGTCCTTCCCCGGTCGAGCCGACCCATTCTTGCTACAACTATACAGTTAATATAGCTGCGTCATGGCTCTGCCACGTTTCACGTTCTCTGCATGTTAGAATTTGAAATAATGATATCGGCAGCAGTAGCACCAGAGTTACTGATATAGATTAACGGATCAATTAGCTGTGGTGGCAATCAAACAACCGACAACCAATGACAAGGTTGTCGAGTAGCGCCGTAACTAGGTGGAGTGACGACCTGGTCAGAGATGCATAAAGTCGATGGATGCAAGTGGCTAAGGACTGTGTTTTGTGACATTCCTTGGGGAGGCTTATGTTCAGCAGTAAACTTGTGAATGTCTGTAATTATGATGATGTTGATGATGATAAATTATTTATATAAACAAAACAGAAAGAAAAAAATGTGGTCTTAATGCTATACTGCAATTTCTTCCCGACAACCCTCAAAATAAATATAAAAAGAGATAAAACTATTAGCAATTGCATGTCATGGCCGCAGGTAGCACAGGCCTCCTCTCACTTTGGACAGGATTATGATTCAATTAATCCGTCTCTTTGCTCCAGTGCGTGTTCGCGGACTTCACATCATGTCATGTAGCATTAAGCTGCTATTTCACGCTGGTATTCTGTGAGAGCCTCCGTCGATCTGACCCATTCGTGCTACAACCATAATATAGCGTTAGAGAAAATCCTTTTTTTTATAGGAGAGGGGGGCAAACGAGCATGCGGCTCACCTGATAGTAAGTGACTACCGCCGCCCATGAACAACCGCAACACCAGGGGAATTGAAGATGCGTTGCCAGCCTTTTAAAGGGCGTAGGTTCTTTTCTTGAAGGTCCTTAAGTCGTATCGGTCCGGAAAAATCGCCGGTGGTAATCGATTGCACAAGGAAAAAATCGTCTCAATACACTCCAGCAGCGGACAAAGAAGTCTTACAAAGAACATAACTATGATATAATATAAATATTTCATCCTTCAGAAAGTCTTACCTTAGGTCTCAGCAAGCCAAGAGTTAGAACGAGAGAGAATATAAGTTTATCCTTTTCGAACAGGCTGCGGCAGACATTTTCGTAGATGCTACGTGTGAAGTAATCGTTGAGTCCCTGCAGACGTACAGACAGATCGTCGCTTTTCGGTGAATTTATAATCGCCTGGTTGTATAGATTTATGAACCTGAAAAGAATAGATAATACTCTTTAGAATAATAAAAAAAAACTATATATTACTGAAAAAAAAAACTCGGCCAAGTGTATGCTTTGTACAAAAATTAGTGTTTTCTAGCCACACATCAGACTTCTTCACCAATATTATGTATTAGAATTAGAAGGCTTATGGCAACTGGGACAGCATATTTTCTAAAAAGAAAAGGTTTGAAAAAATGCGTTTTATAAATACGGTCTTTGTTTTGAGACCAATAGTTTCGGAGCATTAAATTAACATTTATATTCATCATCAAAATTATTAGAAACTAATTTTAAATGAAATTAAACAAAGTAAACAAAAAAAATGTGTGCAGTTCCCACGCGGTATACCTATAAGTGAAACCTTTAAATGAAATTATAAAATATATTTCACGGCAAATGCATAAAAATGAGCCATTAAATATAAGATAAAAGTTTAAGTACCTATATAGCAAATAAATGTTACAATCCTTATTTTTATACATGTAGAATAGAGACTAAATTTTAGAATATTTTTAGTGTAATAAATGAAAAGAAACTCGATGATATTTACTGGAAAGAAAATATTCTTTCCATTAAAATAGCTTTGTAATAGCGCCATCTACTACATTCTATAGGTAAAGTCATTTTTATTAAACAAAAATTGATCGACTCTCAAGGTGGAACGTAAAATAGACTAATTTAATATCTATCTCATTCTCTCGCAGGCTAAATCCTATAGATATGTATGCTTGTCTCTTTTTAGTGTCGCTTTTTCATTTCATCGAGTATAACCATGCCAATGCTGTGTAAATGCTATGTAAAAGAAAAAACCTTTGCGACAGACAGACAAATGGACACCGAGATGATTATGTTACAAAGACAAAAGAGAATCCTTAACATATTGCGCAGATCTGTTTTTCGTATTTCCCTTATTGAATAAGAAATTATATATATAATTATATATATATATATATATATATATATATATATATATTGAAAAAGGAGTGTAATGCAGATCATTATGTCCCCTCCGACATAATAGACATAACCTTATATATTTATACATTACTACCATATACGAATTACAACGCGGCGAACATTTCCTTACCCTAAAACCCTCTCAGGAATAACTAAGATGAGAATGAATGAATCTAAGACTAAGATGGAGTGCCCCTTTTCCAGTAAAAAGGGACTCCGGCTCCTTACACTCACCATACGAAACAAAGCAGCGTTAAGCTGCTATTTTAGGTTGGTTTTCTGTTGAGAGCGTGGTCCTCCTCCTGCCGAGCCGACCCATTCCTGTTACAATTATACTACTAATAGCTGCAGCATGGCTCTACCATATTTAATACGTTCTTTACGCTCCTACGTAGCGTTCGTACATTCTTAACTTTACGTTCACTCACCAATTAAGCGAGTACTGGTACATAGGATCGATGTTCGCCAGATCGGAAATGCAGAAGAAGAGCACGGAGCTGTGCTCGGAGACGGGCACGTAGAGTTGGCGCGCGGCGTCGATCTCGCGCTCGGTGCCCGCCGCCGCCGCCTGCTTCGCCTCGATCTCCAGCGACAGCTGCTTCGACGACGACAGAATCACGTTCGCCGACTCGTCCTCCAGGATGTTACCGGCGGACGACAGCACCTGTGACGTTAGTTATACTTACGACATGTGACGATAGAGACCCGTATGTATAGTATAATATTTAAGCCTTGGATACACTTGGGGACAAAAGGATCGGCATGTTGCGCAACATGTCGCTCAACAACTACCTGGAATGACCCGAGACATTTTGCAGGTCAACACTAGTCAGTGTTTATAGAAATGTCGCCCGAGGAGGTTATTGTGTTTAGTGCTGCGTACATAGTACTTAATTAAACGTAAGCGAAAGAGAAGGTGGTGGATGCAGAATTTCTTACTACGACGAGAAGAAAGATGAATAAATATTTTAAGTGATCTCCGAATGTTTGGCGGATCTTTTGTGAATTTTCCTCGAATGTAATCTGATTTTGAAACTTTATTACAAATGATCGGACCAAGCCAAACAGGATACTAAGGAACGCTGTTGGCCCTCATATCAGACTTCCCATTGCATTAAGATACTTGTCGACTTGAGATTTTTATGTTTCCTTGTCGTACACTTTTCGAGTTTTGAAACAACTGATCGGTAGAATAGTACCTAAGTTTGTGGTTTGAAGTATCCCACAACAAAACATGACTCTGAAACCTAAAGCTCAAGAAATAAAAGCACGGTTTTATTTCAACGTATTACTGACATGTTGCAAGGTACGTATACATACGATTAAAGTCTCTAACAAATGGCGCGACACTGACGCGGGACATGTGCGCTCGTTCTCGGAGTGGAAACAAGCAACATGTCCCGCGTCACGGAAAATGTTGCGGGCCATGTTTTGAGTCATTGTGCAACGTTGCATCGTCACGTAGATTGAGTGTTCCGCGTAATGTTGCGGGACAAAATGTCCTCTAGTGTATCCGGGGCTTTGAAAACATCTGTTAGGTAGGATAGGCTTCGCGCATCGGACACGGGGACTTCTGTTGTTGGAGGCCGTGGAGGAGGGCGTGCCATGTGATCTGGCGTGCCTTACCTGAGAAATAGATGGGGGAGGAGGAGTCCTGTCCGAGAAGGGTCGCCATGTCGCCATGGTGCGGCCGGCGTCGTTGGGGCCGCGGATGTGTGCGGTTCCCGTGACCCTGCTAATATGCGACGAAGGTGGAACACCATAGGGTTTTAGTCGGTGGAAGGTTAGTTTCAGTGTATTAAAAGGCCCCGTGGAGCAGTGGCTTAGCAAAGAGTTACAGTGCTAAGGGCCGCGGTTCCGAATACCCGACGGAACAAGTATTAGTATGGCCTACAAATAATTGTTCCGGGTCTTTATGTTTGTCCTTGTGAAATTTATGTATGTGTAACTGCTCCCACGATACAGAAGAAAATGCTAGTGTGGAGGTAACGTTCTAAGAAATCATTATAGCCCCACCTCAAGTATTTTATCTTCAATTTCTTTCAAAGTCCTTTTATTGTTTGCACCCTCGACTATAAGTTGATTTTTCTTAAGCTCCAGTTCAGGTCTGTCTTGTGCCACTACGATGCCTAGTAATTGATCTTCTAACCCTTGGGGCGTTATCATGAAGTTTAACAATGTTACCTGCAGAAAAAAATTGCGTTTTAATATGGGGAGTTGATACCATCTTTAACAAATGACTAGGTGGATCATATAATTAGCATTTACAATACTTAATTCCACCGTAAAATAAATTGTGTATATATACAGTGTATTTTACAGTGTGTATATATAGGGTGTGTAAAATACAACTAAATTCACTACTAGATCGTCTATGCGGTGTAAGAATACCTACTACCCCATATCGTCTTGTAGATGTCGTAAGAGGTGACAGAGGGAAACAAACCAATCTGTTGGTCTCTATCAGTTACTCTGGTTCTACTGCCGATATCCTCATTTCTAAATGTATCACGCAGAGAAATCCCGAGCATAGCCCATCCTATAGCTCGCTGCCTTGAGCTTCCTAATACCACTGCTGGGTATAGAGCTCCTCTTAATTCTAGGGGTTATAAAGGGATAAGTTCACCGTGCTGATGCAGTCTTAATTTTTACATGCACAGGTGCAGTCTTTATTTCCTCACTCTCATAGTCAGATGGCACGTCAATCTGATGAGAGTGATCAGGTGCAGGACCAACAGCTTTACCGTGCTTTCCAAGGCAAGGGGTTGACACACCCTCAACTTCTTGACTTGGGGCTGCTACACGGAATTTCTTGATAGAAAAACCCAATAACTGATTTTAGTCCGACCCGGAATTCGAACCTGGGTCCACATGATCAGTAGTCACTCTTCCGACCTCCAGATCAACGAGACAGTGATATAAGACATTACATGCTGGTTTCCTCACGAACTTTTCCCACAACAGTAAGTCATCACTTAAAATTGCAATGCCAGTGGCTCCACCAATAGCCTTGCTGGTGGCAGTGGGGATCGAACCCGGAATGTTGGTATACTATGAAATTATGAACACAAGTTTAGGATTAACGACATTTTAATTTCCAATGCAATCGGACTTACACAATACTTACACATACGTGGAAGAGCCATGCTGCAATATAGATTAGTAGTATAGTTGTAGCACAAATGGGTTGGCTCGATTGGTGAAGGACCACGCTCTCACAGAATACCAGCGTAAAATAGCAGCTTAACACTGCTGTACTTCGTATGGTGAGTGTAAAGCTGTAGAGAATCGAAGACCCTTTTTACTGGAAACCAGGCATTCCATCTTAGTCCTTACGAGTGACAACGCATCTGCATTTTGATTATTTATTGAGGATACATGTAGATGTCTATGGGTCACTGCGATCACTTACCATCAGGTGGACTGTGTGCTCGTTTGTCACCCTATACTATAAAAAAAAAACTTACTTTGACTGCAATCTCTGGCAAGTAGTGCGGGTTGCTGAGACGCGTCGTAATGTAGAAGCGGAAATCGTAATTGTACTCCAAGATGTTGTCGCCGAACTTCAAGCAGTCTATGCCGCCTGACCTATTTAACCAAAGTAAAGTAATATTAATGATAAATGCCTGAAATCCCTATGGCTTCCGACTGATGGTGGTATGAACTACTGGTCTACGTTAGAGTACAAAGACCGGCGACGGACAGCAGCGTTAAAGGTGCACGTCTGGTACAGCGATCCTCAGTTCGCCTGCAAAGCGTGACGTTTAAGGCAAATTCTCCCTACAAGAAAAGAGCCTTATTTCAAAAACAAGGAGGTACTCAATTCGACTTTGTTTTTTTTATCTGTGTCACCTCATAACTTTGTTCTACGTGAACCGATTTAGATGATTGTTCTTTTATTAGAAAGCTGGTACTTCTCATGTGGTTTCTTATAAATTTGATCACGGTTTTTGAGTTATCCTCAATAATATATATTGAAGTCGGTTGTACAACATTTTTAATTTGAAATTATCTTTAGTGGACCTAATGAACAGATTAAAAATAAGAAATCGTGTAGTGGGGCGGTGTACGAATATCTACTACCCCATATCATCCCGTAAAGATGTCGCAAAAGACGTCAGAAAGAATCTGCACCAGGAGATGGGAAGCAGGTAGCAGCATCTTCCTGATAACTAACACGCCTGACAAGCGTGCCAACTGTGGCAAATATCCACTTGTGAGGCAATCTGTTGGGGAAGATTTAGTTGAGCAGTAGACTTTTGATGGGTTGTAACGAATCTGTGGCCGTGAAAGGAAAAGGTGAGATCTCTCGCCAGGCAATGTGTTCAACCCGGCCAACGCTCCAAGTGGTATTTCTTTTTCTGAAAGTGTACGCTGTTGGCCCTGCGGCCTTGACAGTTTCATCGAATTAGGCTCGTAAGCGAGGACGAGCTATTGAATGCAACGATTCTGCCGGTGGCGACGCGGCGGCGCGAAGCGTCGCTTCACCGACTGAACGCCCGAGGCACCCCGAACTTTCAGAGTGAGGCTCCTCAAGCTAGGGGGAGGGGGGCTCGATGCGATTCAAGGGCCCCTCAGAAGGAGATACGAACCTCTGCTTGAACCACTATCGCAGTGTTGGTTTCGGGTCGCAAAGCTAAACATGCCCCGTATCACGGGTGTACAAGGTGTCTGTCCCTAGTGTCCTATGTGCCCTAGTGTTCTGTGCTAGAGTAGTGTCTGTGTGTGTCCAAGTTGTAGTTCGAAGCTATTCTATATATACAGTTTTTATTTCGGAACTTTGATTGCGTGATTTAGTCTTGGATGTGTTTCGCTTTTGGCGCGACGACAGCGCCGCCACAAATCAATAATATCAATCAATGACATTCGTAGAAATCCTTCTATTCTTTGAAAGTATAGATCCTCGGGAGGCTTTCAGCAGTGAACTTGTGTAAGCTGTAACGGTAAGTGATAAAGAAGGAAATAAATATATTTTTAAATTATTTAGGTGATACTAGCTTATTCGACTACTGTAGTCGACCACTCGTAACACAAGTATTATAAGCTTCTCAGGAGTGGTTAAAAGGAATATTAGTAATGTTAACAGAATTGATAATATTTTTTTTTATATAAAAAGTATATTATTTTAAAGCGGACATGAACAGAGGCACAAAGGAGAGGTTACCTGAATATGTTTCTGAGCAGCACGGGTTCAAGCACCGCGTCCAGATGCTCGCGCACGTTCTCCAGCAGCACCGGCAGGCCCAGCTGGATCGCGTTCTCCAGCACTCGCGTGTAGTTCGCGTCCGTCAATTTTATCACTTTCAGCTGGTTTTCCCGTTCCATGTTCTTTACCCATTTATTCGCTTGCTCTGCATTATATATATTTTATAATAAAGGCCAGTGCTTGGCTACAATACCATTTGGTGGTGAGTGATGATAAAACCTTACATAACAAATCGCACTCTCTTAGCATTACATAGTTTTGAACTGGTGTTGCTTGTGCTGCTCGGGCACTCGGATCGGTCGGTTGAAACATTTTTATATGCTTAAATTTTGAATTTCTTGTTGTATAATTATGTTATAGAACATGGTTTAATCACCTATGTATATATCTTTGAATTTTAAAAAAGTTGTCAATAAGTGACAGACTCCATGCAAGAGGACCGAATTTACATATTATATTAGTTAGCTTAAGTTATTTACAACTGCGCGTCATGTACTCAATGGGGAAAGTTTTAGGTTAGGGTGTGGGGAGAATTTCTTTCACAAAACCCAACACTTCCTCCCGCTTGTATTTAAACCCCAGCTCGATCCTATAATTTTGCAAAAACACAAATTGTCGAATTTCGAACCTGCTCGTATTATGATTATTCAATGTCTCCGACGCTGCATTCTTACATTCTTCTTCTTTAACAGCTTGTAGTAGTCCACATTTGGACATGGTCCTTTCTCTTTGAAGGAATTCGAATCAATCCCAATCGCCACACTTGGCAATGTTTCTATCGCCATCGCGACTTACGACCCTTCCTTGACGAAATTGAGTGATGGGTTTTCCTACGTCACCACTACACATTCTTACCTACTAATACCCATAAACTTTATTTTCACACGTTATAAAACTCACCCTGAGGGTCGATCATGAGCGCCCAACGTCGAGATTTCTCCACAATGATACCGTTCTCTATGGAAAAGGAGTCCACAGGCAAACCCGCAATGTTCCATGCTCTGATCACCACGGGCTCACCCAGGGTCGTTATCAGCGAGTAAGCGTCCGAACATGGTATATCTAGAATATGTGAGAATCAAATTAAATATACTTTCTGTCTGTAATATCGAAATAACAGCCTTTTAATGAGCTGAGGGGATATTTGTATGTCATGGAAATATTTAACATAGTTGCCACGCTTGGCAGGCAGGTTAGCAACCGCAGTTTTTACCACTGTGTTTATAAAAAAAAAAACAATTTTTAAATTTTTTCTCTCTGTCTGTTTCGGCCAATCTCTGAAACGGCTTAATGGCAGATAGCTGATATTATAAGGAGTAAGTTACGCGGGCGAAGTTGCGGGGAACAGCTAGTATAACTATAAATCTAATGAAAACTTACTGAGCTCCTTTGTCCTTTGGTTCCAAATCTGTATAAGTTCTCGTCTATAGCTCACTGTGTAGGGACCCAAGTACGCGATGAAACCAGCCGACAATAGGACATCACCTGAGAATTAATTAAAAAAATGAAATATGATAAAAATTCTACTGTATACAAGGAAGGAAGAGGGATGGATAATTTAGTCGTCATGCTTTGAACGTCATATCATCACATTAAGTTATCGCCACCGTCTAGATCATAGATTACTGTATACTTACTAGAGACTATATACTACGTTAAGTTAGTTGTTAAATTATAGTAAAGACTTAACGGGCGGCTTGCAGTACTTTGATTTTTAAAGTTAAAAGTTTTAATAAATCAATAATCAATAATTTAAATTTCATTATTAATACTTATAAAAAAGGTGCTAAAAAAAGAAAAAGTTTCGAATATCTGCGCTTTGTTTTATAAAGGAAATTGATGATCTGTCGTCACAGTGTCTCTAATCTATGGAAGCTTTGAAATTTTCCTGGTATTCCCATATCAATTTCTCACTATATGTGATGGGAAACAGGATGCTGGATTCTCAACTGCTATTTACGATGTCAAGCGGGCTTTACTTGTGGTAAACATACGTATACGTGTCAAAGTGTGTGTGAGACCAAAGTTAGTATGGTTAGCGACGGTATGCTCGCAATTGATAGCTCCGTCAAACACACACACTATCGCAATGTAAAGCCCGCTCGACTTCATAAATTGCAATAACTATATGCATCTCATGTTACGAACGCTGCTTAGCAAAGGTCATATTCATAATTTTTTTAAATCACTGCGAACATCTTTTCTCCGTTTAGTTTTTGTTCCGACGGTACTCGATAGTATTTTTTTACTCTCGAGCGTATACACATTAAAACAATGTGCATGTGCACCTACACTACAAGTAAGATCAATTTGCTATCGGGATATAAAAATGATTTTTGATAAAAAGTAAAAGCTGACTACAAAAGAAATTAAAAAAAAAATATTAAAATATGATTGCTGTCGCCCATAAACATCTACATCTATCCTCGATTACGAATCAAAATCCAGATGCTTTATTACCCGTGCGGACTAAGATTTCCTACACTCACCATACGAAACACAGCAGCGTTAAGCTGTTTTACGCTGGTATTCTGTGAGAGCGTGGTCCTTCCCCAGTCGAGCCGACCCATTCCTGCTACAACTATACCAGTAATATAGCTGCAGCGTGGCTCTTACCACGTTAAATAACAAGACATAGAATAGAAGAATTAAGGCTCCAAACCCAACCTCAAAATGTGGTATAATTTAGTTTACTTTAGTTTAATTTTCATTGAAATTTAATTTTTTTAACTCTTTTGAATGGACTGAAGTATAACCTATTTAATAAAAAAATCATCAAAATACGTTCACATTTTTGAAACATTGAATATTGAAACATACATACAAATACATGTAGTCTAATTGTAAACCTCTTTTGAGGTCGGCTAAACGTACTTTAATACCACTCACCGATAATGTTAGAGAGTAACTCCTGCAGCTGCTGGGCCAGCTGCGTCCAGCGCGCCTTCTCCCCGCCCAGGCCGCCAATCAGCTGCTCGGCGCGCGCCAGCTTCGTCGAGCACAGGTCGATCTCATCTTCTAGACCTTTCTTCTTCCGCGTCATTTCCGCAAACTCGTCATTTAGAGCCTTTGCACAAGATTTTAGTTTTAATTAATGAAAGTGAAAGAAAGAGATATGATATGATATATTATTTGTCACATCTATATAGATAGAAGTAATGATCGCACATAGTCTATATGATGGTGAGCATATATTATAGCTCAAACACGCCTACATCTATCCTCGATTAAGAATCAAAACGCAGGTGCGTTGTCACACTTGTGGACTAAGATGGAACTTCTCAGTATCAATAAAAGGCTTTTCGGTTCTCTACACACACCACACCATACGAATTACACAGCACCATTAAGCTGCTATTTCACGCTGGTGTTCTGCGATAGCATCGTCCTTCCCGATCGAGCCAACACATTTATATGCCGCAACCATAATATATCTGCAACGTGGCTCTATCACGTTGTATAATACAGATTACAAGTAGATTTATCATGTGTTGCAAAAAAAAAACGATACAAAATACTAATATACTAATATAAACGGTATGAAAAACAAATGACGGTAGCCTAATTATTACTATGGTTACGCAAGAACATAGAATTAGTGAATTCGAATCTTCAACGTACTACGCAGGCAACGTTAAGCCGCTTCGCTGGGGTAAAGACTGGATACGTCGACTGCGGTTGTGACAGCTAAAACCACGCCAGGTAGGCAATGAGGTCCTTCCCCGAGAAGGGGCTGCCATGGGGCGGCCGGCGTTGATGAGGCCGCGGATGTGTGTGAAAGCGTTCCCGTGGCCCTGCCAATATACGGCGAAGGTGGAACACCATGGGGTTTTAGTCGGTGCGAGTACGACATAACCCGTCCTTGCCCCCGCGAGGCGGGTATGCGTAGGCATTTCCCCATGTAAAAGAAAAGTCAATCAGTGCCAGCCACCCCTTTGCGGCCCGTCCTCTGGAGAAGAATATTCCTTCCCCTTTCTCTTCTCAGGCAAGGTATACCATAACACAAAGCCTGACTTCCTCCTACAAAGCTTCAATCTCCACATACGCCACATACTCTGGAGAGTATGTGGCGTATGTGGCCGTGAGCTGGAGCTCGGCTACTGTGGACAGAGGGAGAGCACACTACTCTCACAATTCACCAACACGCATCTGGAATAGGCTCGCTACGACTAGATTGGGTGCTCATGCGATAAAATCAATAGATGCAGTGCAAGAGCATCGGGATCAACCAAAATAAAACCAGATCTTAAATTTAAACCAAACCAACGATTTGGCACCTCTGACTGGCAATTTTACGCGGAAATCGTAACGCAATAGTCAAATAATCTGACGAGAATGACCTAAAACAAATCATTCATATGATAGTCAAGACTATCTTTTCATCAACTAGTCAGAACGTAAATCATTGAAATATTCATTAAGGTGGTTGTGCTGGGTACTTAAGAGAAAGGTTTTATTGGGTAGAAATCCCACACCATTGGTCTTACAACAACTTGACGGTGTCTTTTTGAAGATTTCCTTCTCTCTCTCTAATTAAAAAAATCATTAAGATGACCATCAGATAGACAGAACTTGAAAGAAACTATTCAGATTGTCATTACCTAAAAGAAATCATTCGGGTAGACATCATCCATTTGTAGACATGTGATTCCGTTAGTTTTTACCTGCAGTTTGTCCAACACGGCCTGAAGCTGAGCTCGCTTCTCGTTCAGGGTGTTCATCTGCACTTGGAGTTCCGCCTCAGCCTCCGCCAGAGCGGCTTTCTTTGGTGCTACCACCTGCGAAAAAATAACAAATTTAGTAAAGTTACAGCCTATATACGTGCCAATGCTGTTATTTATAAACCGTGTAGTGGCGGTGTAAGAATATCCATTACCACATATCGTCTCGTAAAACGCGACAGAGGGAAACAAACTTATTTTCTATTTGCTAATAATGAAGACACTGCATCCCGAGATGGGCAACTAGAAAATAAAATAAACTGTGGTTGCTAATCCACCTGACAAGCTTGGTAACTATAGATAATTAAAAATAAAAAATTTTGTACAGCCGACTTCAATATAAGTTATTAAGAATAACTCAAAAACTATTGGTCTGAGATTGATCAAATTCAAAATCATATGGGACAACACGAGAAGTACCAGCTTTCAAATAAAAAAATAATTATCGAAATCGGTTCACCCAGTAAAAAGTTATGTGGTGACACACATAAAAAAAACATACAGTCGAATTGAGTACCATCTCCTTTTTGGAAGTCGGCAGAAAAATATCCGCCTTGTATGTCAATCTAAATGTCAGCGGTTCAATATAATGATGATGAATGAGGACCGTGCAGTGGCGGTGTAGCAATATCCACTACCCCATATCGTCCCGTGGGTGTCGTAAAACACGACAGAGGGAAACTAAAAGTGTGTAGCAGCATCTTCCTTCTATCTACTGAAATTAATAAATATCTGCGGTCGCCAACTAGCCTGCCAATCATGGGAACTAACTAACGGAACCCCTATGAGGCAATTTATGGAAGGGGTCTATGTTTAGCAGTGGACAATGGGTCTTTCTTTAAATTTTATGTTTTCTTTGTCGTATGATGGCGACGTAAGTTATACTTAACTTGAAACTAACAAGTGGTAAAATAAAAAAAATTGTACAACCGACTTCAATATAAATTATTAAAGATAACTCAGAACCGACTGGTCACACCTTGATCAATGTATATGGGACCACACGAGAAGCAGCTGCATTCAAATAAAAAAAGAATCATCGAAATCGGTTCACATTGATAATAGTTATGAGCAGAGGCGTAGCTACCGCCGTATCAGCCGTATCAATGATACGGGTCTCCGGGCTACAGAGGCCCTGAACGTATGTAAGCAAAAATTCTAAGGACTTCTATGGGACAGGATGCTGGTTTGAATTGTTTGTCTAGCTTAGCTCCTAGGAGTATTAATTGTAAGTAATAACTTATAATCAATATATAATTATTTTAATTCAATGCGAGAGTTTTTGTTTCTTTTGTGAAAAATCTTTACCCTTCATTTGGGCCCCCCGACAAATATTGACACAGGGCCCCTCTAAGGCACGCTACTCCATGAGGTGAAGGATATGAGGTAACACACATAGAAAACATACAGTTGAATAGAGTACCTCCTCCTTTGTGAAGTCGGTTAAAATGAAACAGGTGATGGACAGGAGGATCGTCCTGACAACAATTCGAATTAAAAAAAAAAGAACTGTTGCCAACTCGCCAGCCAAGTGTTGCAAGTATGCATAATAAATCCCCAATGAGGCATAACATAGAAGAGGCATATATCCTGCAGTGGATTCTTGATAAGCGATACAAGGACTTTTTCGATGCAAAATTTCAAGTTGATAACTCGGATCTTGGTGGAGGTTTACGGAAAATTTTAACTATTCTATTTCATTTTATTTATAATCGCTCCTAAATTTTTAACATGCTTACCTTGATGACCCTATCGTAGACGTCCATAGCGCGGACCCAGCGGCACAGACCCTCGCAAGCAGAAGACACCTTGGCTATCACGACAGGGTCGAACTCTCGATCCGGGATGTATCTAAAACAATGGCACGTCACAGGTGGCAGAATTTAGATGTATAGACCTTAAATTACGATTAGAGATTACGATCACAAATGTAAAGTAAAATGACCGCTGGCTGATCTCCCGGCATGAGTTCTGACCGCCAAATGTGCATCGCTGAGCCATTTTTATCTTTGATAGCTCTTGTCGCAGCGACAAATTAGTGGAGAAAGAGTTCTTGGTGGCAGTGTGAATCAACTAATCTCTATTATTGACACAGGATCTATATCTATTGTTCGTTTCTTGAACGAGAAAATAGTCGATAGCTAATCGCGTTCTCGTCGGCGGTGGGACAAGTGTCATGCAGTGTGATATCTCCTACTATTTTAACATCTGGTTACTCAAAACTTGTCACCGTGGTCGAAACCAGCCAGGGGCTCCACAGACTATAGTATCATCATCATCATCATTATAGCTATAACAAGTCCACTGCTAAACATAGCCCTCTTCCACATTGCCGTCGTACAAAGGACTATTTGTATTTTTGTCACAAAATGGTAAAATATATTGAAACGGAATATAGCAGAAACTTACTTTTCTCGTATTTTTTTCATAATTGCAGGAGGAATATTGTCCTTATCATAGTTCCTTAGGCTGTCGAGGAATTTCATGTCACCGAGCATCTTCTGCGATGGTCCCCAAAAGTCTTCGTAAGCTTTACCTATGTCAAGAATGTATGCAACTAATATTGAATTTCAAATATCTTTGTTATTATGAGGAAACGGAGATATACAGGACTGTGTGAGAAATTATACATCAAAGAAACGTATCACGTAGAAAATCAAATTTCTTGAAGACTGTGATGCCGTGGGTATGGTACTCCTTTATCTAGAAGGACTATTATTAAAGCTTAGCTTCAACCCAAGACTATCAATAGACCATAAATTGTAATAATGATAAGGGGTTAATCATATTATTGGCTATTAACAAAAAATGTCAAAATAGTAGTAATCTTATGCCGTTTCTTCTCCGCAGAGGAACCTCATTTTTATACCGTAGTAGATTATTAAACTAGTTAACGTTTGACAAAGGAAATTTTCAGTTTCTACGTCAAAAAATAAAGAGTTTTCATTTCATTTCATTTCATAACTCCTCAAATCTCGGGCGTAATTGATAAAAGTAAAAAATGTGAAGTTTCACGTCTAGGCGTATGTCTCCACTAATTTTAGCAGAGCTGTTATAGAGTTTACGGGCTTCACGTCTTTGGAATAGTTTATGCCTTAGACATGCAGCACGTGGTAAATCAGTACTTAAAGTTGTAATTAACTATTACATTATTGATACCAGCGGGGATCGAACGCGGATTGTGAAATTTACGGCGAGAGTTCAACCCATAAGCTACCACGACCCCTCGTAGTTGATAACTGCTCGTTATTTGTAAGTTGTAGCCGATATTATCCCGGCAACTGACCGGTGGCATCGAGCTTCCTGTCGCCGCGCACGCCTTTCATGACACAGACGGCCTCCATGACGAGTTTGACACCAGCGGGCGGGTTCTTCATGGCCTTGACGAGCGTGACGTCAGCGGGCTTGAGAGTGTCAAGAGCGGCCAGTGCAGCTGCCAGTGCGGGCACGGCTTCAGCTAGATCGGACTCGCAGTCGTCCTTGATCGCCTGAGCTGCAGCAGCTGCCTCGTTCGCAAGCGCCTCGTCCGCACCCACGATCTAAAACGCACGTCATTCACCTTAATGTACTCGACTGGTGATGGACTCTTACAGAATACCCTCGTGATATTGCAGCATGATGCCGCTGTCTTTTTTTAAAGAATAAGGATGAAAAAAGAGCAGACAGTCCATCTGATGGTAAGTAGATGCCGTGGCACATCTACATTTATCGTCGATTAAGAATTTCTTTTCCCCTTCATTTCTTGAAAAAATTCAATTAAATACCTAAATTTCTAAATGAGTCCAAATTGTGTTATCTACGAAGATAGCTGTCGTTTTTACGGATTTCTACCATTAAGAGATCGGCGCGAGTTGCTCGATATGTTATTTTTGCATAAATTGCTCACAGGTCAAATAGATTCTCCGGAGCTGCTATCGATGATATCGCTTAATGTACCTTCAAAGCGCACTCGTCACACAAATAAACGTTTATTCCATGTACCTTTGTCGCGTACCAGTTATTCATCAAACTCAGTTCTGTCTAGGATACTACATAATTACAACATGAAATTTTCTGGTATAGATCCCTTTAATTCGACCACATATGGTTTTAAACAAGTCGTCATCAAAAAGCTTATGTAACATCAATATAGCATGTTAATTTATATAATACTAAAGCATTTTACACACACATACCTCCACACACACAGACACACACACTCTCTCTCACAAACGCATATACACACACATTATGTATATATATATGTGTATATATATATATATATATATATATACACACATATATATACATATTTTTAAATTACTCTTTCTGCTCGTACTCTTAAGTTATGATTTTTAAGTAAGAAAACTGTAAACAGCTTTAATTTAAAACTAAGTAAAGGTTGTATACTATTATTGTAATCATGCCGTAGTTTTCTAATAAATAAATAAATAAATAAATAAAGAATCAAAATGCAGATGCGTTATCACTTCTGAGGACTCATTCGAAACACAGCAGCATTAAGCTGCTATTTTACTCTGGTATTCCGTGAGAGCGTAGTCCCACCCCGGTCGAACAGACCCATTAGTACTGTAACCGTAATATAGCTGCAGCGTGGCTCTACCAAGTAAGACGTCTGTGTTTTGTTTGGTATAGAGAACTTGGGCCAGTTTTTACTGATATTGAGGAACCCGATACTGACAAAGGTATACATAACGATTTAACTGGTAATGAAGCATTCAATTGCCTAGTTGGTCTAGTGATCTTAAACGCGACTGCTGATTACGGGGTGCCGGGCTCGAAGCCCGGGTCGGACCAAAATCAGTATTTGGAGTTTTCTGGCAAGAAATTCTGAGTATCAGCCCGGAGTCAGGAAGTTGACGGTATTTCACACCCGTGCCTTGGAACGCCCGTAAAGCCGTTGATCCTGCGCCTGCTCTTTCTCCGGTCGTGTCGGTTACCGTCTGATCGGACTATGAGAGTGAGTGAACAGAGAGTACACCTGTGCTTGCGCATACACTTGGGCTATAACCCTGTCCCGCGCCGATGGCTAGTCTCCGTAGGAGGCTGACTGCCGTGACCGTATTTCGGTCACCTTAGCAATGACAACGCATATTCTGATTTAATTCTTAATCCATGATTCATCGTCTATGGACCACGGAGTATCCATTTACAGTTAGTTTGACTGTTGTGTGTTTGGCTCCTTTCTTCTTCTTCATAAGCTCGTAAAAGTCAACCACTGGAAATGAGCCTATCCCGTTGTAGGGTGGATTTAGCTTAATTGCCACGCTTATCAGGTATATTGACGTTCGATGTGACATGTGACCTTTGACGTTGCTGACCGTTGTCGGTTTGGGTATTTTATGACTTGCGTAATAAAAGTTGTAATAACGCCATCTATTTGAAGCCATGAAATCTCTCTAGCATATCCCATAGTTGCCTCATGCGACACCCACGGGACGAAATCGGGTGATTAATACTCTCACGCCGCCATACACGCTAGACTAAAAGAAAAAAACAGTCGAATTTTAAGCGACTTTGTAACGAAGGTAAATGTCGCAAAGGGAATACCGATCTTTTAGGCTCTCTGAACACACCGCCGACCATCGCGCAATGTGAATACCTCGTACTGGATGTGCGGTTTACACAGTGCTCTGTTTAAGCGGGGATGGAAAGACGGACGTCGACAGCACTATTTAGACATACAAGTAGAAATATAATCAATCACGCATTACCTCTTTCTGCTTCTCGACCACTACGGTGTCCTGTTCGATCTTGATCATTAGCTTCTCTGTTTTGTCGGAGGTCTCGACGAGCTGCGGCTGCAGGTCTATCAGGTTGCCCTGCATCACGGCCACCTGCCCTGCGGCGAACTCCAGCTGTTCCAGCCCTGTCTCGTACCTGACAAGCATCAAAAGGATGACGATTTCGTAGCCCAGTGTTTAGAGTAGCTGGCTTAACCACACATCCACATACATATCTATCCAGCGCGATTTGTAGCTCTAACCAATATTCGAATCTATTATAATGACAAACTAAATGATTCTTAAGTAGTGGATTCTTATGAGTCGAGAAGTGGATGCTGAGCGGGAACAGGAGAGGATTTTGAACTTGATTTTGAAGACCGCAGAGGACCTGACGTGCCTAGTCACGTTTCTCTTGTTCTTATTACTGGTGATCCCTCATCATAATCGGAGCATTCGGGGTCGCGGGCAATCGGTGTAGCAGAGCTCCGACCGCCCAGTAAAGCAGCTTCAAGCGGGACGATGTTTCAACGCGGTATCAAGAGTTAAAACATCAAAACAAGTTTAGCAGGGATGGGGGGTATGAAAGCACCCCAAAGATGGGCTAAATTAATAGCCAATCGGAGAAGATGCCGCGTTACGTATGGAGATCTCGTGAACTCTCATCGACGTTGAAGGAGACCACCGTGAGGTTTTAGTCGGTAGGAGTCCGGCATACGGGTATTTATGAGGATATCCCCAAGGAAAAAAAATTGTATTTTATACGTACATGCATGTATATAAAAACAACATTTTCTCACCGAATTCTTGATTTTGTTATCTGATCCACTTTCAGGGTATACAAGCTCTGAAAAGCCTTTATGAGTTCTAAATAGCTTGTCGGAGTGACGTACACTTTCCTCCTCTGCTCTGTGTAGAATCTGGTATCCAAAATATTGTCAATTTAATAATCGATTCTTATTATATAATTTTTAGATTACACGCCATAAAGTTTTTCTTTTAAGTTTTAAGACAATCACAATATCATATTAAAAATTCGAGCAAGCTTTCGACAAACTTAGACCTTTTGGGTTTTATATGATACACAGTCATGATATTTATTAAAAAATGTCTCCTTAAGTTATATTTTTAATTATAAAATGAAACAGGAGATGGGCAGCAGTACCTTCTTGACAACAACTCAAAGTAATAAAAAACTGCGATTGCCAACTGCTTGCCAAGCGTGGCAACTATGGCAGAAACCCTCATATGGGGCCATCTTGGAAGAGGCCTATATTTAACAGTGGACATTTATAGGCTGTAATGGATGGATGGATCGATTTGTTTTTATTGTAACGTAAAAATTAAAAACTTATAGCTTATTCTATGTGAATCTGACACTCATTATTTTATTTTCCAACAAGTAAAATTATGTTTTAATAAGTACTCGCCTATCGCTAAGTTGCACGACGCTGGTGTGGAACAACTGACACATTTCCACGCACGCTTCACGAAGTTCTTCATTAACGTCATCCATCTTGTTAATGAACATAGAGGCGACACGTTCTAAAGCCTCTGGAGGCCAAGCGGTAAACCTTAAAAAGTATCATAGTAATATAGAATTCGTTTTCTATAACTCGAGAAACTTTCTTCCAAATATTATACTATAGGTAATATGACATATTAAATTTAATACGAGGCTCGAGTTCAATTCCCACCGGCTCTAAAGAAATTGTTGATTGCAATTTGAAATGCTGATTTACCGCAATATCACGTGGGAAGGAACGTCGTGAGAAAACCTGCATGTATGAGAATTTTAAAAAAAATTCTTGGTCACGTGAAATCGACACCATGGCACATGACACATTTTTAACTTGGTAGAGCCATGCTGCAGCTATATTAGTAGTATAGTTGTAGTACGAATGGGTCGGCTCGACCGGGGAAGGACCACGCTCTCACGGAATACCTGCGTAAAATAGCAGATTGACACTGCTGTGTTTCGTATGGTGAGTGTAGAGAACCGCAGACCCTTTTTACTGGAAATGAGGCATTCCATCTTAGTCCTCACGGGTGACGACGCATCTGCATTTTTATTATTTATTGAGGATAAATGTAGATGTCTATGGGTCGCAGCAACCACTTACCATCAGGTGGACTGTGTGCTCGTTTGTCACCCTATCCTATAAAAAAACAAAGAACCATGGCATTAGGTTAGCGCGCCAGATTCTCTATCTTGCTCAAAAAACTTCTTCAATATGAGAGGAGGCCTGTGCGCCAGCAGTTGAATGTTAAAATGCTATTAATTTACTTCTAATTGATTATACGTGTTAATTATACCGTCATCTGTCTATAATTATGTGTGGTTAATTGTGATTACATGATTGTAAGCTGTTATTTAAAAAAAGTCCCGCTGGGTTTCTTGCTGGTTCTTCCCAGGACAGAGGTTTTTTTTCGAACCAGTGGTAATTAAACAAAAGAGTGACTTTCAATAAGTATTATTTACAATCTATATTGAATAAAAAAGTTTCTGTTTCTGTTTCTATCTATTGGAGGAGATGTTCCTCCCATTTCCCACAATTATAGTCTTTGCGCTGTAGCATGGTGCGTATTACAAGTTGACAGGTCACAATAACGTAACTTGTAACTTTAATAAACCAGTGTGCATTTAGCTTTCAATGTTCGTGTCCTCGCGTATATTTAAATCTGCCATGCGTGTCAAGTGCTCTCTTCCGAGTATGTTCAGTAGAAGACTTTTCATAGACTGTAATGATGAAAGAATGAAAGCAGTTCGGCAATCATTAATATCTCCATTTAAAATATGTTAAAATTTTACCAGTCAATAGTGCAGCAGTTGATTAACGAGGGGAACATTCTGAGACGGTTCCTAAACGAGTCTCCAATGGGCGACATGGCCATCACTGTACGCAGGTTTGCTTTTACTCGCTCTACATAGAAACCGAACATTGCCAGCGGCGTTGTCTCCATCTTTTTACCCTGAAAATCATTACACATTTTTTTCTTTAGATGGTAGATGTCCTCTTGGCCCGTTTTAGACCTAGACCTAGTTATGCAGTAGATTATTCATTGATCCTAACCTACTCGTGCCCGATGAACGCACATGCGGTAAGAACGAAATTACTATAACTGTATATAACACCCCCCCTCCCCCCTTCCCAACGGGTACAGCGTTGATAGACTGCGGCACGTGAATCTGATAGCAGTCCTTGTCCCCAAGAGTTGGGATTGAATGGGCATTTCCCCATGAAAAAAAAGATACGGTTTTAAAGACAATGGGATATCACTAACAGATCCGAAAATAAATATTTTATTTAGTGACAAACGAAAACACTCACGCCTGTCACCTAGAGGGGTAGGCAGAGACTACAGACTTCCATCACGATTCTGACATCTATCACTAAGTGACTATGGAGTGTAGAGGTAAGGAGAACCATCTCTGGATAAGAATACATGTCCTTAAAAATGTCCAATAAGGGTGGCGCTGCGGTAGCATAGGTAAAATAAAAAAAAGCGCCAAAATTAATTAGAATAATATGAAGAAATAAACAAGGAGTTAAATACTATATAAATATACACATTGCATGGATTGGATTATTTTAAATTCAGTTTCTCAATCAGGTTGTCGTAAATTAAATAAATAATTCAACATAATCCATAACCCATAACCCAACATACAGTTATATTTACTTAATTATTTTAGACTAAATGAATAGTTGAGATTTTGTATCCTGCCATTTTACTAACTACTCTAGTCTTGAAATTTTTTAAATATTTGCACTCTTCACTCCGTTTACAACAGCTATGTTCATGTCGTAGTTTTTCAGACGCCAGCGCCATTGTGCTACCACACAAACCTACGTTTTGGAACCTCAATTTTCAGTATACAGTTGGAAACTTTTTCAACTTTTCCCCATATGAAATATTTCTCCTTACCTCTATACTCCATGTAAGTGACGTAAAGTTTGCGTAGAGTACAATAACGAAAAAATATCTTGATTAGGAATTTATTTAGACATGTAAATCTTTTATTATTAGAAACGCTTGTTGATATAAATTCTCATTATATATACCAACGCTTGTCATAAAAGCGATAGGTTATTTAGCCATTTAAAGTCAATTTTTAGCCGACTTCATAAAAGGGGCTTCTCAATTCGTCTTCTTCGAATTGACTTTAATGATTCTCTTATTATTAAATAATAAAATCTAGGATTAACTGTCACTAAAACTTTCCTCATATGACATTTTTTTTACAATGACAAATTATTCTTACGCTTTCTCTTACTGCCGATTGCATCTTGTCCAGTATTTCAACCTTTTCTTCCATACCGTACAGATTGGGTATATCACCTGTGTTCAACAACATGTTGATGTCTTCCACCATGCCTTCATACATTATCTGTACAAATAAATAAGTAAATAAAGTGTCTGTTTGTAATATCAAAAAGTTTTTTTACTAAATGCATGGGAAAGTATAATAACAAAAATACAATTTTTAAAATTTATGTCTGTCTGTTTGTTCCGGCTAATCTTCGAAATAGCTGAACCGAATTTGATGGGACTTTATCTGGCAGATAGATTAAATTATACGCGGGCGAAGTTGTAGGGAACAGCTAGTCTGAAATATATTGTTTTTTTTTTTATAGGATAAGGGTGACAAGCGAGCACACAGTCCACCTGATAGTAAGTGGTTGCTGTGGCCCATAGACATCTACATCTATTCTTGATTAAAAATAAAAATGCAGATGCGTTGTCAGCCGTGAGGACTAAGATGGAATGCCTCTTTTCCAGTAAAAAGGGTCTCCGGTTTTCAACACTCACCATATGAAACAGAAGCGTTAAGCTGCTATCTTACACTGGTATTCTGTGAGAGCGTGGCCCTTCCCCGGTCGAGCCGACCCATTCGTGCTTCAACTATACTATTAATATAGCTGCAGTATGCCCTACCACGTTTAAAAACGTGGTTATTGTTCGAAAACTCTGCAAAATTCAATATAAAGATAGCGAATAAAATGGTAACTACATATTTTCTAAAGGGAAATGAAAGTTATTTTCTTATTCAAAAATAAAGTTATTAATATGTTAACTTAAGACTTGTCTTAGCTGCAACAAGAAAGAGGTCTAAATATCAAAGAAAATTGCCTGATTGTCAGAAAAGAGAAAGGCGAGCGGCTTTCCAATGATGCCTGCCTTCATGAGCATTTTACGAATATCATCACGCCATTCAGTTTGTCCATAAACGCGCGAAATTTCAATCTGTAAATAAATTATTTTTTGTACTTTCATTTTAAGCTGTACGATGACCATCATAGACTATTTAATCGGGTGACGTAAAAAAAACAAATTCCTTAAAATTATTTGAAAATAACAAAGAAATAGGAGCGAATTTTCGAAATAGGAGCGAAAATCTTAATCACCATCTTAAATTCTTGCGTATTATTAAATGTATTTATATTAGTATGGTTTCTATTTCAAATATTAGCATAAAACTACCATTAATGTTAACATTTACCTAATATTATTTCGGCATTATTTATGACCTTATAAAAACAAATCTATACATATAAATAAAATTGAAGTGTCTGTTTGTAATGTCAAAATAACAGCTTTTTACTAAATGCGTATGAAAGTATTTACGGTACTTATAAAAAAAAACAATTTTTAACATTTTTGTCCGTCTGTCTGTATGTTTGTTCCGGCTAATCTCCGAAACAACTGGACCGATTTTGACGGGATTTTCACTGACAGACAGCTGATGTTATAAGGAGTAACTTAGATTACTTTTATTTAAGTAAAAGAATTAGGGTTCCGCGCAAAAAAATTAAAACCCATGAAATCCAATAGTAACGCGGGCGAAGTTGCGGCGTACAGCTAGTTCTCTAATAAATGTATTAATATCAAAAAAAGGAAGAAAAGTGACAGGTGACAATTGTCCATATTTTGAAATATAATTTATTATAATATTATTTTATATATAATTATACATTTGATGCGAAAAAAGATGCTTTATACAGTGGTGTAAATTTCTATAAGCACAAATTTCACGAAAAAATTTTAGGAGTGAAAAACGGACATTTTCGTGAACACCGCCGGATTTTGATGTTTGCCGAACCAAATCAGAAAGTGGCAGATTGTGTATTATCTCATATAAGGAAAGATTCCACGCCACGCAAGCCTTACAATTCCAACCCTGACATCAATAAATCAGGTGAGCCTAGCAATATGACTACTCGAAAGCATAAACACGACAACGACTTCTCAGAGGCTCTCAATAATTTTACCTCAGAGATACGTAGAACATTACATGACTGGAAAAAGGAAATTCAAGATGAAATATCAGGAATTAAAAATAATTTAGACTTCGTATTAAAAACCGATCTTGAGAAACTAAATGCATCCTTTGCTGAGATCATGTCGGAACTAAGCAGCGTCCGTCAGGAATATCACGAGATTAAAAAGTCGGTCATATCTCTTGACCTAAAGTACAACGAGACAATGAAGCAAATCACAGTTTTAGAAAACTCTGTACAATTCAATTGCGACCAATATGACCATGTTCAAAAGAAAATGGAATTATTATCTGTTAACAAAAAAGCAATCGAATCACTAGAATCTAAAATGGACTTATTGACTAACGAAAACAGACTATTACAATTGGAAATTAACACAAATAATCAAAGAGATCGCCTTTTGAACTTAGAGATCGTCGGCGTTCCTGAAATCAAGGATGAAGACTTAACCAATTTAATTATATCCATTGCTAAGCAGTCTAATGTAACTATTTCCCCTAATGATATATTAGAAGTTAATCGTGTCACACCGAAAATCAAACAACAGGGCCGCCCGAAAAATATAATTGCAAAGCTTAAATCCCGTCTTCTAAAGGACAACATAATCTCTGGCACTCGAAAAAACCGACTGACCACCAAAGACCTTGCCATACATGGCAGCGTTCGTCCCGTATATGTCAATGAGCATCTTACACAGTGCAATAAACTTCTACTAAAGAAATGTAGGGAGACGGCGAAACTTAAGCAGTATCAATATGTGTGGACAAAAAACGGGAGGATCTACGTCAGGAAGAACGACACATCTCCAGCTTTGCATATATCACAGGAAAGAGACGTTTTAAAATTAATTTAATCTTACATTGTATATTGTTTTGTTCTCTTTTCAAGTACGTTATATTGCTTAAATTTATCAATTCCATCGTTGTAAAAGCAATTCATTGGTCTCTCTTATCTCATTTTGTCTATATTATATATCATTGTTTGACCGCACGAAAAGGGAGCTCAATTAATGAAATGTTTTTGGTCTTAAGTGTATTTCACACAGTCACACGCGCGATAATTGTGCAGCTAAGTTGCATCCATATTCTTCACGAACGTTACTCAACTATATATATATTATGGTTTCTTTTACTATATCCTTTATATTTAATAAAATACCAATTATATTTTTTCTGGCGTCTTGTATATTATGTATTAATTTATTTTACTTTGTCAATCTATGAATTCATCTATTATATTGTTCATAATAATTACCCGTTCAATATTTATTTATTAAATCTAACAGCAATACTTAACACGTCTATATTGTTACATTCGCGATATTTATATATATATTTAATAACTGCTCTGCATATTTATAAGCTCGCACCCTTTTATGTTGACTCGACTATATTACTCAAATCATTTAAGGATTCATTCTGTTATATCTTATTGATAAATTTTATACTCTACCACCTTATACAAAAAATCAAGTCACTATTAACTAGCAACTGCCGAAGTGATATATCATTGTTCGTACTACTTAAGTCTAACGTAAACAAATTATTAGTTCTGTTAATCTGTGTAGCTTTAAAGTACTATAAATTTAACACATTTGGGTACATATTTGATTTTGATTAATGGCTGTAAATAATGTAAATAATTTGTACTGTTATTATCAGAATGTTCGTGGTCTTAGGACTAAATGTCTTGAATTACGACTAAATATTTTGACGAACGATTACGACATTATAATTATAACAGAATCATGGCTACACAGTGGAATTTTTGATGGTGAGTTGTGCGACGATAGGTATGACGTGTTCAGGGCTGACAGAGATTTGCGTAATAGTGGTAAAAGTACTGGTGGTGGAGTATTAATACTGACACGACGTACACTCGGTGCCATGTATCGTGACCTCGGCGTATGCGGTCTTACTGAGCTATTGTGGATTACTATTCCTTCAAGGGCGTGCGCTTCAAATTCCAACTTACATATTTGTGTGGCATATATTGCCCCTGACCCTCATCAAATGCCATCGGATCTCGTTTTTATTAAACAAAAAATTAATAGTATTATCGAGCTTTCTCCAAATGATAATTTTGTAATATTAGGAGATTTCAACTTGCCGTTCATTTCTTGGAACCCAAACGGATATACAGCTTTGAAAAAAGGGCCTACTGAGGTACAAGAAGCGAGTATCCAGCTGATGGAAACACTAACATTTCACGGGTTAAGACAATTTAATACTTTAATAAATCATGCTGGTAACACATTAGATCTTGCATTCTCTAATCTACCTCTGAATATCAACCCTGCGGCTGCGCCGCTACTCAGGGAGGACCACGCACATCCTTCTTTTTGCTTCATAGTTTTGGATTTAAACATTACTCCTCTACGGGAAACAGCTGCGCCGAGGCGAAATTTCAGGAGGGCTGATTATGAAAAAATTAATACATATCTTTTAGAACAGGACTGGAGGTCTCTTTTATGTACAGGCACTGTAGACGAAGCTACAAATACCTTTTATAACATACTAGATAGTTGTGTTCGTTTACATGTGCCCTTTAGTTATAACACAGGGAAGCGATCATATCCTAAATGGTACACACCTGCTTTAATAAAAATAATTAAGGAGAAAAACAATGCTCACACACGTTGGAAAAAATTCAGGAATAGATTAGATTACGATGAGTTTTCGTTACTCCGAGCAAGAGAACACCGTGTTCAGAGAGAATGCTTTAATAAATTTACGTCAAGTTGTGAAAATAGCATCAAAACACATCCTAAAACATTCTGGACTTTCGTCAAAGCCATTCGGGGTGGGTCAGGTTACCCTAAGAAAATGTCTTTGAAAGATATAGAGTACACCGATGGTATAGACATATGCAATGCTTTCAACTCATTCTTCAAGAGTGTATTTGGTATTCCTAGTAATAACTACATATATCCACATACGGAATCGTTGTGTACTGACACCGTTTCTAATGTACAGACAAACGCTGCAATAATTGAAAAAATGTTGAAAACTTTGGACACGAACAAAGGTGCCGGTAGTGACGGGTTACCTTCTTTTTCTTGGTCACGATGCGCTAAATCACTTGCTCTCCCCTTGACTATTATATTTAATCGCTCTCTACGTGAAGGGATATTTCCGCATCAATGGAAGTGTGCACACATAATCCCTGTACACAAGAAGGGATCACGTACAGAAATAAATAATTATAGAGGCATTTCTATTTTGAACACCGCGGCTAAAATCCTTGAACGAGTAGTATATAACGTAATTTACTCCACGCTTTCACGTGCCTTCCCTGAGCAGCAACATGGTTTTTTACAAAGGCGATCCACCACTACGAACCTGGCAAGTTTTTCTTCTTTTGTCCTTGAAAATATGGATCAAGGTGGGCAGGTTGATGTGATCTACACTGATTTTGAAAAAGCTTTCGATCGTGTGGATCACATGATCCTGCTCAACAAATTACAAATATTAGGGATTCACGGTGACTTGCTCCGATGGACTGAATCATATCTCACAAACCGCTCACAAGCAGTCGTGATAGGTGGTTTCCGTTCGAGCTACATAAACATACCTACAGGTGTTCCTCAGGGCTCTCACTTAGGTCCACTTTTTTACAACGCCTACCTATATGACATTGTTTCGTGCATTATACACACAAATTACCTCATGTATGCAGATGATAAGAAGATTTTTTGTAAAATTAACACCATACATGACTGCCTATTGATACAAAAAGACCTGGACCGTTTATTTGAATATTAAAAAATAAATAATATAACTGTCAATGCAAGCAAGTGCGAATGTATTAGTTTTACACGGAAATCTAAGCCAATTCTAAATAAATATCACTTTGACGGATTAGAAATCAACCGAAAAGTAAGTGTTAGGGATTTAGGCGTAATTTTTGATCATAAAATGATACTATCCGAACACATTGATTACGTTATCAATAAAGACTATAAAAATCTTGGTTTTGTTCTTCGCATCTGTAAACCATTCTCGAATATTAATACAATTAAAATGGTTTATTTTGCATATGTCAGAAGTGTTTTGGAATATGCTAGTTCAATATGGTCTCCACAGTACAATGTCTACAAAAGCCGCCTTGAGCGTATTCAAAAAATATTTGTTAATCACCTTAACTTTCGCTGTCGGAATAAAATCGATACTTACACAGACAGTTGCACTGAGCACGATCTCTTATCTCTGGAACACAGGCGCATTTTGCTTGACATGGCTTTGTTATATGATATAATAAACAGTAATATTGACTGTCCATATCTTGTCTCAAGAATCACCTTTCGTACTCCAAAATTCCGTACCCGCAATACTACATTGTTACAGACTCCCTGGCATCATTCAAACTACTGTCGAAACACTGTTCTTTCGCGGCTTGCTCGTACATATAATGAACAATTTGGACACATTGACCTCTTTGCGAAATCTAAACTTACGTTTAAAGATTACATCAAGAAAACTATTACGAAATAGAGCAGTTGAAGTTAAATTCACATACAATCATATATTCTCTCATCTATTTCTTCTATATGTATTTTTGAGGCTACTAATATAAATATAAGTACTTAAGTTATTTTATTTAATATATATTATAATTAATTATTTGTATTATGTTTATATATTTAAACATTTAATATGTATATATACATAAGTAAATATATATGTATGTATATATATATATATATATATCTTATATATATATATATATATAAAGGTAATCTAATATATCATTCTACCTGACTATCTCTCCTGATCTTTAAACTTATGACCACCTTCATTACATTGAATTGCTTATAATTTTGCTTATAATTTATCTATTAGATTGTTCTTTTTCCTTTTCTTCTAACAACAATACACCTACCATCAAACAATATAAGGGAAACCTGTTATTGGCCATACTTTTAGTTTGTTACATTAATGTTAATATTTTCTATATACGCTGTTGGTTTTCTAAATAAATATCTAAATAAATAAATAAATAAATAAATAATAACATGGAACGCGAAATGTCAAAGACGAATGGAAAGGATAATTCTTAACATTAAATTGGAAGACAGAGTAAGGAACTCTGAATTAAGGAACAAGACAGAAGTGGTAGACGTTCTCCACCACGGTCAGAGGTTGAAATGGCGTTGGGCAGGACATATAGCACGCATTTCAGACCAAAGATGGACAAAATCCGTGACAGAGTGGCAAGGACCAGCTGGAACACGTGCAAAAGGCAGGCCAAATGAAAGATGGGTAGACGAGGTGATGGCTATAGCGGGGAAAAACTGGATGAACAAGGCACAGGATAGACAAGTATGGGAAGCTCTGGAGGAGGCCTTTACCCGAAGAGGGGTCCTCAAATAACAGGTAAAATAAGTTAATATTAAACAAATATATCCTTACAATAATAAACAAGTTCTAAAAATGATTATGAATTTATGTAAAATTAATTATATCTAAAATTGATACTAAAATTATAACATTTAATTATTTAAAAATTGTTAAAAAATATACTAATAATATAAATTGTTTTATGTAAAAAAAAAATCAATCTAAAAATGAAAGCAAAGTGAAGGAAAAATGAAATTTCCAACTAAATGTACTTCTAAATTTATAATAATGCATGTATTTAAAATTACTAAATTGATTTTGTTACAAATTTATTAAGTGTAATTAATGAGGAATTAAATGGCTATTTTATTTTATTTTATTTTATAATAACATGGAAAATGAATAACACCTGTATAACGTTCATTTCTAAAATGCTTGCAGCAAGTTTCACGGCGCTACTTCTGCCGCTTCCACCTACGCCGACCAGTAGTAAGTTACCTTTAAAGAACAAAAAGATTGATTAAAAAGCTGTATCTAACTTCACTGGGTAAATTAAAAACACAAACATAATACATGTGCTAAAAAAAGCACGGTCGCGGAGCAGGATTTTTTTTATTGCTTTGCATTTTCGAACTTAATTCCCATAGTAAAAAGGTTTATTTCCATTGTAACTAACGTAGCTTTAGGACCTTTTAAACAGTATTTATGATTCGAAAACGGGGTTCATTTTCAAGTCATTAATGTTCAGATTTCTATGAATTGCAATAATTTGAAATTCTTCCTGCTCCGCGATCGCGCCATAGCACATTCTTCTTTACTCTTATCTTAGGGACGAAGGTGACTATGTCTTCATTTTAAAAATAATATACTATGCCTATATCAAGTGAAGATGAAAATCATGGAGTTCCTTATTGTACGTTTGAAAGTAATTAATTTTGTAAATTAAGACACAATAGTAGTAAAAACTCATCCATTGACTCCATGTACGTCTAACTAGGTCACTGGGTCGCTCTATACTGCAATAAAACCATATAGTATAGTTGATTAATTACTGAAAGGTTACTAATCCAGCAAGCATTATATACAGGGTTATTTTTCAGTGTAGCCAATTTTTAAACTTAAGTTCAAATATAATTTAATTTAATTTTAATTGTTCGGATTAATCCCAGCCGCCAAATTTCACGAACGTACATCGCGGTAGAACTCCCCATACCATCCAAACCATCTGGATGATTGGCGGTCCACCACAGTGCGATTAAATGTTTTCTTCCTCGCACAACTTCTTTGTGGAATCGATTACCATCAGCGATTTTTCCGGACCGATACGAGTTGAGGACCTTCAAGAAAAGAGCCTACTCCTTTTTAAAAAGCCGGCAATGCATCTGTAATTCCCCTGGTTCCTCTGGTGTTGCAGTTGTTCGTGGGCGGCGGTAGTTACTTACCATCAGGTGAGCCGCATGCTCGTTTGCCCCCTCTCCTGTAATAAAAAAATATAAAAAATGATAAGACGTTACTGCGGTTTTTGAAAATACGAGTAAATAAGGCTTCTACTTTTATTTAAAACTAGCTGTTCCCCGCGATTTCGCTCGCGTGTAATTTAGGGTTTTAAATTTTTTGCGAGGCATCCTAATAAGTTTTTTAAAATAAAAGTACCCTAAGTTACTCCTTATGACATCAGCTATCTACCAGTGAAATTCCCGTCAAATTCGGTACAGACATTTCAGAGATTAGCCGGTACAAATAGACAGATACAAAATTTAAACAGTGTATTTTTGTTATAAGTACCGTTTATACTTTCTTATGCATTTAGTAAAACGCTGTAATTTTGACATTACAAACAGACACTTTAATTTAATTTATTTGTATAGATTATCCTAAATTAAACGTGATATAGGGGCAACAGCGTTTTTGTCTACCGATCGACCCTTACGAAAGTGTGCGTGCGCAGTAAAACCAGTTAAAATAATGCATTACCACGCATTATAAAAGATAATGAGAATGAACGGGGACAAAATGTTTTAGATTTTTTAAAATTAATTTTTCTTCACCATTTGCTTATACTACTTATTCTGAACTTTTTCTGCAAATTTGGCCGGTTATTGCAAAATATATATCCTCCCCCTAAGGCGATGGGTGATTCTAACCATAGTCATGAGTGGTTAAATATAATATCTCACCATTATCCTGTAGCAAAACCCTAGTGCATCTCGAGATATGATCTAATGCGTAGCGGAACATCACCAACGACATCGGTGACGATGATACCACGTTGTACTCCTCCAGATAGTACTCCATCTTAACCGCCATGTCATCTAAGTCCATTACCTACAGGAATGCCTTTTACTTAAATTTGAGTAAATGAATTCAATGTTTCAATTTAGAATTTGTATTTTTGGAGATGAGGATTATTTCTGTAAATTTTACAAAATGCTGGAGATGGAAGCTTTTTTTTAAATAAAGAATAAGGGGGTCAAAAGAGCTTACAGACCATCTGATAGTAAGTGCGTGCTGTGGCTCATAGACATCTACATCTATCCTCAATCCTTAACAGTGGTGGAGCCACGCGGCAACTTTTGCTGTCGCACGGATGGGCCGGCTCGAACCGGGGTGGTACCACGACCTCCCAGAATACCAGCGTGGCCAGAGGCTCAACCCCCTCCCCCCATCAACATGGTAGCGGAATTAAACAAAAGACTACCCCAGGAGGGTACCAGCACCCCTGGAGAATCCCTCGCGAGAATCCACGACCAAATTACTCCACTTCTGAGCGTGGGTGCTGCTCGGGGCAAGCGGAGCAAGAGAACCAAGGCGACCCCTGTCACGCTATCCGTGAATTTTTGCAACATCAGAGGACTTCATTCCAACCTTAATGCTGTCCATTACCATCTAGAGACTGCGAAGCCAGCCTTGCTCTTTTTAACCGAGACACAGGTTTCCTCTCCGGCTGATACTTTATATCTCTCCTACCCGGGGTACAAATTAGAACACTCCTTTGTACCCCGGGCTGGAGTTTGTGTATACGTCAGAGAGGACATCTGTTTTCAACGCCTCGGCAGTCTTGAAGGTACGGCCCTGTCCATCCTATGGCTGCGCATAGACAGCGACGACCATCCCCGCCTCTACGGGTGCCTCTATAGGTCCCATAGCGATAATGCCGACACAGACCGACACAGACCGACTCATCGACCACGTCCAAATGGCTGCAGAGTCCGTGCTACAAAAGGTCCCATCCGCAGAGTTCGTGATACTCGGTGATTTTAACGCCCACCACGCTGAATGGCTTGTTTCCCGTTTAACCGATCATGCGGGTAGATCTGTCTATAACTTTGCCTTGGCATATGGTCAAACACAACTGGTTACTTCGCCTACGCGGATCCCAGATGTGGAGGATCATGTACCTTCCCTGTTGGACCTTCGGCTGATCTCTCATCCGGACGGATATCAGGTCTCCGCCCGATGCCCCTCTGGGGTCTTTGGACCATTGTCTGATCCGGAGTATGGTGCCACTCACGCTCCCATCGCAGTTGCGATCTGCAGCTTGCCGCCGTGTTTGGCTGATTGGGACGGGATGCGGTCTTTTTTTGCATCCTACCCTTGGGGGCGGGTTTGCTTCTCGCCAGAAGATCCCAGCTTTGTTGCCGATTCTGTTGCTGACGTGGTACTACAGGGAATGGAACTTTTTATTCCATCCTCTATGGTGCCTATCGGAGGCAGATCCCAGCTATGGTTTGGTCGCTCCTGTAAAATAGCATCACACTATAAGCAGGAGTGCTACCGGGCCCGAGCTGACGTATTAACGTCTCGGTATGTAAACACCAGCGCTCTTAAAAAGAAGTATAATTCCGCTTCCAGGTCCTTCAAAAGCGTCATTGCCAAGGCAAGGTCTGAGCACATTGGCAGAATTGGCGAGAAGCTAGTTCGCCTTCCCGTTAATTCGGCGGGAACCCGTGCATTCTGGTCCCTTACCAAGGCTGTCCAAGGAAACTTCTGTCAGCGATATCTTCCATCTCTGCACAGAGAGGACGACACACTGGCCCATGCCGCAAAGAAGAAAACCGATCTTTTAAGCTCTCTCTTTGCGTCCAACTCGACTCTAGATGATGGGGGGAACACACCGCCGACCATCCCGCGGTGTGAGTGCTCTTGGCCATGCCGAATGTGCGGTTTACAAAGCACTCTTCTCCTGGACGTCAGCAAGTCATTGGCCGTTAGTTTGGAAATAGCGAAGGCCTTCGATCGGGTCTGGCACAAAGCGCTTCTTTCGAAGCTTCCTTCTTATGGGCTTCCCGAGAAATTATGCAAATGGATCACCAGTTTCTTTGCTGATCGGAGAGGTCGTAGTGGACGGTATATGCTCTGATTTCAAGCCTATCAACGCTGGTGTTCCACAAGGCTGCGTGCTATCACCAACGCTGTTTCTCATGTATATCAATGATATGTTGCATACTGGTAACAATCATTGCTATGCAGACGACAGCATTGGTAATGCCTTATATACCGGCCGTGCCAATATTTCTTGGAAAACGTCGCCGAGTACTGGGACAAACTTGTCTGAAGTCGAGTCTTTGCTGAACAGTCTCGGATTGGGGGCGACTAAATCTAGTCCAATTCAATCCCCAGAAGACAGAACTTCGTCGTATCTCCTTAGTTTCAAGGCACTCACTCCCCTTGCTGCCTCAGCTAGCATCGGAATCCTCGGCATAGACATAGCGAATAGTGTGCAGTTTCGTGGTCACTTGTAAGGGAAGGCCAAATTGGCCTCTAAAAGGTTGGCGTACTCAGCAGAGCGAAACAGTATTTAATGCCGGCACATCGCTTGCAATTTTACAAAGCGTAAGTTCGGCCTCACATGGAATACTGTTCTCACCTCTGGGCCGGGGCACCTCAGTGCCAGCTCCTTCCACTTGACCGCACCCAGCGCAGAGCGGTTCGAATCGTCGACGACCGAGTTCTTTCTGGTCGGCATTGGCACTGCGTAGGGATGTTGCATCCCTTCGCATTTTCTATCGAATTTACCATGAGGAGTGCTCTGAGGAATTGTTCGGATTAATTTTAGGCGCCAAATTTCACGAACACACATCGCGACAAAATTTGCGATACCATCCATACCATCTGGATGCTTGGCGGTCCACGACTGTGCCTTTTACTAAGAGTTTTCTTCCTCGTACAACTTCTCGGTGGAATTGTTTGCCACCGGCGATTTTTCCGGACCGATACGACTTAGGGACCTTCAAGAAATGAGCTTACACCTTTTTAAAATGCCGGCAACGCATCTGTAATTCCCCTGATGTTGCGGTTGTTCATGCGCGGCGGTAGTCACTATTAGGTGAGCCGCATGCTCGTTTGGCCCCTCTTCTATAAAAAAAAATTAAGAAACAAAATGTAGATGCGTTTTGATGACTAAGGATTGACTTGAGGAATGAGATGGAGTACCTCGTTTCCTCCCGTCTCCAACTAAAAAAATCTCTACACTCATCGTACGAAACACGGCAGGGTTATGCTTTTATTTTACGTTGGTATTCTGTGAGAGCCTAGTCCTTCTTCGCGTTGCAACTGTAATATAGCTGCAGCATGACTCTACCACGTAGGACTATAACTAGAATAATTGATAAATTGCGTCTAGGAAATTTCGGTGGTCCCGAAAAAAAATATTTTTAAAAATTTCCGGTAACCGCTCATACGTACCTGGTCGTAAATCTTAGGATCGGCGTCTGGTTCCATGTAGTTGCCGAAAAAAATATTGTTAACGTGTCGATCGGAACACTTCTCGCCCTCCGGTATGTAACCGAGCTCTGTCAGCACTTGGTCCATGTGGACTCGGTAGTTCGAATATACCGCTTTATAAACTATTTCGAATAAGCGAGCTCTGGACAGAAGAAATAAATGAAAGAGAATCATTGTAGTAGGTGGACATACGTACATTTATTTAATACATAAATTAAGCATGAAGTGATGTGGACTCAAATTTACGATATGGCCATGCAATGTTCGAGCATATCGTGAAATAGTCGTCTTAAAAGCGGTCATAGTATTGACAAAAAAAAGCCAGCCAAGTGCGAGTCGGGCTCGCGTATGAAAGGTTCCGTACCATCGTAAAATACATTTATAGTAGTGGAGCCTCCTTGAATTTTTAATTTATTTTTATTTTTATTATTCGTTGTTATAGCGGCAACAGAAATACATATTCTGTGAATATTTCATTTGTCTACATATTACGGATCATGAGATACAGCCCGCTGACAGACAGACTGACGAACAGTAGAGGCTTAGTAATAGAGTCTCGTTGGTTATGGAACACTAAAAACGAAACGCCACTATTTCACAAAATCATCCTTTGAGCCGGATAAAATTAAACCGAACCACCCGATCTAAAGTTACTGACATACCTGTCAGTATCGTCCGTCAAGCGGTCATAGAACACGCGGTAAGTTTCGTGTATCCAGAGCAGCACAAGTTTACTCAGTTCCTTCATATGCGTGTGAGGGACGAGAAGTACGCCGCGCATGACGCGCGCGAAGTCCCGCAGGTTGAACAAGTAGTGACACTTGCTCGGCGTAGGTAAGAACTGCACTGTCACCGCTTTGTATACCTCCATTGTAGCAGACACGACCGCCTGTTCGTAGTGAATTGAACGAGAAATTATGTTGCACAAAGACCATAATAAACAACAAATACACGTTGTGTACACAAACACACATTAATTTTCTTTTTATATTAATAGTTTTAATAGATTAACTTGTATGATTTTACAAAAAGAAAGATGAAACAAACCTTACTCTGACGAACCAATACATCAGCGAATCCTTTACTGAAATGCCAGTCCATTATTGTACAGAATATTTTGTTCAATGTATTATCCTCAAAAGAGTCCAGCGTAATCAGCATCATGTGGCGAGTTAAACGCGATGATATCAGGTTGGAGCCACCTCCTGGCGGAAGCATTGCCGAGACCAACAGCTAAAATAAATTATATTAGAATTTATTACAGCATAAGCTTTTGTAAAATCCGAAGCTTAAAAAAGATGTTAAAAAATTTATTAACAACATTCAGAATCTATACACATAAATGAAATTGAAGTGTCCGTTTGTAATATCGGATTAATACTTCTAATAGGTTACTGTAATACTTATACGTGGTAGAGCCATATTGCAGCTATATTTCTGGTATAGTTGTAACACGAATGGGTCGGCTCGACCGGGGAAGGACCACGATCTCACAGAATACCAGCGTAAAATAGCAGCTTAATGCTGCCGTGTTTCGTATGGTGAGCGTAGAGAACCGGAGACCCTTTTTACTGCAAAAGAGGCATTCCATCTTAGTCCTCACGAGTGACAACGCTTCTGCATTTTGATTCGCAAACGAGGATAAATGTCGATGTCTATGGGTCACAGCAACCACTTACCATCAGGTGGACAGTGTGCTCGTTTGTCATCCTATCCTATAAAAATCCTAAGCTTAGAGCTTATGCAGCACCTGTTCGTACTCATGTGGCAGTCATCGCCCTCCTCAACCATATTAAAGGGAATTGTACAACCGGTCGCACGACGCTGTCACAAACAGAGACGTTAAGTACAGTTATTATTTTGAGTTAGAGGAAGATGCTGCTGCCCATCTCCTGTTTCAGTTTCCCTCTGTCGCCTCTTACGACACCCACGGAACGATATGGGGTAGTGGATATTCTTACACCGCTGCTACACGATTATGTTTCTTGCAATGAGAAATGCTTTTTTATATGATAGTGACAAACAAACACCTGTTTGAATATGTAACCCTTAAACTGTGGTGCAACAATAAGGTGGCAGGACTAATAAAATGCCAGCGGCTAGGCCATAAGGGATTCTAGAGAGCCGCGAGCACAGGAGGATCCTTACATTAATTATAACAAAATTTGTAATTAGGTAATTAATTTATGTTAACTCGTACACAAACAAATTAAATACAAAAGAAGAAGCTTTGAAAGCATTTTTATAGGAAAAATATATTGCCCAGATTTGGCACGCATCGCAAGGAACGCATCCGGTACGTATATTATAAAACATTCGACGTTTGAACACGTTGGTTCAGTTTCTTTCTTTAATATTGAGGAAAGTCTCCACATATCAATTCAATATCATCATATCAAAAGCTAATAACGAAAGGGCCTATGTAGGCCTGTTCATGCAAAAATGAGCAATAAATCGGCAGGTAATTACTGTCAATGTACGTCGGAAACTTGAGTTAAGTAAGTTTGTTTTCAGTCATAATTCTCCGAGTATACTCACCACATCAACCACTTCTTGGCGAGCTTTATCCTTGAGGTCGTACCAGTGTCCATGGTCAACCCACTGCCGCAGTAACTCCAAAGGTGGTTGGGCACCCCATTGCTCTTTTTGCGGCATGCTCAGGTCGTCGACGAACAAGACGCACTGAACATAAAGCCAAAATTAAAAAAATTAAATTACTTCACTTTCCGTCGTAAAGAGAAATCTTAAACATACTTAAAAGAAAATATACAACAACATACATATATTAACGTACCTTTTTGCCCATGGAAGGTCCAAATACACCTTTGCGTCTTCTGTCTACTTTAGACATTATGATGTCTTGAGTCTGTAACAATACCTCAGCTGCTGAATTCATGCATTATAATACATAATACAAGTATATTAAACGCAAACATATATCGGTGCACTAGCACGACCACATTGATTTAATGAAAATTAAAACCAATTAAAGATTATGATACGAAACAGTATTCACAAATTCTCCATAGAGTCAGCGTATTTTAAATGATGAATTGCAATTTATAGTACTGATTTACCACGTCATTTACATTAAATTTTAACTTAATTCGAAGATTGTTAATATATATCAACTTGCACTGAAGTGTCTACGCACTTTCCCCTGTCCCTCAAAAATAGAAGAAATCTTTTGAACATCTGGCAGTTACTTGATCGATTCTTACGCGAGATCGTGAGGGTGCATGAAGTGTTAAACAATATACATATAGGTGTTCAGAACAGAACAAGTGAGATAAAATAATGCTCCTTAAACTGTTATCATAAGTCCACTGCTGAACGAAGGCTCCTCCCAAAGGAAGTCAGCTCGATCCAGAGCCACCAGCATCCATCGAATTCCTGCACTCCGTGCCTGGCCGCCCTATAGTCCGCTCACTGTTACTGGGCTGCTGCTCGAGAACCTTTCTTCCCCATCGAATGTCGGTTCTTCAAGCTATATGGACAGTCAATTGCTACTTCAGATTATTGATCTGTTGTGGTTTGTCGGTTACTTTGGTTCTACTCCAGATATAATTTTTTCGAAGTCTATCACGCAAAGATACTTATTGATATATCTTACCTGACGTTTTTAATATATCTTACCTGATTAGCGCTAGTTCTAGCAGAAAAGTTAACGGTATTAGTGATATACTTGTCCTTAGGCAATGAGAGCAGAAAGTCTAACACAAGAGAAGACTTTCCAGTGCCGGTGGGACCAACCAAAAGGATTGGTATTCGTGAGTTCACCATCTTTGTCACGAAATATCGAAGGTAAGCATTCTCATTCGTCAGGATTATCAGTTCGTTAACCTGGTGACGCAAAAGAAAAACCAGTAAGTATAAAGTGCGCTCTATTGTTACAGAATCTTGACAAAATTTTGCGAAAATTTTATGGATGATCAATTTTACACTGACTTAAGTGCTTTTTGCGATTTCCTACTTTTTACATAAGCATAAAACTATCTAGGTATCTTTATTAGAATATAAATATGTATCTTGTACTACATATTTTGTTTCATTACAAAATATAGAAACATTTCTATGTGAATTCCTTCCAACATCACATAACATGAATAAACATGAAACATGAAAATATAACAGCGAAATTGGTTTTAATGTACAAAACCAATTTCGCTGTTGTTTATTCATTTTATAACAATTAAATAAAAACAAATGTAATAATATTTATTGAATTGAAAGAGCTTAATTTGTTAATTTTAATAAACACACATTCCATTTTTTTATACACGCAAGACGTAGCAGTAATTGTTATGCTCAGAGCAAAGTGTTGATTGCAAAGTATATGGCTACACCTCTAGGTCATATGAACAGAACGTAGCAAAGTAGTTATTGATATGTCGCTGCGTCATACTTTCACGACGTAGCAAAAGACCGCTTGCAAAGTATGTATATGGCTACATACGTCGCTACGTCATATGTACAAAACTTAGCAAAGTAGTTAGTGCTACGTTGTTGTATCATACGATCACGCCACACTTTAAACTATGATCACGCGTAGCAATTACGTTTGCAAAGTAAATGGGTACGTTGTTACGTCATATGTACATAACGTACCAAAGTAGTTATTGCTACGTCGCAGTATTATACGATCACGCCACACTTTAAACTATGATCATGCGTAGCAAAGTTCCGTTTGCAACGTATATGGGTACGTCGCTACGTTATATGTACAAAACTTAGCAAAGTAGTTATTGCTACGTCGTTGTATCATACGATCACGCCACACTTTAAACTGTGATCACGCGTAGCAAAACACCGCTTGCAAAGTATGTATATCGCTACGTCGCTACGTCATATGCACAAAACGTACCAAAATAGTTATTGCTACGTTGCTGTATGTAGAGCCGTGGTAGCTCAGATGGTTAGCGCTCGCTGTAAGCTTCACAGTACTCGAACAACCCGGGTTCGATCCTCGCCGGCACCAATGAAATTGTTAATTGCAATTTTAAGTGCTGATTTACCACGTGCTCGGCGGTGAAGGAAAACATCGTGAGGAAACCTGCATGTCTGAGAAATAAGAAAAAAAAAAAATATTTCGAAGACATGTGAAATTCGCCAACACGCATTAGGGCAGCGCGGTGGACAATTCCTTGCCCTAAAACCCTCACAGAAATGAGAGGAGGCCTGTGCCCAGCAGTGGGACATGAACAGGCTGCAACTTTACTTTACTTTACTTTTGCTGTATCATACGATCACGCCACACTTTAAACTGTGATCACGCGTAGCAAAGTTCCGTTAGCAAAGTATATGGGTCCGTTGCTACGTCATATGTACAAAACTTAGCAAAGTAGTTAGTGCTATGTCGTTGTATCATACGATCACGCCATACTTTAAACTATGATCACGCGTAGTAATTACGTTTGCAAAGTAAATGGGTCCGTTGCAACGTCATATGTACAAAACGTACCAAAGTAGTTATTGCTATGTCGCAGTATTATACGATCACGCCACACTTTAAACTGTGATCATGCGTAGCAAAGTTCCGTATGCAAAGTATATTGCTACGTCGCTACGTCATATGTACAAAACGAAACAAAGTAGTTATTGCTACGTCGCTGTATCATTCGATCACGCCACACTTTAAACTGTGATCACGCGTAGCAAAACACCGCTTGCAAAGTATGTATATCGCTACGTCGCTACGTCATATGCACAAAACGTACCAAAGTAGTTATTGCTACGTCGCTGTATCATACGTTCACGCCACACTTTAAACTGTGATCACGCGTAGCAAAGTTCCGTTTGCAAAGTATATGGCTCCGTTGCTACGTAATATGCACAAAACGTAACAAAGTAGTTATTGCTACATCGCTGTACCATACGATCACGCCACACCTTAAACTGTGATCATGCGTAGCAAAGTTCGGTATGCAAAGTATATTGCTACGTCGCTACGTCATATGCACAAAACGAAACAACGTAGTTATTGCTACGTCGCTGTATCATTCGATCACGCCACACTTTAAACTGTGATCGCGCGTAGCAAAACACCGCTTGCAAAGTATGTATATCGCTACGTCGCTAAGTCATATGCACAAAACGTACCAAAGTAGTTATTGCTACATCGCTGTATCATACGATCACGCCACACTTTAAACTGTGATCACGCATAGCAAAGTTCCGTTTGCAAAGTATATGAGTCCGTTGCTACGTCATATGTACAAAACTTAGCAAAGTAGTTAGTGCTACGTTGTTGTATCATACGATCACGCCACACTTTAAACTATGATCACGCGTAGCAATTACGTTTGCAAAGTAAATGGGTACGTTGTTACGTCATATGTACATAACGTACCAAAGTAGTTATTGCTACGTCGCAGTATTATACGATCACGCCACACTTTAAACTATGATCATGCGTAGCAAAGTTCCGTTTGCAACGTATATGGGTACGTCGCTACGTTATATGTACAAAACTTAGCAAAGTAGTTATTGCTACGTCGTTGTATCATACGATCACGCCACACTTTAAACTGTGATCACGCGTAGCAAAACACCGCTTGCAAAGTATGTATATCGCTACGTCGCTACGTCGTATGCACAAAACGTACCAAAGTAGTTATTGCTACGTTGCTGTATCATACGATCACGCCACACTTTAAACTATGATCACGCGTAGCAATTACGTTTGCAAAGTAAATGGGTACGTTGTTACGTCATATGTACATAACGTACCAAAGTAGTTATTGCTACGTCGCAGTATTATACGATCACGCCACACTTTAAACTATGATCATGCGTAGCAAAGTTCCGTTTGCAACGTATATGGGTACGTCGCTACGTTATATGTACAAAACTTAGCAAAGTAGTTATTGCTACGTCGTTGTATCATACGATCACGCCACACTTTAAACTATGATCACGCGTAGCAATTACGTTTGCAAAGTAAATGGGTACGTTGTTACGTTATATGTACAAAACTTAGCAAAGTAGTTATTGCTACGTCGTTGTATCATACGATCACGCCACACTTTAAACTGTGATCACGCGTAGCAAAACACCGCTTGCAAAGTATGTATATCGCTACGTCGCTACGTCATATGCACAAAACGTACCAAAGTAGTTATTGCTACGTCGCTGTATCATACGATCACGCCACACTTTAAACTGGGATCACGCGTAGCAAAGTTCCGTTAGCAAAGTATATGGGTCCGTTGCTACGTCATATGTACAAAACTTAACAAAGTAGTTTGTGCTATGTCGTTGTATCATACGATCACGCCATACTTTAAACTATGATCACGCGTAGTAATTACGTTTGCAAAGTAAATGGGTCCGTTGCTACGTCATATGTACAAAACGTTCCAAAGTAGTTATTGCTACGTCGCTGTATCATACGATCACGCCACACTTTAAACTGTGATCATGCGTAGCAACGTTCCGTATGCAAAGTATATTGCTACGTCGCTACGTTATATGCACAAAACGAAACAAAGTAGTTATTGCTACGTCGCTGTATCATTCGATCACGCCACACTTTAAACTGTGATCACGCGTAGCAAAATTCCGTTTTCAAAGTATATGGGTCCGTTGCTACGTCATATTTACAAAACTTAGCAAAGTAGTTAGTGCTACGTCGTTGTATCATACGATCACGCCACACTTTAAACTATGATCACGCGTAGCAATTACGTTTGCAAAGTAAATGGGTCCGTCGCTACGTCATATGCACAAAACGTACCAAAGTAATTATTGATACGTCGCTGTATCATACGATCACGCCACACTTTAAACTGTGATCATGCGTAGCAAAGTTCCGTTGGCAACGTATATGGATACGTCACTACGTCATATGCACAAAATGTACCAAAGTAGTTATTGCTACGTCGTAGTATTATACGATCACGCCATACTTTAAACTGTGATCACGCATAGCAAAGTTCCGTTTTCGAAGTATATTCCTACGTCGCTACGTCATATACACAAAACGAAATAAAGTAGTTATTGCTACGTCGCTATATCATTCGATCACGCCACACTTTAAACTGTGATCGCGCGTAGCAAAACACCGCTTGCAAAGTATGTATATCGCTACGTCGCTACGTCATATGCACAAAACGTACCAAAGTAATTATTGATACGTCGCTGTATCATACGATCACACCACACTTTAAACTGTGATCATGCGTAGCAAATTTCCGTTTGCAACGTATATGGGTACGTCGCTACGTCATATGCACAAAACGTACCAAAGTAGTTATTGCTACGTCACAGTATTATACGATCACGCCATACTTTAAACTGTGATCACGCGTAGCAAAATTCCGTTTTCAAAGTATATTCCTTCGTCGCTACGTCATATGCACAAAACGAAACAAAGTAGTTATTGCTACGTCGCTGTATCATTCTATCACGCCACACTTTAAACTGTGATCGCGCGTAGCAAAACACCGCTTGCAAAGTATGTATATCGCTACGTCGCTACGTCATATGCACAAAACGTACCAAAGTAGTTATTGCTACGTCGCTGTATCATACGATCACGCCACACTTTAAACTGTCATCACGCGTAGCAACGTTCCATTTTTAAAGTATATGGCTACGTGGCTACATCATATGCACAAAACGTACCAAAGTAGTTATTGCTACGTCGTTGTATCATACGATCACGCCACACTTTAAACTGTGATCACGCGTAGCAAAGTTCCGTTTGCAACGTATATGAGTACGTCGCTACGTTATATGTACAAAACTTAGCAAAGTAGTTATTGCTACGTCGTTGTATCATACGATCACGCCACACTTTAAACTGTGATCACGCGTAGCAAATTTCTGTTTACAAAGTATATGGGTACGTCGCTACGTCATGTGTAAACAACTTAGCAAAGTAGTTGTTACTACCTATGTCATACGTAGCATATTTAATCTTTACTCGTTGCTAAATTAACAAGTATACAATAATTTACTTGCCAACTTAAAAGGTTATATGGTTGCCTAATAATTACGTTTATTTTGCACAAAATTTATCGTTTATGAAATATAGAATCAAATTTTATTTAAAGTTATTAGTTTATTCTTAACTCTCTAAATCGGTTTTCCTACGTACAGGGATTAATAGTGCGGAGATTAAAGATGAAATGTCGTTTTTGTTTTTAATAAAATAAATTCTAAGTAATCTTATTAACTCTTTGCATGTTTACCTTCGCGTTAACCGGTATAGGCGTTTCCTTCTCCAGGTCGACCCATGGTATCCAGGTGCCGTTGTTGCGCTTGTCATACACATAATCGAACACAGTGTCCTTATCCTGGAAAAGCTGGTTCTTGGACAACTTGAAGGACTTCGGTTTAGGATACGTTGCGTTGCTGCCGTCTAGTAACTTACGAAAGAATGTGTCAAACATTTTACGACTTTCACCTGGAATAAATTTTATAAAAATTTAGGATATAAGGAAATTTTTATGATTACTTTAAAGAGTTTAAATAAACAATCTTTTGACCCCTGAAATCTCTAAAAACAAATATGCAAATAAAATTCAAAAGATATATTACGATTGTAGGTCAGCTTGACCGAGGAAGGACCATGCTTTTACAAAATACCAGCGTGAAATAGCAGCTTCATGCTGCTGTGTTTTGTATGGTGGGTGAGAACAGAAGAACCTTTTTATTGGAAAAGAGGCATTCCATCTTAGTCTTCAAGGCATGTCACTCTTATATCCTGTATCTTGATTTTAATTAATAAAAAAAATATTTTCAATAACAATAAAATCACTAATCTATTCTATTCTTAGTCAAGGATAGATATAAAAATCACTCTATTCTATTCTATTATCTTCTATTTTTAATCGAGGATAGATGTAGATGTCTATGGACAACAGCGTCCACTTACCATCAGGTGGACTGTGCGCTCGTTTCTCACCCTTATTCCATATAAAAAACATATATGCCCGTGCGTGTATCTTACCATTGATAGTGGCGGCGAGTCCCCATAAGAGGGCGAACACAAAAGTGCACTGCAACCACACGGTACTGAACTGCGACTCGCCTTCCAGCAGGCAAGTGAACAAGCGTGTGAACGACTGGCGACCAAATAAGACGCGTTCAATACAAGACTACAAGTTAGTGAAGTAACGTTGTAAGGATTATTTGTCTCAATCGAATTAACTCCTAGACTGGTTTGAAGGGTAAATGTGAATGAAGCATCCAATTTCAGTCTTCATAAGTGACAAGTGGAACACTCTTGCAGCTTTCTTTATAGATTTGGCTATGTGTCAAACTTGTGAACAGGTGCTGCTTTTAGGGACTGGTCTGCTCGGATTTGCAACACATTTTGTTTCGTTATGTATTCTTCTATTGTCTGTTCATTTTCAAGTTTGATTGAAATATCACATTATTATATATGCTTTAAAGAAACGACAATAAAAAGATATCGTCTGAGTTTATTTCGTCGTTTATTCTCCGGACAGATCCTCATTTTGAAACTGTAGTAGATTATAAAACAAATATGACAAACGAAATTTTAATTTCTTATCAAAAAAAAATAAAGAGTTTTTATTTCATTTCAGTGTCAATGGGCTAACGTGACTATTTAACACTAAACGGAATGACAGCTTATTACACCAATGTTACATATACTCCAACATACTTTTTATTGCAAGATTGAAAATAAATAACAAATTTCAATAAATCTGCAATCGCACAAGTTTTCTTAAATAAATAATTTTTAATGATTTAAAAAAAAGATTAAGTGAAGTACGTATGTACGTCAGTCACATAATAAGCGTAACACAATTGACATGTGTGGTGAAGTTATCAACTCACATAAAACTGATGGATCTCCCCAACTTTCACAAACTGTTGGCAACGCAGCATAAGGAAGTCGAATATTGGCGGCACAAGCCAGTCGATTAGCTCCTGGATCAGGTCAAACTGCTCCGGGATCAACTTCTTGCTCAAGTGAGTATTGTACGAGGCCAAAAATGCGCGCCAACCTGTTAAATGCAACAGAAATGTAAGAAATAAGTCACGCCTTATTGTCGCATAATCTATACAGATAAATAGAATAGAATAGAATACAATATTTTTTATTCAATTTACATTACATGTGTAATTCTTATTGAAAGCCATTTTTTACTTTACCATTGGTTCGAAAAAAAGCCTTTTTGATATAGCATTATTCACTTCGTCACATTTAAATAATTGACGTTTAAGTTTAAAAATCAAGATAGTATCATCAGCAAATAATACTATATCATGACTATCCCCTACAAGGTGAGGTAAGTCATTAATATACACCAGAAACAGGAATGGGCCGAGAATCGAGCCCTGAGGGAAACCCATTAGTACAGGTGACCCGGAAGAACTTTTACCATTGATAATAACCTTCTGCTTTCTATTACTTAAATATGAAATAATAAGTTTAAGCGATGTGTTCTTGATACCATAGTACTGTAGCTTCCTGATTAATATCTCATGGTGAACACAGTCGAAGGTCTTGGAAAGGTCACAAAATATACCCAAAGCATCCTCTGAATTCTCCCATGCACAAAAAATATGTTTAATAAGCTCAACTCCAGCATCAATTGTCGAGCATAAATAAAATTGAAGTGTCTGTCTGCAATATATTTTATGCGTGGTAGAGCCATGCTGCAGCTATATTAGTAGTATAGTATTAGCACAAATGGGTCGGCTCGTCCGAGGAAGGACCACGCTCTCACAGAATACCAGCGTAAAATAGCAGCTTAACACTGCTGTGTTTCGTATGGTGAGTGTAGAGAACCGAAGACCCTTTTTACTGGAATCGATGCATTCCATCGAATGCATTCCATCTTAATCCTCACGGGTGACGACGCATCTGCATTTTGATTTGTAATCGAGGATAGATGTAGATGTCTATGGGCTGCAGCGGCCACTTACCATCAGGTGGACTGTATGCTCGTTTGTCACCCTTATCGTATAAAGAAAAGATACTGAAAGAACTTTGCACGCCGATGAGACAGGATAACCATTCTTAGACTTTTGTCTGTCTGTCTGTATGGACTAATCTTCGGAACGGCTGAACCGATTGTAATGAAACTTGACGAACAAATAGAAACTAATACCACTTGAATTGTATTTCTTTTTTGATAACTATCTTAAATCTAAATAACGTCACATTATTAAGTTCTATCCAGGAAAAGTGGCGGCGGTTCTGTCGTAGCAAATAAAAGTAATTACATGTAATTTATAACGTATCCTAAGTAAATTTGAACGTTCATATATCACGTTATAATATATTGATAATATAGCCAGGTATAATATTTGACAGATTTCATAGCGGGGAAGTTAATTTGTTCGGAAAATGTAAAAGTTATTGTTTCTTTCTGTACTATTAGCTATATTTTATATTAGTAAGATTAAAAATAAATAAACCAAACCACAGATATTTATAAAAGTAGAAAAATAAAAAATAAAGTTAACAATGTGCAAAAAATTAAAGAGCAAATCACTGACGGATTGTTTTGTGTAGTAATATAATACTTTAGGAACTGATAAACTAAAAGTTTAAACCAATTTCTCAATTAAATTACATAGTGTAACAAAAAAAAACCTTACCTCAGTGTCAACTAGCGACATCTGGTGAGCAGAAAATTATTAGCCCTCATTTAGTTATTTACATAACACACACACACATATAGATTCTCACGCCTGTTACCCAGAGGGGTAGGCTTTCACTACGGACTTCCATTTAACACAATCCTGACACACCTCTCTGGCTTCTTAAACATTTACGAGTATATAACAACTCGTCGGTTAAAGGTGCTGTTAATTTGGCCAATCTTCAATATAACGTCAATATGGTTAATAAAATTCCGTCTAGAGCGTCCTTAGCCGAGTCTGTGTCTCAATTCTAAAGCGTAAATTTTCTCTTATCGCACGTTTTGCACTTCTTTCTTAATCGAGGATATATGTAGGTATCCTTGGGCTACAATTATTCCTTTACTATCAGGTGAAATGTCTGGTTTTTTTCACCCTTCTTTATATAATAAATAAAAGTGTCTATTATATTACGCGGTAGATCTATGCTACAGCTATATAACTGGTATAGTTGTAGCACGAATGCGTCGGCCGAACCGGTGAAGGACCACGCTCTCACTGAATACAGGCGTACAACAGCAATTCTCTACAGAACCGGAGACCCTATTTACTGGAAATGAGGCATTCTGTCTTAGTCCTCACGGGTGACAACGCATCTGAATTTTGATTCGTAATCGAGGATAGATGTAATGTATATGGGCCACAGCAACCACTTACCATCAAGTGGACTGCACACCTATATTATATTATATTATTATCCTATATAAAATATAAAAAAACATCCACTAAGCAAAATTGCACCCAGCACAGTCATAAGGCCGAAATAATAGATACCGGTCTAGTTATGTTAGAAAGTTTTGAACGCTTGTCTGCAATCTCACATGATGGTAAGTGATGTACCCGAAAATGGTTAAGCCAGGTGGTGGGAACCTTTTTCTGCCTAGGACTCCGTGGGGATATGTGCCACCCTGCCACATACGCCAAATAACAGGGCTTGCATTGCTGTTTTTAGTGTGATGGGTACAGAGAACCAGCGTATTTTTTTTTATAGGATATGGGTGACAAACGAGCACACAGTCCACCTGATGGTAACTGGTTGCTGCGGCCCATAGACATCTACATTTATCCTCAATAAAGTATAAAGATGCAGATGCGTCGTCACCCGTGAGGACTGAGATAGAGTGCCTCTTTACCAGTGAAATGGGTCTCCGGTTACCTACACTCACCATACGAAACACAGCACTGTCAAGCTGCCGTTTTACGCTGGTATCCTGTGAGAGCGTGGTCCTTCCCTGGTCGAGCCGACCCATTCGTGCTACAACTATACTACTAATATAGCTGAAGCATGGCTCTACCAAGTATAAAACTTTACAGGCATTACAGGCAGGCATTCCATTTTAGTCCTCAGAGGTGACAACGCATCTGTAGGCTTTTTGTATATATTTGGCTGCGGGTGTTTATGCATTTCAGTAGTCCTTAACCATCAGGTGGAATGTAAGTTTGTTTATCACTTCAGTTTAAAAAAAGAGCATACAATCAAGGCAAGCTTGATGATACCCACATTATAATCTGATGGTAAGAGAGATGGTGGGAAACTATTCCAATCCTTTCCTGTTCGAATTACGAAATACAAAGCAAACCGTTTAATTCAACCTGTGAAATGTCAAAAACAATGAGTTGAAGATCCGCAGAGTGACTTTTTAGTAGCAACTTATAATAGAATAGAATAAAATAAAATAGAATAAACCATTTATTGTGCTAGTTGTAGGTTTAAGAGATTTAACACTATACAAGTATATAAGTATCACCACAACCTGCCTAGATGAAGGCTTACAATATTATTAAAATCATCGAACTTAAAACATTATCTCATTATTCATTAAATCAAATAACACGGATAATAAATCATGTCATACAATGAAATATTTCAACAAACATGGAGACAATAAATAATAATGTCAAAAGTACAATGGAATTATGCCAGTATAATCTAAGTCTATGAATGGAATATTAATACGTCAAAATATATGTAAGCTTATAACAGTAAACTAAAACGTAGTGATTTTAATAGTCTTTGCTTAAAACATAATTCAGAAAATATTTCAAATGTCAATTAATTTAGAATGTAAGTTTGTAGCTCCAATAATCTTTTAAGGTGTGAACATCTTTCAGTCAATAATTCAAATAATTTATTCTTAAATGTTTTTATTTCTAATGCATAAAAACTTTTTGAGAAAAAGGCTGTCCTAGATGCGCGAAACGGTATAATAGTAACATTATTCTTTGTTTTCCCCTGGAGCTTAGCAATGTGCGAGTTAAAATAATGTAAATTACTTTTGACGCATAAGCAGGCTTGGTATATGTATAATGAGGGCAGATTTAGGATTCTTAATTTTACAAACACAGGTCTGCAACTGTCTGTTTGTTTGGCACCAAACATTGCCTTGAGACACTTTTTTTGCATACAAAACAATGGCAACAGGTTAACATCAGCCGCGCCTCCCCAATGTATGATACCATATCTTAAGTTGATGGCAACATATCCATGATAAGCAGTAAGTGCAGCTTTTTGTGAGACAGTTTGTGTTAATTTTCTTAGAGGATAAACAAATTTACTAATTTTACTTGTAAGATATTCGGTATGCGGTTTCCAGCTTACATTCATCAACCAACACACCAAGGAAACTTATTTGTTTTACTCGCTCAATCAAATGCCCCTCATACTTAACAACAACGGTCTCTTGTTTCCGGTTTTGGGGAAGATAAAACTGCATATATTTTGTCTTATCTAGGTTTTGTCTTATAATACAAACAAACGAGTATGAAAAGAAAAAATCAAAGCGCACCTAGCTGTTCTGGTTCCATGTAGATCATGCCACAGCGAGACACCGTGGCCGGGGAAGCGAACTCCAAGTCCGCTGGCTCGAAGATGAGATTCATCTTGTTGGTCATCTGTTATTCAAATAATATGATAAAATTATTTCCTCTGAAAATTGTCAAACAGCTAAGAATTGAACTAGGAATATTACAGTGGCACAGTGTTAAAGCAAACACAGTTGGACTACAGTCAAAAAAGTTCAGAAATCATCACACAACACAGTCAGATCCGAAAACCACCAAATTGTATTTTCGGACAAACGCAGGCATCGGTTTTAATTGAACCCCGGAATCTGCAAGGTAAGGCAGTAGCCAGATATTCTGACATTAATCAAATTTCATTCACGCTGGTATTCTGTTAAAGCGTGGTCTTAAGCGTCTCCCACACACAAGCGGCTTGCGGTGGCGGCTAACCGCGAGCCGCGGCTCCAGCTGCTGCAACAACACACCACTGCGGCCGGAGTGGCGGTCTGAAGCGCCATAGTCTGTGCTAAGATCGAACGTTTGTAAACATGACAAACCGTGACGAAGTCTTATTATATTCAGCAATATTATCATGTATTTTATTTTTAATCCTAAAGCTATGTGATCACGATGCAAATTATCATAAAGTACTGGATAATTTTGCACTGTTTCTATTAAAATCTCTGAATTTAGCAATATTTTCACGCGGTACACGCGGCCTGTTGTAAAAAGTTGCAACTGACCGCGCTGCAGCCACCGACTGGCCGCGTACTCGCTAACACACATACGTTGGCGGAAGGGGCGGAGCATGCGGCCGCGGCTAGCCGCTTGCAGATCGCGACATGGCCGGACGGGTTTGCAGACTCTCCTACATTGTAAGCGAATATAACTGACCGCCACCGCGGCCGCCACCGCAAGCCGCTTCTGTGTGGGAGACGCTTTACTCCGGTCGAGGCGACCCATTTGTGCTGCAGGTACGTAACGCTACCAAAGCTGAAGCGTGGCGGAACCATACCTGGTCACTTCGTAATGTTTTGATCTAATACCAATCTGTATAAGTCGTGGTAGCTCAGAGACTAAACGCTCGCTGTAAATTTAACAGTACGCGAGCAACCCGCGTTAGCTTCACGCCGGTACCAATGAATTTAATATATGTAATATAATAATAAGTGTGACAAACGAGTACACAGTCCACCCAATGGACATGTATCCTCAATCAAAAAGTTGATGTGTTATCACCTCTGAGGACTAAGATGGAATGCCTCGTTTCGAGTAAAAAGCGTCTTCTTTACACTCACCATGCGAAATACAAAAACGTTTTATTTATTTATTTATTATATTATGGACAACAAAACGGATAAAAATCTATATGTATAACAGTTTTGTGTGATGTTGACACATCATTTTTATATTTACTACAGGAGAGATCAACTCTAAGTTTTTGAAATACTCGTATTTATGGCATACAGTCAGCGTCAGATAAAAGGGAGCAGTCAAGTTGTTCAAATATTTTGAAACAGTCAAAGTAACCATTCATATTCAACCATACATAGTAGCCAAAATTTCTTTCTCAAATATATCGAAACACGTACAACATCAAATGTATGAGTTCATTTAAACCGTTCATAATTATATAATAGTAACAAATAGCAAACAACAAAGATTTATTGGTATGAAAGGAAAAGCAGACTTGATTCATGAATGTAAATACAAGACTGCTGAAGTGAGCATACCGTTTTACATTTATAATATTGATGTGGACTCTTCTGCTGATGATATTACTAGCTACATTAAGAGTAAAACAGGGGTTAGTGTATTGTTACAAAAAATGGAAATGAAATTAAAAAAGGGAATATGTAGCTTATAAATGTTTAATACCTAACGACAAATTATCTGTATTTATGGACGAGAATCTCTGGCCAAACGGTGTTGCTTTTTGTAAATTTCCGTAAAAAAAAAAAGGTGTTCAAGTCTAAACTAAAAACATGTCAAGAAAACTAAGACCAAATACAAATGGACATAATAGCTTCACAATATAATTCAAAAAAAATCTCAAAATTTTGGAAACTCACTAAAATACTGAGTCCTAAATCAGCTTTCTCCGTAAGCGTGAGCGGGAGTAGTGAACCGAAGGAGACAGCGAACCTTTTTAAAAGACACTAAAGTTGAATCGATATTACAGTGAAGAGCAGAAGTGGGAGCGGGCGATGGTGGGATGGTTGTGACTGGTAAGCCTCTCCGTATTGCAGCTAGGGATCTTAGGTTGGTTCTGAAGAAAATGATAAGAGGAAAATCACCAGGGCACGATGGCCTCAGTGTCGAGCACCTTCACAATGCAGCGCCGCATCTCCCAAGGGTCCTAGCAATGTTGTATACTTTTTGTATTAGGATCTCCTATTTACCGGCAGGTAAATAGGAGTGCCGTGGAGAGTTATGAGAACTATTGTTGTTCCTATAGTGAAAAACAAGACTGAGGATATATCTGACAAATCTAATTACAGACCTATATCCTTGGCAACTGTATTGGCTAAGGTGCTTGCTGTAGCGATAGCTTAATAACTGTATACATCTAAACGGTGCTCAATTTGGTTTTAGATCAGGCCTGTCGCTGAAGGATACTTTCAAATATTACACCCAGAGACAAACGCCAGTATATGCTACATTTCTGGATCTCTCCAAGGCATTTGACCTGGATAATTATGGCCCAGGTCAGATGGTCTGGCGCGCTATCGGACGAATAGACGATAATCTCTCTCAAGTTATATATATAATATCTCTCAAGTTGGACCGAACTGCACAAAGTGTACAAAATTTAATTAAAATCAGTTCAATAGTTTAGGAGTTCATCGCGGACAAACAATGTGACACGTAATTTTTATATATAAAGATTATTATTAATTTACTTAAGAGGTAATCGGAATTGATCTTATTATGTAGAATTTTATGTAAATATATAAGGTCATATTTCTTACTGCGAATAAGTAAGGAGATCACTTTAAATTTGTCTAACATCTCATTATAACTAACGTGATTGTTAGCAAGACCACATTTGTAGCTAAGTATTCTAAAGAATTTTTTGGACGCTTTCTAAACTATCTGAATGGACCGTGTAGCACGGAGAACAGATGACACAAGCATATTCAATAATGCTACGGACAAGGCTATAACAAACAGTCAGGAGGAGCTATGAGGCTGTTTGAAGCCATTAGTACATCTTGTTATGAAACCTAGTAACTGGAATGATTTGTTTTTTAATGTACACATAGTACTCCGAAATGTTTGAGTCAAACAGCACACCCAGGTCTTTAGCTACCGTTTTCTTGTGCAATGAATCTTCGATACTGCTATTTTAAGCTGGTATTTTGTGAAGGCGCGGTCGTTCGCCGGTCGCGCCGATCTATTCTGTGCTGAAGGAAAACATCGAGATGAAAACTACATGTCTAAGAAAGTAATATATTTATCAGCAACCTGTATGATCTCCCCACTCATGAGGCACAGCTTCTTATTGTCGTCCAGCACGGTGTTCATGTTCTCGATCCACACAGCATCCACTGGGCCGTCGAACAGGATCCACTTGCGGTCGCGGGTCAACGACATTGCATACTCGCGGAACGCTATCGCCAGCACTCCGTCAGACCTATAAACGTAGGTAAGAGCTTAAGAGAAATGGTATGAATTAATTTTTTTTATAGAATAAGGGTGACAAACGAGCACACAGCCCACCTGATGGTAAGTGGTTGCTGTGGCCCATAGACATCGACATCTATATTCGTTTGCGAATTAAAATGCAGATGCGTTATCAGCCGTGAAGACTAAGATCGAATGCCTTTTTTCCAGTAAAATTGGTCTCCGGTTCTCTCACTCACCATATGAAACAGCAGCCTTAAGCTGCTATTTTACGCTGGTATTCTGTGAGAGCGTGGTCCTTCTCCGGTCGAGCCGACCCATTCGTGTTATAACTATACTGTTAATATAGCCGCAGCATGGCTCTACCAAGTAAAAATATATATTTATTCAGAGTAATAACTTAGCCCAACGGATCAGTAAACTCAACTGGCGATACGCCGGCCATATAGCTCGAAGAACCCGCAACTGATGGGACGAAAGGTTCTCTAGGGGGAAAAGGCCGAAAGTGGAAACCGAGTGGAAGTGAAACTGGAAGGAGTAGTACGCGGAGTGTAGGGCTGCCCCTCACTAGATGGAGTTTCAACTTGGTGAGACATGCAGGAAGTCGTTGGATGCAGGTGGCTTAGAATGTGTTGTGATATTTCTTGGGAAAGGTCTATGTACTGCAGTGCACTTGTGAAAGCCTATTTTGTATACTATATGTACATATAAATAAAATTGAAAACATGAATAACCATTTTTTCTACCAACTTCAAAAAGGAGACGGTACTCAATTCGACTGTACGTTTTTTTTTGGGTGTGTTACCTCATAACTTTTTACGGAGTGAACCGATTTCGATTATCCTTTTTTATTTGGAAGCTGGTGCTTCACATGTGGTCCCATATAAATTTGATTAATGTCTGACCAATAGTTTTTGAGTTATTCTTAATAATTTAAATTGAAGTCGGTTGTACAAAAATTTAAATTTTAAATTATTTAATTCTGTCTATCTGTCTGTCTGTCCGTTCTAATCAACAGAATGGCAGAACTGATTATAATGAAACTTGACAAGCACAGAGCAATGCTAAGAGTGATCTAGGCTATATTTTATCTGAAAAACTTTGAGAGTTTTTTCTAAAACTCGATAAAATAAATTAATAAAATAAAATGTTCTTTGATGATTATCGTAAATCTAGATGATACCACATTAATAGATCCAGGCGAAACCAAGGCGGGTTGCTAGTATAGAATAAGGGTAGGATAAGGGTGACAAATGAGCCCACAGTGTATCTGAAGGTAAGAGGATACTGTGGCCCATAGACATGTGCATTTATCCCCCTGAGGGCTAAGATGGAATGCCAAGCCGGAAAATATATAAAAAGATTTTCCGGTTCCCTACATACAGCATTATTCTGCTGTTTAACACTAATATTGTGTACTCTTTACCCGCCATAACAGAGAAATTTACTTTTACTTTATTAATTTTTTACCATTCATGCGAAGCGGGATCGAAGCAACCGTAAAGCTGCCCCATTGTGATAGCCTTAGGGTTGATAATGCGATAGATAGCTCCGAACTCCTTGTGCCGCGGCGGTGGCTTCATCAGCTGCAGTGCGCGCAGCGACTCTGCCAGAGTCTGGTAGGCCTGGGTTTTGCCGCCCATCGGTGGACCGACAATCATGAAACCGTGACGTACTAGCATCATTTCGTAGATCTGGAAGTAGTGACGTCAGAGTTACGTCTAATCTGTAAAGGTAGCCGGGTTAATAAGACCCGATTTTTCAATCCTCAGTTAAAATATATTCATAGGATACATAGGATAATGCAACATAAAAAAAATGCAGTTGTATGAATAGAATAGTTTGCGGGTCAAATGCTTTACATTCATATTTAGTCAAGTTATATTTTAAACAATGGGTAACTTGACTAGACGATTGAAAAATAGGCATTAACACGAATAAACGAGTTAATTCGTCAGATAATTAGGTATAAAACTTTGCACTTATCACAAATATTTTTATCATTTTAATGTTGACACATTCTACATTGTATTATTGTACTTAGTTACAGAAACACAATCCAACCCACATTCGGGTCAAAAATGAGCTCAGCTTCATATACCGAAATAATCGTTAAGATCTACACTTTCAGAGAAAGAAGAAATTCCTGTGAACGTTGTCACCAATTAAATGCCAAACTACTATCAAACGAAGCAATCCGCTGTTATTGAACTCTGAATTAATTTATTCAATACAGTCCGTAAAAAGGCCACTACTGAACAAAAGCCTTCCCCAGATATTTGCCATGGTTGTCAAGTTTAGCAGCTGGGTTGGCAACTGCTGATTATTTATTATTATTAATTTTTTAGACGAAAGATGTTGCTGCCCACCTCCTGTTTCACTGTTCCAGTTTTCCTATGTTGCCTTTTACGACACCCACGACATGATGTGGGATAATAGATTCTCTTATGCCGCCATTACATAATCATGTTAACATTTTGTACATTTTCTGATAACATCCGGTTGGCAAACACTCTGCTTTGTATTGTATTGTCTATGGATTCGACTTTTGCGGAAGTCAAATCCAAATCCCTATTTTATTCTTGCTATAAATGCTGAAGGCTAGACAGTGAAAGGGTCATTCGTAGATCAACAGTGTAGCGCATAGACGTGTATTGTGGAATCTATGTAAATTATACTAGATTAGTGTAGTGTTCACGACGATTGTGATAAAGTATTTTGGTGTGTGATAATAAGTGGATACATGTGTTGTAAAGACAAAAGCCACATGAAATATACAGTTGTTTAAAAACAAGCATTTAATTTTATGTACCGCCATTTCTGTGCAAAAGTTCGTCGATATTAACATCTCAGAAGTGGGATACCGCTGAAAAGGAACTAATGTAAGTAAAGAGTTTTAAAAGAATATATCTTTTTAGCCTTAATTTACTTATAAACAATAGTCTGAATTTTAGTAATATTTTTCGTAACACTGAAATATAATCAATTAAGAAAATATGCAAATTATACAATTTTTTTTTGACAAGTATAACGCTTTCAGCATAGAAAAGGGTCATAATATAAATAATCGACTTGTGAGTCTACATAATATGTGGTGTAATAATAGTATTAAACTTTAGCTAAACATTTTTAAATGAACTAAGTCAAAGAAGAGAACACAAACTTCATTTTCACTATAATATGCACAATAATTATTTTACGAATAAGTAGTTAGCTTCACTAAATGAAGTTATAATTTTGTTTTTGTATCGATACAATTATTTATTTTTTTATTTTCATGACTCATCATGTCTAAACGGGTCGGCAATAATTCCCGAGAGCTGAGATATCTTTCGCGAGATGAGCTACGAGAGACGAGATCATCAAGGTCCCGGCGTCGATCTGATCGTGGCACGTTCAGCCGTGAGCGTTCTCGGTCGCAACGCAAATGCAAGGAAAATAAATCCCGGCACAATCGCCGCCACCGGCGGCGAAGGACGTCAAGCAGCAGTTCACCAGCGTCAATAGATGAACCAAGGTACAAAGAAACAAAATTATTTCAAAAATTTATAGATGTTATGAAAGATTTCAAGAACGTAGGTGATCGTGGTAAATTTCCTGTCTTTAATAACTTTATTCCCGAATTCGACCCGCTTTGTAAAGAACAATCAATAGACGCATGGATCCATAAGATTGAGTAGTGTGCGAAAATTTATAATTGGGATGAAAGACAAATTATACGTTACTCCTTGCCTAAATTAAGTGGGGTAGCAAAAACGTGGTATCAGGGCTTACTTTACTTTTTTCCTGGTCTGAATGGAAGTTCAAACTAAAGGAGTCTATTCCTTCACGTGATAACTACTCAGAATTATTAACAGAGATGCTCAGTAAGAGAGTTCGTTTTGGTGATTCGCTAGAACTTTATTATTATTCAAAAATGAACTTCCTCAATTGTTGTGAGATATATGGGAAAAGGGCCGTCGACTGTTTAATTGCTAGCATTGACGATAGGGGTATTAGATTAGGGGCACAAGGTGCAGAATTTGGTGAACCTGAACAAGTGTTAAAAATTTTCAAATCTATTAAAGCTGATCAAAACAAAAACTCCAATGATAAACTTTTATTAAAGGATCGAGAACTCCGATCAAATACTACGATAATTAACAATACGCAACCTATTTCAAAACCTGACGCATCGCAAAGGCATAATTACAGTTAAATGACATGCTTTAATTGTAAAGAGATAGGACATCCATTCTTTCGTGGTAATAAACTTAAGTTTAGATGTAATAATTGTAATTTTTCGGGACATATAACCTCAGATTGCCCTAATAGCAAGACCCTTGACGGGATTACTGAAAATGATGTAAATTGGAAATAGAGTGACGGCGAAATTCAAACTTTTGAGATACTTAAAACTAAACTCACGGAAAGGCCAATTTTATCTCTTTATAATCCGGATCTGGAAACTCAACTTCATACAGACGCATGTAAATTTTGAGTCGCTGGGATCCTATTGCAGAGAGATGACTCAGGATTGTTTAAACCAATAGCTTATTATAGCCGACAAACTTCGGTAGACGAACAAAAACTTCATTCTTATGAACTAGAAACCTTGGCAGTAATAGCATCATTGAATAAATTTAGGGTTTATTTATTAGGGTGAAAATTTAAAATTGTAACGGACTGCAATGCTTTACGGAGCACTTTGACAAAAAGAGACGTAGTACCACGGATCGCCAGATGGTGGATCCAATTTATGGAGTTCGATTGCGAAATAGAGTATCGGCTTGGGGAAAGGATGGCACATGTGGACGCGTTAAGTAGTAGAGGAGAGTAGAAAGTACTGGGAATAATGAGCAGGCCCTAGACGTTCTTAATGTTGGTACGGAAGATTGGTTAATTACAGTTCAGCAAAATGACGATGAAGTTAAGCGTATTGCGTGTGTCCTTCAAAGTCCAGTGACAAAAGAAGTTTTTAAAGAATTTTAAGTTGAAAAACGGGCGAATATACAAAGTTATGACTGATAACACTTTGAAATGGGTGATACCCAAAGGGGCTAGGTAGCAAATTCTTAAAAGCAACCATGACGACTTTGGTCACTTTGGGTACGACAAAACACTTTCTCGTATCAAAGAATCATATTGGTTTCCCAAAATGCGTCGGTTTATAAAAAAAGTATGTTGCAGCTTGTATGAAATGTGCTCCTTATAAAGTACCGGGTGGAGCGAAAGCAGTAGAATTCCAGCCAATTCCAAAGATTGATAAAACATTCCATACGATCCATGCGGACAATTTGGGCTCTTTTGTAAGATCAAAACGCGGAAATACATACATTCTTATAATCGTAGATGCATTTACAAAATATATAAACCTCCACACCAGTTCAAAACACTAAATCTACCACTTCGATTAGAGTATTTCGCGAGCATATCAGCTATTTTGGAACACCGTTTTGGTTTATTACAGATCAAGGGACTAGTTTTACTAGCATTAAATTTAAATCGTATATCAAATCTTGTGGAATAAAACACGTGTATAATGCTGTAGCAACTCTACGTGCCAACGGCCAATTTGAGCGATATAACCGTTCTATTCTAGCAGCTCTCGCAACAATGAATCACGATAAACCAAACGCTATTTGGGACGAACATCTGCCCGACATTCAGCTTGGGCTCAACACAACCATACATGCAAGTACAAAAAAGACTCCAACCGAACTTCTATTTGGGTATAAAGTAACTAATCCAAGTCAAGGCATATTAAATGAAGTTATTTTAGAAGTAGCACCCGATACCACGGCAAATAATTTAAATTAAATTAGATCCGAAGCTAATGAACTTATTTAAAATAAACAAAATAAAGATAAAGAAAGATATGATAAACATAGAAATACCGTGGTTATATTTAATAAAGGAGATTCAGTAAGAGTAATTGAAGCAGTTACTGGTGTGTAGAAGGGCAATCAAAAAAATTGAGCCGAAATGTCAAGGGCCTTATACGACAAAAAAAAATAAGTTCTACCAAATGATCGTTTTGTAATCGAGGACACTCCTTTATCAAGAAAGGGGAGCTTGCTAATAAAACTAAGGTTCTGGTATTTGAAAGGGACGAAGAGAGAACGAAGTGTGAAATATGGGTAAATCAGGAATGTCTAGAACAGGTAAATGAAATTGTATACTTGGGGAGTGCTTTTAGCCGGGATGGAAGATGTGATTTAGATGTGGACAGGCGTGTCGCTGCCGGGAACAAAGTCAATGGTGCCCTGACTGCGTTAGTCAAAAGGCAAGGCGTAGCGAAGAGTGCACGCCTTGCAATACATAACGCAGTGTTGGTACCGACTTTGTTATATGGCAGCGAAACCTGGGTATGCCAGAAGAAGCATAAAAGTAAGTTGAATGCAGTGGAGATGCGATCTCTGCGTAAAATGTGCGGCGTTACCATGGCCGACCGAAAGCGAAACGAAGAGATTCGCAATATGGCAGGTTTGAAAGATGACCTTATCACAAAAATGGATAAGGGCGTGCTTCGGTGGTTTGGGCACGTTGAGCGAATGAGTGAAGACCGAATGGTGAAGAAAATATATAGCGCGAAAGTTAATATTAAAAGGTGTCGAGGTAGACCGAGACTAACTTTCGAAGACCATGTGAGCAAATTGCTCGAAGAGGGTAGGGTCAAAAGTACTCGGATACCTAGACGTGCATGCATGAAGAAGATAATGAATCTGAAAGAAGCGAAAGAGGTTTGTAAGGATCGTGACACTTGGCGATCTGTTCTCTCTGGCTACCCCGTCAGGGATTGTGCGTGAAGATAAGTATAAGTATAAGAAAGGGGAGGCGTTACGAGGCTGTTGTTGCCATTAATAAAAATTTTCCTTGGATCATGTTTAATCATAATGCGTCCACTGATTGTGATGAGAATTCAAGTGATAACAATAGCGATAGTGATGATGAATAAAAAGAAAAGACTGATTGTTGTATGAGATAATTTTTAAGTTCTGAGTGAGGATCGAAATCCTTAGCCAAGGTCTTCGGCTGGAGTTGCAATGCCCACTCTTGTGTCTGCAATCGATATTATGGATTGTCTGCTCAAGCGTGAGGGGTCGTTATCCCCCGACTAAGGTAATGTGTCGGTATGCACTCCCACTCGTTTGAATCTGTAAAAATGTTGAATATAAGCTTTAGGTTTTGAGTGAGGGTCGTAATCCCTAGCCAAGGTCTTCGGCTGGAGTAGCAATACCCACTCTTGTGTCTGCAATCGATGTTATGGATTGTCTGCTCAAGTGTGAGGGGTCGTTATCCCCTGACTAAGGTAATGTGTCGGTATGCACTCCCACTCGTTATTAAAAGTACATAAGATAATTTATATAAGTTGAAAGATGAAATGTAAACCAAAAAAAAAGTTAATTGTATAATTAGTTTAAATTATAATGAACCTATCCTTAACTATAAGAAATGTATTTAGCTTTTAAGAGCCTTAGGAAATATTACTTCTGGTTTTATGTTACAATAAATTATATTTTAAGACTTAATACAAAATGTAACTAGCGTATAAATTAAACTAATTATTAGGATCCAAATATGGTTGAATATTAATGTGATTTGATGTCTTCACTACCGTATATTTCAGTTTCTTTAAAATCAATGTGATATGATAATAATAATTATAATAATTAGACCAACCAACAACATCAACTTACAAAAGTAATAAGCAGATTAACTGTGGTATTGCAAATTTATATATTTTTTTTTTGTTATATCTAAATTTATGATCATATTAAATGATTATGAACTAACTGAATTACTTAACTTGTTAATGTAGACATAAAATCGCAACGAGGGACTCGTTGATAAACGGATGGCCGAGTTGTTAACATTTTGTACATTTTCTGATAACATCCGGTTGGCAAACACTCTGCTTTGTATTGTATTGTCTATGGATTCGACTTTTGCGGAAGTCAAATCCAAATCCCTATTTTATTCTTGCTATAAATGCTGAAGGCTAGACAGTGAAAGGGTCATTCGTAGATCAACAGTGTAGCGCATAGACGTGTATTGTGGAATCTATGTAAATTATACTAGATTAGTGTAGTGTTCACGACGATTGTGATAAAGTATTTTGGTGTGTGATAATAAGTGGATACATGTGTTGTAAAGACAAAAGCCACATGAAATATACAGTTGTTTAAAAACAAGCATTTAATTTTATGTACCGCCATTTCTGTGCAAAAGTTCGTCGATATTAACAATCACATCAGTATCGTTAACCTCCGACTCGGAAATTCCAACGTCAATATCAATGGCAATATAGAATAATTTGATTACGTGGTAAGTTAAAAAGGTAAGATGTGCAGGAAGTCGATGGATTCAGTTGGCTCAGGGCCGTGTTTTGTGGCATTCCTTGAGCAAGGGCTACGATGATGATGATGTTAAAAAGGAGTCTATCGGTAAAATCACAGAATACAAATATGAAATAGCTACATAATGTTGTTGTAGTTTGTATGATAAGTTTTGACTCGTCCAATTAATGATATTGGCTTTGAAGATATCAGATAGATTGGAGATGCAGTACCAGATGTATCTTACTTTGACACTGCTCCCGATGGTAAAGGTTACGAAGTCTTAGGTGGTAAAACGCACTAGATTAGCAAATATCTATGCACCTTTGAAGTGTTCATATAATATTCGGATGGAAAGTAAGAGTTACAATCGAATACACAGTCCACCTGACTATAAGCGGCACACAACATCCAATTACCAAACCAGAGATCCTCAATAAAGAATCAAAATGCGAAAGCGTTGTCAAATGTCACCCCTGAGGAATAAGATGAAAGACCTAGGTATAGTGATTGTCACCCCTGAGCAGTAAGATGAAGTGCCTAGTTACCAGTGAAAGGGGTTTTCGGTTCCCGTCACTCACTATATAAACACAGCAGTATTATGCTGCAACTTAACGCTGACATTCTGTGAGAGTGTGACTTGTACTCGGTTAAGGCGAGACTATGGTCCGGCTACAACGACCTCTACCACGTCGTACAGTGATCTCAATCCTTTATCTCACATACTTAAGTGTATTAGATACTTGATTTACTTGCTCTTACTAATTCAATAAATCATTCACCGGTTATTGGATTGTCAAAATGTTTTTGGTCACCTGTATGATCTTCTCCAGATACCAGTCTGTGGGCTGGAGGTTGCGTTTATCCAGCTCTTTCTTGATGCAGACGAGCAGCTCGGCGCGGTCCGGCTGAGGGATCTCCACGCCCGGGAACAGATCCGAGTAGATACCCGTGAACAGGGGCACGTCCTTGATAAAGTTATGAAATGTTTAAAAAAGTGAAATAAAGAACGTGTTAGTTAATAATATTTTTTTAATAAAAATGTAGTGAAAAACGAACTTACAGTTCACCTGATGGTAAGTGGCTACTGCGGTTTATTAACACCTTTTTTTATATAGAATTAGTGTGACAAACGAGCACATAGTCCACCTGATGGTAAGTGGTTGCTGTGGCCCATAGACATCTACATCTATCTTTGTTTGCGAATTAAAATGCTGCTGCGTTGTAAGCCGTGAGGACTAAGATAGAATGCCCCTTTTCCATTAAAAAGGGTCTCCGGTTCTCTATACTCACCATATGAAACACAGCAATGTCAAGTTGCTGTTTTACGCTGGTATTGTGTGAGAGCGTGGTCCTTCTCCGGTCGAGCCGACCCATTCGTGCTACAACTATACTATTAATATAGCTGCAGCATGGCTCTACCACGTAAAAGCCGACCTTCAAACAAAAATCTGCAGCCAACTTCAAACAAAGAAGGCTACAGATTCGTTGTCACTCTGAGGACTAAGATGGGAAGCCTCACATCCTGTAATTACACTTGCTCTTGCCCTTTAGACCGGACACAGTAGTGCACGTCACTCCACCCATACGGAATCCTAAACAGAAGAGCAGTCCTATCACCTGGAATGACTCAAAAAACAATCTACAGCTGATCCACTTCTCTCGCGTGCTGGCATCCGATTCGGATCGGATTTTTGAAGAATATTTTCTATAGAATAGAATAATTTTTATTCAATATTTACAAGTAATTCTTATTGAAAGTATTTTTTTTACATTACTACTGGTTCGAAAAATATCCTCTGTCCTGGGAAGAATCAGCAAGAATCCCAGCTGGACTTTTTTTTAAATAAATTTTACAATATAATTGATTACAAACTATTTACAAAATTTATTTTAGAAACAGCTTGGAAACGACCACCTCATTCTCAGAGGTTATTATCAACCATGTATTCATTTATATTATAATAACCCTTTTTATACAGTTTTTGTTTAATTAAATATTTAAACTTCGTAATAGGGAGACCTTGTACAATTTCTGGGACTTTGTTGTAATATTGCCCCAAGAATGAATTACTGACTCGGTGAAATATACTGAGAGGCCAAAGTTAATATATTTATTTCTTTAAATTTTTCTCTAAGAGACTCTCTCTCTCTCTCTCTCTCTCTCTCTCTCTCTCTCTCTCTCTCTCTATAATTAATAAAATTAAATCCCAACGCAAACATACAACTGCAACCCTTCAATATACTACTTAATTTTAAACTGAAGGTAGCCGTGGTTATCTGTGATACTGAGACGTTGAACACCTCAGCCCCCTCCCCCTGTCATCATGGGTGTTGTAAATTAGTTACTTGAAACTTCGGGAATATAAAATAAAATAGTATCACAATAAAATCCATAAAACCAAGTTTCATTTAAACGTGTGGTGTTCATATAAACATAAAAAAATCATTATGTTTTCCAGTTGGTGCAATCCAGGAATGTACGTACAGCAGTGGGTTAAAAAGGTAATGTGTGTAACACACTATTTATTGTGAATGTTGTAATATTTCGCTTTTCGGATCACCTGTGAGAGGAACTTGGGCATGTTGACGTCGATAACAGCCCTCAGCACTAGCTGAGCCTCATCTTTCTCCGGGTAATTTTTCTTTAGAGCTCCGGACGCGAGCAGTACTGACTTGACGGCGCGCATGCCGTAGTCATAGTGGTTCTGCGACGACAGTTGCTCCGAGCATAGCTTGTATGCCTGCACTATCTTGCGGGCCAGCCTGAGGGTAGTCAGTTTTGACATAATTTCATTAGATCAGTAACAAGGCTGGTCGCCGCGTGGTGGCGGTGTAAGAAAACCCATCACCTTAATTAAGTCCCTTGGGTGTCGTAAGAGGTGACTGAGGGTAATGCCAGAAAAAACTTGTTCAATATAAATTATATGATATCTCCTTAACTCCAGACTTAAAATCCGCCCTCACTGGTGACGGGCAGCATCTTGAAACTGGTATTGCGATCGTCAATCCGTTTGACAAGCGCGACAAAAAAGACAAATCCCGCCTACAACGGGGGCTGCCCATGTCTAGCAGCTGATTTTCACGAGCTGATGAAGAAGAATAAGACAGTAACCGGCACTGACTGTAGGTATACCGGCACTGATCAGTACTGCTATCGTATAAAATAACTTTCAATGTATTCATACACAATGTAAATCGACGTATGTTGATCCAAGTCAGTCATTGGCATTGAAACTGTCATTGACCCCAAATAAATCTAACCATTTATCCCTCTGCGTTAAGTGCATACTTATGCGTTAACTACCAGCATAGAGAGAGAATAACACTCCCTTTTTTATCGTGGGGAAATCCTCATACCTTACCTACTGATACCTTTGCCTACAGGGACAACGTTAAGGTAATGCCGGACTCCTAATGGCTAAATCCCCACGGTGGTCACCATCATCGTAAACGAAGTTTCCGCGATGTTCTTTCGGAACGGAACCAGGCACCTCTCTCGCTTTGCTTTATTGAAGGCACGTCTCTGGGCAGCATATGATGCCCCCAGCACTGTCGCAGTGTTATCATGACGTCTCGAGTTTATAGTACTAGGTATACGGGGCCCCCTTCCTGAACTCCCGAAACTCCAGAGGCCCCGCCCGGTTTGTGGATAAGCACACCCCTGTCTTAATCTACCCGTGAGAAACCGCAGATATGTAAAAATACTTTTCTTGTGAAACATATCGTAGCAAAGTTTAATAAGCAAGACAACAGGTCAACTGTTAAGAATTGGTATTCACTTGCTGGAAGCGGTGTACAACGGTTAGGCGGCAAACAATTTACCCATGCCAGACGCTTTCATGGTGAAATCGAATAGGTAAGATATCGATACAATTAAATCACCCGAAAATCAACAAAATATCATCTCCAGTTGCTATTTAAGCTCAAGACGCGTCGAAGCCAGCCGCGAGACGTGTAATACCAGACTTGAATGTTGGTGATTTTATTCCGTTATCCGTAATAGCCTAAGAAAAAAACACTTTTTTATAGAATAAGGATGACAATCGAGCACAAAGTTCATCTGATATTAAGTGGATGCTGTGGCCCATTGGCACGTAAATCTATCCTAAAATAACGTTTTCACCACTATGGATCGTTTTCAGTAAAAATGGTCTCCGGTTCCCTATACCCACCATACGAAACACACGCATTTTACACAAATCTTCTGCAAGATTTTGGTCCTTTCCCGGTCAAACCGACCAACTCGTGCTACAATCATTATATAGCTGCAGAGTGGCACTACCACGCGAGACGGGTAACCGCAGTGTTAATAGTTAAATTTTTTAATTGTTATAGGGACGATGCTACTGTATCTCCTGGTTTATTTCCCTCTGTCGCCCCTCTCTCACCCACGGGACGATATGGGTTAGTAGATATTTTTACACCGCCACTAAACAGTTGCTTTAATTAGTTTAGCACAAAGTACATACGGTCCAGCGTTGACAAATCCATTCGAGTAGAGCGTGATTTCACCGATCATTGCGTAGTCCGGCACCATCATCGCCACCGTCCTAAATAACACCTTAAGGTTGTCGGGCAGTTCCGTTCTACCGGCGTAACTGTAAACAAATATTTCATTTTTCAAAGCTAGTTAAATTATGCAATGTTCCCTACTGATATTATAAACACGACCGTGTGTTAGTTGGTTTGTTCTTCATTCACTTAACAGATAGAGATGAAAACTGTTTTGAAGTTAAAACTTCTTATAGTGCGTTCTTTCTAAGCAGTGAACGAAAATTGAACCACAACGCTTGGGTCTCACTGAAACACAATCGACATCAATCGCGCTCGACTCGGTAACGCACTGAATCGTGTATACTCCGCTCCAATCGTCATCAACCACGTTTACTGTCAGTTAAGGAGTGCATCGTTTCAATAATTACGTTTTTATTATCACGTAAGTTAACTTCTTTTCTATTGTGTGGTCTTATGTGCTTATGTACACACCCATTCTTTTGTATAGAGATTATCCTGAAGAAATGCACGGTTCCTATGGGATTGATATGGAGCATAATTGTGTAATTTACTCCTGGTGATGTTTTGGGAATAAGAATAACACATTGGCTGTCATGCTTTCAGAACTCCATGCGGTCATAGCCGCGTGTAAAAGCTAGCAGTTTAATACTAGATTCTAGTAGTTTAGTAGTTACGAAAGTAAGTAGTCGAACGTCAGTATCTGAATCGGCGTCACTTTAATTTCAGTCTTTTGGGCAGCAGTACGTGTGAAATGAACGTTTTGTTGAGGTGGTCATGAGTTAAGATGACCTCCCTGATGAAGCAAGGTACCGTTGTTGTAGAGGATGCAGTGTAAAAAGATATTAATTCAATTGTCTTTTTAAATCCAACCATAACAGAAGTTCACCCTCATCAAACAACCTTGTACTTCAACGTCACTCTCATAAACTTCATTCATATCTTTTTCTCTTTTCAATCTGACCTCTCTTTCTAGAAAGAGTGAGATCCAAAGATGAACGTTCCGCCCATTTCTAGATGATCTTTCGAGAACATTTAATTTGCCATTGCTGCCACGCTTGGCAGGTAGTTATTATAATTTTTGTAGGTACCTATGGTGCGTTGCACTCATAAGCTTTTTTTTTAAAGAAAGAGCAAAGAAGCAAGCCGTATCACCTGATGGTAAGTGACTACCGCTGCCCATAACAAGTGCTACACCAGGAGAATGGCAGGTACGTTTGACGGCCTTTTAAAAAAGTGTATACTCTTGTCTTGAAAGTCTCGTAATCATATATGTCCATAAAAATCACTGCCGGTAGCTGATTCCACCAAGAAATTGTGTGGGGAGAAAACTTCTGGTCAGTTGCAAAGTGGTAGACCACAAATCATCCAGATGGTATGGAAGGGATTTTAGGAATTATTATAGGAATTGTTGGAAAATGATTATAGGAATTTTGGTCGCAATGTGCGATGGTGAATAGAATAAACTATCTTACCCCGGATTCATCGTGATGAAAACTGAGCAAGTCGGGTTGAGAGAAATCTCTGTGCCCTCGAAGACGAAGCGCTTCTCCCGCCGCAGGATGGCCAGTTGTATGGAAAGGATTTGTTGAGCTACGACTGACAGCACTTCCAACTCGATGCGGTTGAACTCGTCGAAACAAGCCCAAGCACCAGACTGAGCTAATCCCTGCCGTATAACATAAACATAGCATGTATAAAAACCACCCCCTTTCTTCGCAAGGTCTTTAATATTTTTATAGAAACAGATACAAAAACAGAAACTTTTTTATTCAATATAGATTATAAATAATACATATTGAAAGTCACTCTTTTGTTTAACACTTTCGCTGTCCCTTGCACTACATATAGGGCACTGCTATTGTCTTACTATTGTGTTTGGAAACCGGACAGTGAAAGTGTTAAGTTATTTTGAGTTATTTTGCAATAACCAGCCAAATTTGCAGGGAAGGTTCAGAATAAGTAATATAGGCAAATGGTGGAGAAAAATTAATTTAAAAAATCCGAAACATTCTGTCCTTTTTATCTTTTAAATTAAAAATGCGTGGTAATGCATTATTTTAACTGATTTTACTGCGCACGCACACATTCGTAAATATACAGATAATGTCAAATAAAAGTAGAAGCCATATTTACTCGTATTTTCAAAAACTGCAATAACGGTATATCATTATTTATATATTTGAATTTAAGTTTAAAATTTGGCTACTCTTTGAAGAATAGGGAAGAATAGGGTGACAAACGAGCCCACAGTCCACCTGATGGTAAGTTGATGCTGTAGCCCAAAGACATTAATGCATTGTCAGCAAAAGGGGTCATCGAAAAAAAAGTCTATTGGTAATGTCATTGCCGTGGTAGTTCAGATGGTTAGCGCTCGCTGTAAGCTTCACAGTACTCAAGCAACCCGGGTTTGATCCCCGCCGGCACCAATGAAATTGTTAATTGCAATTTTAAGTGCTGATTTACCACGTGCTCGGCGGTGAAGGAAAACATCGTGAGGAAACCTGCATGTCTGAGAAATAAGAAAAAAAATATTTCGAAGACATGTGAAGTTCGGCAACACGCATTAGCGCAGCGCGGCGGACAATTCCTTGCCCCAAAACCCTCTCAGAAATGAGAGGAGGCCTGTGCCCTGGAGTGGGACGTAAATAGGCTGCAACTATGATAATGTCATTAAAGTCATATAGCTTCCAATAGATGGTATTCAGACAGTTCACAGGAAGCAGCGACGTGCAGGATGGACGTCAAACGTTGAAGAACGTCTGATACTGCGTACGTTAATCCACCTGCCTAGCGTGGCATTTATAGCATATTGTCTTTGCAACGGAATAGGCCCACGTCTAGTAGTGGAGATTTACGGGCTATTAAATAAGAAATTAATACTTAATAATGTTGGTCTACAAAGGGAAACCCTAAAAAGATTAATGAACTTCCCGACGTGATGTAGAAACGAATTTGACATAATATCCTAAATAAACAAGCTTGTTCTAGAAAAAGTAAAAGTATTTATGGTTAACTAAGACATTTGAAGAAATATTTTTGACGGCTCCGTGACGCAGTGGCTTAGCAATAAGTTGCAGCACCAAGGGCCGCGGGTTCGAGTCCCGCACGGAACAAGTATTTGTATGGCCTACAAATAATTGCTGCTCCCACGCTACAGGAGAAAATCCTAATGTGGAGGCAACGTTTTATAAAAAAAGAAGAAAAGAAGAACAATATTATGCTTCCAATGTGGGGATTCCTGAAGCTATCAGGTAACTCTTTCAGCTCTTGCCATATAAAGATAAAAGATCACTTTTTCAAGTCAAGACTTGCTGATAACCCTTGTTTCAAGAAATTAATGAAGTTTTGTGGTTTTTACAGCAAGTTGCAGACTGTAGATCGTATTCGCTCAGACAGGAAGACCATACTCTTTATTAAAAATTATCAGTATAAATAGCGACATAACTGATATAGCAATTTTGTACCACCTGCTGTTTACAAGAACCATCGATAGACATAATTATTTATAGTAACGAGGATTCCTATCTTAGTTCTAACGGATAAAAAATGCACCTTGAACTTGATTATTCGATTCTCAGTATTAGTGTGATAAAAATCCTGTTAATTATCACCTTAAAGAACTTCCCAAGCGCTTTGTAATCGAGACCGTCGGAGCAATTGAAGACGACGCATTTCTTGGCCACAGCCTTGGCCAGGTCCTTCGTGGTCTCTGTCTTTCCCGTGCCGGCTGGCCCCTCAGGCGCACCACCGAGATTAAGTTTCAAAGCGCTCATTAGTGTTCTGAAATTTATATTCGTTAGGTTGTTTATTGAATTTGTTTTTGAGGAATAATTCAATAATATATGCCTTTCCAAGAATTCACCAGGTGGCATGCAAGTACATAGAATGGACTAAATTAGGAGTTCGAATTTTCAAAATTTATATTTCTACAAGTCTTAAAGTTCTACAGGTCACAAGACTTAAAAAAACTGTATTTGATATAAAAATAAACGACACTATATTCAATATACATCAAATTAGCCTTGACGATTAAGAAGTGGGTCGTCTATCGCACAAAATAAGAGGAAAGAACTTGCTACTACTAATTGATTTTTTTTAAAATTCAACATATAAAACTATACAGTGTAAAAAACCGGCCCCTGCAATCATATCTTTGTAAGATATAATAATAAAATTTCAGAAAAAGTAAGAATTGAAGAAAGGCGTAATGATATTTTCTGAGACGATGTGATAAAATATTCCCTCATTCACCCCCGTGGGGAGGTCAATGTCTGTGCCGCCATTGCTCAGAATCTAACAAAACCAGGTACTCGAAGCCTTACTGCATACCCTGCGTCGGTACTGATCATGCAGCGCTTCAGCGACCTGTCTAGTAATTTGAAGCAACCTACACAACTTAGGGACTTTCAAAAAATTAGTTTATTTCCTTTTAGAATGCTGGCTGTTTTTAAATGCTGCAATTCCCCTGATATTACAGTTTTTCATAGACGGCAGTCGACACTTACCATTAGGTGAGCCGCATGCTCGTATGCCATTATGCATTTCTTCAAGTGAAAACTTCAGAAAAGGAGAATGAGATAATAAGACACTGTATTTTATCACATTCTCTCGGAGTCTAAAGCGTCTCCCACACAGAAGCGGCTTGCGGTGGCGGCTTGCGGTGGCGGCTTGCGGTGGCGGCTTGCGGTGGCGGCCAATTGTATTCGCTTGCAATGTAAGTGAGTCTGCAAACTCGTGCGGCCATGGCGCGGCCTACGAGCGGCTGGCCGCAGCCGCATGCTCCGCCCCTTTTACCAACGCGTGTATGTTAGCAAGTACGCGGTCACTCGGTGGCCGCAGCTCGGTCAGTTGCAATTTTTTACAACAGGCCGCGTGTACCGAAAAATGATACTAAATACGGAGATTTTGATAGAAACAGTGCAAAATTAACCAGTACTTTATGATAATTCGCATCTTGATCACAAAAGCATTAGGATTAAAAACAAAATATATGAAAATATTGCTGAATATAATAAGACTTCGTCATGGTTTGTCATGTTTACTGAGCTCCGAACGTAGCACAGACACCCAGCGAATGGCGCTTCAGGCCGCCACTCCGGCCGCGGTGGTGTGTTGTTGCAGCGGCTGGAGCCGCAGCTCGCGGTAAGCCGCCACCGCAAGCCACTTGTGTGTGGGAGACGCTTAAATCATCCTATAGATTTATAAGTTTGTCTCTTTTTAGTTTAACAATTCCAAAGAAGTCTTCACTACAAAAACCTGTAACAGCGGTCGGTGAGTGGAGTGGCGACGAGACGGCCGGTGTTACCGAGGTACTCGAAACCGTACTGCACTTCTGTGCTGATCATGCAGCACTGAAGTCGCTCTCCGCGCCAGTAGTACCGCAGCTGCGATATCCAGTTGAAGTCCGTCACGTCTGCCACCTTCTTCTGCACCATCTCTTCAAGGATTGATCGTCCTGAAAAGTTTTCAGATCCTAATAAATAAATGCTTCGCGTCGTTGTAATCTGGTCTTCGGACCCGATCGGGTTCAGTATTGTTATAGGCTCTAAAGCAGTCCACCTTGGGGTTTAGCGTATCTGCACTTAAATTCTTAATCAATAATAAATGTAGGTTTCTATATATATTCTACAATCATGGAAGCGGTTGACGTGGAAGAGTTATTCATATGTATGTCGTAGTACCTTTGCAAATTGAAGAGTTTGATGATTTTATCATGAGTCCCATAATCAGATCTTGATTATTTATATCGGACCATACATGAGGTGCCTCCTTTTTAAAATAAAGGAATCTTAAGAATGAGGGCTTATAATCTTCCGCTCACCAGATGTCGCTAGTTGGGACTGAGGTGAAATTAATTGTAAAAAAGTATGATGTTATGTGGCAGAGACAAAAACTCTTTTAAAAAGAAATTTATTTGATACTTTTAAACTTACTTAAAATATAGTAGCTGATACAGAGAACTTGGGAACGGAATTATATTTAGTGATCGAAAGATTTGGTTTAAATAGTGTAGGAAGCTAGGAGGTAGGTGTAAACATAAGGAAACAACATTTTTCTTGGTGTTATGGTTAACTTATAGTAAACTATATACATTAGCATATAATATTACAATCGAATTAGTGTGTCTACTAAGAAAGTAAACAATATGATGTATACATAAAGTAAATAGTATCCTATGATATAACATTAGTTTGGCTTCTAAGAAAGTAATTTAGTAAATAAACAATATAAAGTAAACAGGACTTATAATATAAAGAAAAATTGTATCTATGACATAACAATGATCATTAATCAGTAAAAATTGCGTTTCAATTAAAAATCTTTCGGTTTCTTGTGTATGTATCTATGCATGTTCAGAAAACAATGTCTTACTAGTATGCTCTTTAACAAGTCTCGTTGTGATTTATTTATCAGTCCGTAAAAGTTCACTCCTAGACACACGCATGTTGTTGGTTGAAACGAGCATGGTCTTGGCTTGGTTTTAACATCACTTGAAAAATATTTATTTAGTTTGAGGCTCATCTTTGGAACTAACGAGAAAGAAAATTATTACCCAAATAATTCATCAAATAAAAAATTCTATTTGTAGCCAAACGGGTCGCTTACGTTTCCCCGTACTCAGAAAACCTATCTACTGCCGTGTAAGTGTGATATAGCGTTATAAATGTTTCGTTTTTGGTCATTTGAATTATAATCGATTAAAAAGGATTGTAGGAATATCCTATTTATTGTTGCCCTAGAAATAGTGCGTTTCTAAGTAACTACCAATTTTAAACATTAACGTTTGCCTTTCTGACCTTAGTTAACTTACCGTTACAGTCCGCTGCTGAAAATAGGCCTTCCCATTGGGATTTTTTATCAATTGACATAGTTGCCACGCTTGGCAAGCGGGTTGGCAACCATAGTTTTGTATTTTAGTCGTTTTTAAAAAGACGCTGCTGCCCATCTCCTGATTTGTTTCCCTCTGTCGCCTCTTACGACACATACGGGTAGATATTTACACCGCCTATACACGGTAAAGTCATCTTATTATATGAAAACTTCCTCTTCTTTCTATTCATCAGCTCGTAAAGGTCAACTGCTGGATATGAGCCTCCCACATTGTGATAGTACTAGACATCTTCTATTTATTGCGTTTTTTCGCATCTCGTTTTACCGTCTATCGGAAGCCTATATAAAAATCAAATATTGTGATACCGTGTACGTCAAGCACAATGAGCGCTTCAACAGTGATGCGATTCCCTGGGTCCAGGTCTCCCTGCACCAGGTACACGAGTCCGTTGATTTGCTCCGTGCAGCGCTCTACCAGCTGCGGCAAACTTGATGACTGTATGGCTTCCGTCGCCTAAAAGCGAAATTACATTTGTAGTGATCCTATTGCAGTTTTACATTTTTAGGTTTTAGGGATATTTTCCAACAAGATATTATTAATAGTAGGCTGGGAATACATGGTCTATTGTTCTACCATCGATTATGTATCAGGTACGGAGGGTAAAGTGAGTGGCGCCTCGTCATACCCACCCTTCTTTCTTGCAGCTCCTGTCCCTAACTGTGGAAGAGGAGACACCCCTGACTACCCTTCCCCGTAGTTCACCAACTAAGGTTTCGCTACCTGGCGCCAGTCTTTTCTTCTCGGGCCAATTATATGGACTTTTCTAAGCTACCGTGGGCGACTAAGTCATGGCATCCGGCTCGACGGATCAAATGTAGAGTCCACAAGCGCCAGCCGCCCAATGACGGCCCACCCTAGAGAGAAGACTACTCCTATCACATCTCCTTCTCAGGTTTGGCGCACTAGAACAAATAGCGTGCCTTCCTCTGCGGGCTCCAACTTCACCTGCACAAAAACGAGCACTCAAAAGCACTAGCCTTCCTAACCCAAGCAGAGGATTTTGTCTATGGGTCCGCCGCCAACCACGATTCGGCTGCAGAGAATAGGAAGAGCGGTGTTCCTCTCCCCCGCGGCGCCACCATCACTGCATTAACGGTGTGGCCCCAGTCTCAGAGTCGCGGTGTATAGAGCAAGTCATCGCCGTACCAACATTCACCGTCATCCAATAACATACATCCGAAGTTTGGTTGATAAGCCCACATGGATAAGCCACCTTGAGCCGACCTTTCACCACAGTGTTCTGGTTCCTCTTAGTTCATCATGGGTAACTAAGCCACGGCTACTAATCCCCCCGACACGATAAGGCGTACCCATTTGGGGGGGGGAGGGACAGCTTTAACCTAACCTTCTAACTTTTTAACACAATAAGTGGCAGGAAGGAAGTGGGTACAGAGGTAGAATTTTTTATTGCCAATCTCTGCAGACCCATGAAACCTTAGTAAGGTCAAAGTCTAATATAACATATATTATTTGAACTGAGATAAAGTGTCTTAGCCACGGTTAAAAAATGCTGGCCGAAACATCGAAGTCTGAATCCAAAGAAAGTTTATTCAAGACCCCTGTGTACTCTGCTCCGGTTCAACGTTTTATGTAATTGAGTCACGCTGTAGCTGCAGCACGAATGTGGGATGTTTCACCCGATGAAGAACCACGTTCACACAGAATACCAGCGTGGCGTGTGGGTGCGGGGTACCTCGCAGGTATAATGCAGGCAGGCGCCGGACTGCACCAGCTGGCCGGGCCAGGCGAGCACCCAGCGCTCGCGCACGGCGCCGCAGTACGCGGCCAGCGACTCCGCCGCCAGGTCGCGCAGGCTCACCGCCATCTGCTGCTCCAGCTGCTGCAGCCACCGCTCCACCATGCCCTGCACACGCCTTATTACTTCGCCACACGGATTACAATACAACGTATTAATCTCATCATCATTGAGTCTTGTGGATACCACTGTTTTTCTTGGTATTACTATTGACGCGAAACTTCAATGGGGCCCCCGTATATCTAAATTAACAAGCAGACTTAGTTCTGCAGCATATGCTGTAAGAAAGATTAGAAGTCTCACAGATGTTGAGACAGCTAGATTAGTGTATTTTAGTTACTTTCATAGCGTAATGTCTTATGGAATTTTGCTATGGGGTAATGCGACTGATATTGAAGCTATATTTGTTTTGCAAAAGAGAGCCGTTCGGGCGATTTATAACCTAAATTGTAAAGAGTCCCTCAGAGAAAAATTTAAAGAAATAAACATATTAACTTTGGCGTCGCAATATATTTATGAGAATGTAATGTATGTGCATAAAAACATAAATAGCTTTAATAAGAATAAGGATGTGCATACTTTAAATACTAGGAACAAACATAAGCTTGTAATACCAGCTACTAACCTCCACAGAATCAGTAATTCATTTATGGGGCAATGTATACGCTTTTACAACAGAATCCCAGAACATATTCAAAGTTTGTCAATAAACAAGTTATAAGTTTTATTAAAGAAAAACTGTACAAAAAGGGTTATTATAATATCAAGGAATACATGAATGAAAATAACCCCTGGGAATAGGGTGATCGCCACCATGCTGGTTCTATGAATAATCATTTAAAAATTGTATAAACAAAATAATTGTTACGTGAAATTATGTTTAAAAAAAATGTCCCGCTGGGTTTCTTGCTGGTCCTTTCCAGGACAGAGGTATTTTCCGAACCAGTGGTAAATAAAAAATGACTTTCAGTAAGTATTATGTAATAATCAATATTGAATAAAAAATTATTCTATTCTATTCTATTCTATTCTACCATTACGAGGCCGCAATGACGATGATCATTGACGATATCACAAGCAATGCCACAAAATACAGTCCCGAGCCCCTGAACTTCCATCCAGTGGGGGCTGAAATTGCCACTTGAAGAGAACCTTTCTTCTTCATCGGTAATCGGTTCTTGGCACTTCAGCTTGCTGATCCATTGGACTACGTCGGTTACTCTGTTTCTACTGGGGATATCCTTATTTCAAAGTCTATCACTCAGAAAATCTCCAATTATAGCCTTCTCCATAACTCCTTGAGCGAACGTCGGTTTCCTCCAACGACCAGCTGTGTAAAATAATTGGTCATAAATTGGTTGGAGTACAAAAAGCGCGTCGTGTACAAGGATTAAAAAAAATAATCATCAAAATCGGTTCACCTGTAAAGAAGTTATGAGGCAACACACATAACGAAAGAAAATGAAAAAATACAGTCGAATTGAGTACCTCCGCCTTTTTGAAGATGGTTAAAGAAAATATTTTTTTTTCCTAGTAAATTTTCGATGCAAACTTAACAAATTGTACTAATTTTTCCTACAAGCGTATCGTATCATTTATCATCTTGCCATGCCCTATAAATTAACCAGTACAGTAGGCCGTTCCTGTATTGACAGGATGCCTACTGCTAGGCACCAGTTCCTCTCATTTTAGACAGTTTTTCCGCAGGAACAGAGGCCGCGCTACCCCACTACTTGTTGGAATTAGTGGTGCTGGGATTAGTGGTGACGGTTATAGTGCATGCAATTGAGGGAGGGCAGGAGGTGCTCTTCAAACTAGGTAAGACACATCATTTTATTTTATCGAGCGGATGTACGCGAATTAATTTATTACCAACTTTAATATAATGGACTTCCGCAAAATAACGCCTGATTCTATTAATTATCATTGAACTCGACTAATAAAATATATCTTAAAATTTATGTATGCAATGTAACCTTTGCATCAGCAGGCTGTATACTAGAGGACAACTTGACCACTTCGCCCTCTGCAGACACCATGCCGACGATCTCGTTCGCGGCGTTAAACTCCAGAGTGTAAATGCCTTCGAAACACTTCTTAAGGTGAGGTTGAACTCTCATTGGATCCTTCGTCTCGGAGAGTATCTCTAGGAGCTCATCATTGGACAAAAAGAAGAATCTAAAATGAACATAGTAAAGAAATTAAAATAGTGCACACTCCCAACACCACATCGTGTGAGTGTCTTAAAAGTCAGCAAGAGAAAATGTAAGTTAGATTATGGCCTCCGACGCATAGCGGTGTAAGCATATCAAAAGAAACAGTATCAAAGATACTCAATCCCCTGTCAAATGATCACTACCATGTTAACTACCCGCCCGTGCCCGCGCAAATCTCAGCTGTGGTACACTTTTGTTCTGAATTGCCGAATATATAATCTCTGAGTATCAAATGTGAGTATCTTTGACGGTGCTGCCTGTCGCCAGTCTGGGTTACCGACCGACGTAAACGAGATGGTTTTGTACCGACACTTTGTGGCTTAATTTTAAGGCTAAAATCGATCAAGAGAACATTATCACCATATCAACCATATTTACTTATGGATATGACCTAGTTCAGAAATCGACACTAATATGTCTCACCTGGGGAAGAACAATCTCTTTTTCTCCAAGTAATCGTTCAGTCCTCTCTGTATATCATCCAAAAGCGTATTGTTGTATTTCAATTTCTTCAACAGTGATGGAAAATCGGTAGCCTTGAGGACCAAGGGTTCTTTCTGCGTGGCGGACATTATGGTGCGCCATTCTTTGTCCACGTCGCGGAAGTTCCGTGCTTCAGTCGGCATTTGCCGCATGATGTCTTCAGACGAGAAGATCGGCTCTAAGTACATCCAGGTTGCTTGACACTGGATAAAAAGAAAACAACATCAATAGAATATATCTTATGTTCTTTGCATCTTCTTCTTCATCAGCCCATAAATATGGAATATTGCCGTCACATATGAGCTAGTTTTGCAAAATGTCATCAAAAATGAAAAGTACGCCCAGAATCTACATGAGTAAATTTCTTCCTTAACCTCTACCATCGGGTAACCAGAGGCTTGGCCAGTCTCTAGCGTTTTGTTGTTGACATACCATGAAACCGAACCAAACAATTTTGTTTGGTTGTAATGCTTACAGCAGCAGCAGCGTCTGTGTTTTTATTCGGTTACAATCTTGGTGTCTTCAAGCCTAGCGTCCAAGTGTTGTACTTTACTAATTTCGGCTACATCACCACTTATCATCTGGTCTGATAGTAGTCAAACTTACTAATTATAGTTAAAAAAACGGTCCACCGCTTGACATGAGCCTCTCCCATGGTAAGGAGGATGTATATCATCATTATATATAAACGTTCCGCATTTTTAATTTTATGACGCTGCTTATAAATGGTTATATTATCACCTGAGGCCTTAAGATCGACTTTTACGACACCTATAAGACGCAATGACTCTTCTCCCATGCTATCACGTCGTAACCACGCGGAAATTTACTAAAACCATTTACATGGACTAAAAAAAGGTGGCCGTCATCGGACGCCCGGGAGACGTAAAACATCATAGTTGCTATTAGAATTTATAATTAACGAAACCAATAAACAAATATCGAGTTAAGTAAATAAATAATATTAAAAAGAAATACAAAGTGTGTAAAAAAAAGTGTGAAAGGCACACGCAATACGCAACTCACACATAGAAGCAACGAAGTGTATAGTATACGCGCACGCCCGAGAGTCGAGAGCGTGAGGTAGAGGGGGCATGACGGCATAAGAAAGCGTCATGCCGTTTGTCGTCTCGGCATACGAGTTCGTTTTAATGCCAAGGCGCGTTAATAGACGTTTCACACTAAAAATATAGTAGGACCATTGTTTGAAGTTCCGTCTAGAAAGCCATACCTGTAACCACTGGTCCAAGATATCCTGCATACTGATCAGTTTCTCCTCCCAAGCCACCATGTCGGCTTCAAATGCTTTCACGTAAGGCGAGCCACGCATCGTCTGCGATTTCAGTATATGATCGTCGAGCAACTGTTGGATGTCATCTAGGCCGGTCAAAACACCGACACCAGTGTCCCTGAAAAATACGACATTGAAATTTAGGTAGCAAAACTACTTAACACAACCATGGAAAGGAAAATGGAAGAATGAAAGAGACATTAAGATTTATTTTAGTTAAGAGCTAAGAATGAATGATTCGAACTCGTTCACGACGCGTAATTTTTCTTTCATTTGTTCCTTGTTACTACAACATTTAATATTTTTATACGTCAGTCTGTAACACGTATACACGAGCATGGGAATCAGTTTAACTAGAAAGAAGATGGCGATACTCAAAGAGTAGTAAATAAAGCTGCAGTTTCAGCAGATGTAAAAGCGTACGGGCAACTGAACAGACAGATATCCAAATGCACGCGGCGAGTCTTATGTATCTTCAATACAGCTGGTATTGTAGATGCGGTTGAGCGCAATCAAGCCTATAGTCTTACTCTGAGATCTGTCTGCCGGAAAGAGCTAACTGTCTAAGTGGCACTGACTGTGGCAGCATCCGAAACAATAGTAAAAAACAATTGTGTTAATCGCTCACATATCAATTTAAGCAGACAAGCACTCAGACAGACAGTTAATTCCGGAAATTGTAAATAATTAACTGCGCAGGCAGTTAGAAATGAAATATTGAAAGTACATGTTTTATACGTGGTAGAGCCATGCTGCAGCCATATTAGTAGTATAGTTGTAGCACGAATGGGTCGGCTCGACCGGGGAAGGACCACGCTCTCACAGAATACCAGCATAAAATGGCAGCTTGACACTGCTGTGTGCTGTGTTTCGTATGGTGAGTGTAGAGGACCTGGAGACCCATTTTACTTGAAAAGAGGCATTCCATGTCCTCACGTGTGACGACGCATCTGCATTTTGATTGAGGATAAATGTAGATGTCTATGGATCACAGCAATCACTTACCATCATGGACTGTGTGCTCGTTTTGCCCTATCCCATAAAAAAATATTAACACCGAGGTAAAATTTTCGTCCTATAGAAGCTATTATAAGCTGGGATGCCCAGGATAGTAAACCAATATAGGATGTTGGACCAATCAGTTTCCAAGAACTTACTCAGGTTCTTATAGTATAAATAAACTTGTTCCAAAATTATTAAAAATCATACCTATAAGGCATAACTTCGAACTTGACTCCAACCCATTCTTCTTTCATCTTTATTAGCGATTGTTCCAATGCATATTCCTTGGCGGCGTACTGCTCGATTTCTTCCAGTTGTGACGCGAACACGTGGACACCTTGTTCCACCATGTCAGCGAGGGTTGTCTCCGGTCCGTGGACAACTTCAGCACCGACCAAGCTGCTTATTTGAGCCCAGTGGCGATCACGCATGCCCTGTAGATATGTAACTATATAATAATAATTATATAATTTATTTAGTTACAAATCTATACAAATAAATAAAATTGAAGTGGCTGTTCGTAATGTCAAAATACCAGCTTTTTACTAAATGCATATGAAAGTATATACGGTACTTATAACAAAAACACAATTTTTAAAATTTTTGTTTGTCTGTCCGTCTGTCTGTCTGTCTGTCTGTCTGTCTGTTTGTTCCGGCTAATCTCCGAAACTGCTGGACCGATTTCGACGGGACTTTCACTGGCAGATATCTGATGTTATAAAGAGTAACTTAGGCTACTTATATTTTAGAAAAAGAATTAGGGTTCCGCGCAACATAATTACAACCCTAAATTACACGCGGGCGAAGTCGCGGGGAACAGCTAGTATAAATATAAGTTGACATAAACTAACTAATTTAATAACTAAAATGGCGTCTACTCAGCACAAATGTTATAGAAACCTGATAGCGGTAACTATAAAACTGATTTTCAGTACGCGTCAGATAATCTATAACATAAAAGTCCTTCGTTCTATCTCGCCCCGTGGCGTTCCGTTTAGGCAAAAGACAAATTGATTATTTTATTCTCTAAGTCCAAGCGGTGACCGCCGAAAAAGGTTGGTCAAGTTTTTGCATAGTTGATATATAAAACGTAAGTGTAATTATTTTTTAATTTGCTAAAGTTTGGACAGTAAAAAATGTACATCGAGTCTATCCTTATTCTTGACACAACTGTTTGCCAAACTACGATACACGCCTAGCGCCATTGTGTCACAAAACCAGAAGCATTGAGCTACTACTTCGGGTTTTGTAATCAGATTTATTGATTTGTCATAAGACTCAAATTATATGCAACAAATTTCAAAGCGAGTTAGACGCGGGTGTTGCCGCGCGTGGCGTGCGCGTAGCGGGTGCGTGTCGTGGGAACGCGCCCTAGACTGGCATAAAAATTATTAGTTTACATATAGTAAGCACAATCACCAATCAAAAGGTATCTACTAATAAATGAACTATTATGATATGACTTGACTTACCTTGTTACATATAGCGCACAGCACCGGGAGCAGAACCTTGAACTTCTCGACCTTGTTCCGCACCATGTCGGCGATGCGCTTGGCGCCCGGGAACTCGAATAGCTGACGTCCGAGCTTGTACAGCAGTTTCCACCACGCTTCCACATCAGATGATATCTGCTCAGCGTCTAGCCCGTGGAACGGACCGTGGTACCTAACAATTTTACATCGTTCATCAAAGAGCCCAACACAAGTATACTGTTGAACATAGGCCTTACCCACAGATCACCAAAAAGTACGGTTCTGAGCCACCTGCATCGATTCACTCAGTCGTCATCGAGGGGACCACTATACGTTTAAATTCATGCCATTTTATATTTTCATCCGTGAGTATCATAAGAGGCGACAGAGAGAAAAATGAAACAGGAGATGGGCAGCAGCAACAAACTGCAGTTGACAACCCGCTCGCCGAGCGTGTGTAACCCCCTATAAGGCATTCTATGGGGCGGGACGCCTATGTCCAGCAGTTGATTTTTATAGGCTGTTATGTATGTATGGATATCAAAACGTAAGAAATATTCACTCACCATTTCTCATAGCCATCGTAGAAATCGTAAGCAGTGTGCCAGAGCTTGTGGAACGGATCAATGCCGGCCAACATGGTCTGCAAGCTGTAGTACGCTGACACCTCTTGCTCCAAGAGTTGCTCCTCGTTGATAATGTCGTCGGCCTCCCGCTTATCCTCCTGTGAACGAAATATCGTTATATTACCATCATTTCACAAGCTACGCCAGCCATGTTCAAGACTCGTAACCTTTTTTTAAATTAAAACATTGGTACTGTCGTACTAGAGATTTTTTCTTCTTTTTTAGCCAGCGCCACTAGCGGGAGGACAGAGAAGTAACTAGTGAGAGAATTTTGTAATTGTTTAACTATTGCGTAAACTACTTTTTATTCCATATTTTTAAATTAAAAATTTTCTACAACAGACTTAGAACACTAGAATATAAATTATTAAAGATAACTCAAAAACTATAGGTCAGACCTTGATCGAGACCACATGAGAAGCACCAGCTTTGAAATAAAAAAAAAAGAATCATCGAAATCGGTTCACCTAGAAAATAGTTACGAGGTAACATACATAAAAAAACATAAAGTCGAATTGAGTACCTCCTCCTTTTTGAAGTCGGTAGAAAATAGTAAAACACTCTGCCTTAGTAAAACACCTTACAACTGTCTACAAAGTTACCTGTTGCAAGATTAAAAGCTGTATAGTTCACAACTTTTTTTCATTTATTCATTACAGCCCTTCACAAGTCCACAGATGAACATAGGCCTCCCCCAATGCCTCAAAGCACGGTTCTGAGCCATCTGCATCCATATTTTTTATATAAATTTAATTGAAGCAGATTTTTTAAATTCCGATGGGATTTGAAGCCTAGAACGACGGTTTGTTATTTCATTGTCGTGATAGAATATCTCTCCATATATTTAACTAATAAATGTGTACTACATGTTTTTAGTAACTATATTATTGATTACTAAGGTATCATATATCCACTTTCCGTGTTAATTACCTGAAGTATTTATAATTCGAACATTAAATGCTTAATTTAGCAAAGTGTCCGAGCATTTCCTTACCATCAAGTTAGTGAAAATTTCGTCCACCTTCACCACAACTTCTTTCAAAAGGTCAAGATTCAATAATGGCGGATCAAATCTTCTAAACAGCTCCAGCTCTTTTTCGTGTCGCTTTAGCTTCTCCTCAAATATAGCCTTCTTGCTTTTCAGTTTGTCTTCTGCCATGGTCTTCTTGGTGTTCAATGTTTTTAGTGTTAAATCGATTGTCTCCTCCATGTCGAGTGGCCAAAGGAACACGCGTGTATTGAGATTTATATCTTCAACTGAATAAAGTAAAACAATAAAAAATTAAAAAGCCGTGTAGTGGCGGTGTAAAAATATCCACTAACCCAACACTACTACCCCATATCGTCCTGTAGGTGTCGTAAAAAAACTCACTCTGAAATTCTTTGCGAAGGTGAGAAACAACTTGTAACGTCAAAGGGAGCGCTAAAAGCGTTTTAACGTCGGAAATCCTCGCTTTTACTTTTTTCGCCTTATCGTTTTATTTTGCGGCGTTCATTAATTTATCTATTCACTCATTCATTCATTCATTCGTTCATTGATTCATTGAGTCATTTAAGTAGATACAAAAAGCGTGTCTCACAGGTGAGGTGCACGTCCTACATGAGGAACAGCGCGCGTGTGCTCGCGCTGCTGATCAAATATGCATTCAGGGGAGAAAAAAGCGCTAAAAATTTATTAACGTCGAAAATCCTCGCCTTAACTTAATACAAATTTTTATAGAATAAATGAAAAACAAGCGTGCAGTGCACCTAATAGTAAGTGGATACTGTGGCCTTCAGACATCTACATTTATTCTTAACTAAGAATCAAAATGCAGATGCGTTGTCACCCTTGAGGACTGAGATGGAATACACTCGCCATACGAAACATAGCAACATTAAGCTGTTATCTGTTAATGTTTTCTAATTCCTCTTATTTTTCCGGTGTATAATAAAATATATGTATTCATTCATTCATTTATTCATTCAATCTTCCATTGATACATTTATTGAAGAGTATACAAAGAGCTCACATGAGAGGTGGGCGTGCTGCATGAGGAAGAGCACGTGTTGCGCGGCGGTGCGCGTGCGGTCGCGCAGCTCGAAGAGCGCGCAGTCGCGGCACTCGAGCACGTAGGCCAGCAGCGCCACCAGCTGCGCCGTCCTCTCCGGGCTCTCCGACGCGCGCGCGCCCATCTCCTCGTACACGTCGCAGATGCTGCGCGACACAAACACTTCATGTGTACTTTTTTTTTATTTGTAGGATAAGGGTGACAAACGAGCACACAGACCACCTGATGGTAAGTGGTTGCTGTGGCCCATAGACATCTACATCTATCTTCGATTAAGAATCAAAATGCAGATGCGTTGTCACCCGTGAGGACTAAGATGGAATGCCTCGTTTCCAGTAAAAAGGGTCTCCGGTTCTCTACACTCACCATACGAAACACAGCAGCGTTAAGCTGCTATTTTACGCTGGTATTCTGTGAGAGCGTGGTCCTTCCCCGGTCGAGTCGACCCATTCGTGCTACAACTATAATATAGCTGCAGCATGGCTCTACCACGTATAAAATACTACACTACTACACCGCCTGTTCTGAACTGAAACTGTCACAGCTGTCGATCGCGAACGCACTGCGGTAAATATGCCACGTACTTGTGTTTTCATTTGCGACAGTTACTGTTTTTTGACAAATCTATACAAATCTATATCTATTCTATACAAACGAATAAAATTGAAGTGTCTCTTTGTAATAACAAAATAGCAGCTTTTTACCAAATGCATCATAAAGTATATACGGTATTTACAACAAAAACACAATTTTTTAATTGTTTGCCTGTCTATCTGTCTGTTTATTCCGGCTAATCTCTGGAATTTCACTGGCAGATAGCTGATGTCATAAGGAGTAACTTAGGCTATTTATGTTTTTGAAAAAGAATAAGGGCTCCACGCAAAAAATTAAAACTCATGAAATCCAATCGTAATAAATTACACGCAGCCGAAGCTGCGGGGTACAGCTAGTAAGAAATAAAGTAATATATACTTACCTAGCAGGTCGTTAAAGTGACTAAACTAAATTATTTTGATTGAGGTTGTGTAGAAGAAGGCAGAAAAATGGTTCACTGGTTCTCATCACCCATTATGGGAAACGAAGCAGCAACACAGCAGCTTTTGTGAGGGTGCTCGTTCCCCTTTTGAGCTGACTTAACCAACTCAATCGTGTAGCTGTGATTAAACTAATGTAAAAATTGTTACTGTCGACCTTCTTACATAGATTATCGCACATATCCAATCACAGTAATCCAAATAAGTATATTATTCAGCGATTTCTTACGCTCTGTTCCATTTCCTGTTCTCAGTGACGAAGTGGTCGACGATGTACTGGCGAAGGCCGTTGACAATGTCCCACATGGCGTCGTTGATGGGCCCACAGTCCAACATGATCATATTCAGCGGAATATCACGACGGAGGAACAAGACCTCATCTCGTAATTTCTCGTACATATATATGCGAGCCGAGAAGTCCTGTAAAAAAGCTTAATGGTTTTTTTTTTATAGGATACGGGTGACAAACGAGCACACAGTCCACCTAATGGTAAGTGGTTGCTGTGGCCCATAGACATCTACATTTATCCTCGATTACGAATCAAAATGCAGATGCGTTGTCACCCGTGAGGACTAAGATGGAATGCCTCTTTGCCAGTAAAAAGGGTCTCCGGTTCTCTACACTCACCATACGAAACACAGCAGTATTAAGCTGCTATTTTACTGTTAAAACAGTAATTTAAAAACTCGACTGTGTTAAAAGGCTTACAGAAAAAAAAACCTTCTCCTCCCTTTCTTGTGTTTGCAGATGCAATATATAAATATTATAATAGCCTGTTACTATATGTTATACAAATAGCCTGTTACTTCCACAATTAAGATGAATCTAACGATATAAATAGAGATAGTCTAAAGATATATGTATGCGATATGTATATTGAAATCCATCTAGCCCTTTAGACTACAGAGCGTGCGAAAGAAATAGATATACATACATACATACTCTCAAAAACATTAACTTCCTTTTGGTACAGCTAGGTAAAAAAATTAAGTACCAGATTATATACGCCTCTGCTGACGCTGATATCGCGTAAATGGACTGAACAACAAAGTGAACCTAAATCACGCTTTGAAAGTTTCCAAATAATTTTCTGCATATATAGCGAACAAGCTTGGTACCATCGGACGAGGTGATGGTCGCTCTCAAGGCTGAACATCTTCCCCGGTTACAACGCACAGACCTCTTATAACTGAAAAAGTTTTGGAGCGGTAAAGGCTCCAAATCAGCAAACAGAATTGACCATATAGTTCGAATAACCGATGGGAAATAAAGAGCAGAGTCGGACAGTGACGTCTCGGTAAGACGAGCAGGATGTCGATGAAAGCAAGTGGCATAATTATGTATGCAAGTGGCTTAAACCAGTTGCTTATTTAGAAGAGGCCTATGTTTAGCAGTGGACTTGTGATGGGTTGCAACGATGATGTTGATATGTTCGCATATCAATACCAACAGCGCTGTAGGTTATCTTGCAGCATTACGCGGAGTTTTAACTATTTCTTTCGCTTGATACACAACCCCTCACTTGTAGTATTACAGCGCCCTATGTGTAATTTTTTTATTCATCGCTATGATGATACCAGAGAATAAATATGCCTCTTTCTTTCTAGCCTTCAAAATGACAACTGATCTTGCCTTAAGATATGGTGGTGGCTCTTGCGCAAAGAACTGCAGAAGCTCCTGATGCGCGGTGCCATCCAGGATGTGGTAGTATTCTTGATAGCGCTTGATGAAGCTCAGAGGGCCAGGGCGGTTCACGTTGAAATGCTTCACCGTCTTATTTATAATGTCCATCATGTACTCCTCGTCGGGATAAACAGCTAGCAAATAGGGATTCGGACGCGCGACGCCTGAGGAATGAAAATTAGTTTCAATCAATCTATCAATCAATCAATTCTTCATTTGCGGATACAGGTGTCAACAAACATGCTTTATAATGTTATATATTAAGTTCTTCTGTATTTAGCCTTAACCGCTCGTCTGTCCAAACGCCATATTCTGGCGTGTCAAATAATATCCGCATCTGTCAAACTCCATAATCTGGCATCGTTTTACCGCGAAGCTTTAGAGATCAATGTATATCGGTTCTACTAATCCTATCTCTCTCTAACTTTACTGTAATCAAGAGAATAGCACAAGGATGTAATAAAAGTCCAGTCTACAGGTCACAATACGGGATTGAATTGTAAACATCCCAATTTTTTGTCCCGATTTCGTGTAGAGCTAAGTGAGGCCCATTGTTCTCGCCCTTGTCGTGAACGAAAAATGTATGAAGAAGTTTCTTTGTTTTAATTATTCATTATTAAATATGCTTTTACGTACAAGTAAAACATATAGTACTTGGGATAAAGGCTTTTATTTATAATTATTACACCTTTAATGCGGAAAATTAGGGAAAAACACTTTTCTTACTTTCACTTTCAAATTAGTATCACTTTCCAAGTAAACCTATATTTAAATTATACATAATCTGATAGCGTATTTAATAAAGTTTCCATTGATATATGATTTTAATATACCTTTCATACAAAATATCTTGGAAATAGTCATTTTAATGAACAGCAGGAAGTAGTCTGGAAGAGGCAAAATGTAAGAATATGAAAAAAAAAACATATATTATGCGCTGTCCGCCGAAAATATGTAACAGATGGCCAAATACTCAAATCCAACTCAATTAAAGATGTCGTTAAGTCTTGTGGTGTCAGTGTCACAGTCACTTTGATTTAAAGTGATAGAGACAGCACGATACTTAACGGCTTCTTAAAATTGAGTTGCGTTTGAGTATTTGGCCATTAATGTTGTAATATTGTTGCGAACTGATTGATAATATAGAATTATATATATATATATATATATATATATATATATATATATATATATATATATACTTGTGCTCATTACTCCGCCTGAGTAAAATGAGATGAGGTCGCGCCGCCGGCGGTAGAGCGTGAGCGGACATTCGCATATGTGTTGTGCTTTAGAAACATTTATGTGTAGATTCACGCCGCCTTTTAAGTAGATAATGATGTTATTAATAGATGATAAAATAGAAATCCATAATTTTTTTAAATACAACATATTGTTTACTTACCTGGATACATAATAGTATCCACGCTGGGCAATTGGATATTAACGTTGATGATGGTGTGGAACCATTTCACAATCAACACCCTCATCTGTTCGAGGCTCGGCTCGAACGTTATGTTAGTGGAGCCTGGATGTCCGATCACCTTAATACGAAGTAAAGGCGTCTTGATAAACGTGTAGTCCTGATATTCTTCCCCGTAGTCGTTGCCTTCCTAATAAACAGATATTTTGGGCTATACACATAACAGTTCATTTAGATTTTAATAACATATGTCTCAAGTATAATGTCCTCCAGACCGAATTAGGTCACGGCGGCCAGTCTCAACGGAGACTAAGCATCGGCGCAGGACAGGATTTTTTTTTATAGGAGAGGGGGCAAACGAGCATGCGGCTCACCTGATGGTAAGTGACTACCGCCGCCCATGAACAACCGCAACACCAGGGGAATTACAGATGCGTTGCCGGCCTTTTAAAAAGGAGTAGGCTCTTTTCTTGAAGGTCCCTAAGTCGTATCGGTCCGGAAAAATCGCTGGTGGTAAACTATTCCACAAAGAAGTTGTACGAGGAAGGAAACATCTTCTAAATCGCACAGTGGTGGACCGCCAATCATCCAGATGGTGTGGATGGTATCGGGAGTTCTGCCGCGATGTGCGTTCGTGAAATTTGGCGGCTGGGATTAATCCGAACAATTCCTCAGAGCACTCCCCATGGTAAATGCGACAGAAAATGCAAAGAGATGCAACATCTCTTCGCAGTCGAGCCGATCGGAAAGGACTCGGTTGTCGACGATTCGAGCCGCTCTGCGCTGGATGCGGTCAAGTGGAAGGAGCTGGCACTGGGGAGCCCCAGCCCAGAGATGGGAACAGTATTCCATGTGAGACCGAACCTGCGCCTTGTAAAGTTGCAGGCGTTGAGCTGGCATGAAATACTGTCCCGCTCTGCTGAGCACGCCAAGCTTTTTAGAGGCCAATTTGGCCTTCTCTTCCAAGTGTATGATTATAGTGTATTAAGCTGCTATTTTACGCTCGTATTCTATAGGAGCGTGGTACTTTCCCGGATGAGCCGACCCATTCGTGTTACAACTATACCGGTAATATAGCTGCACCATGGCTATACCACGTAAAAAATTATGTCTATACAAATAAATAAATTTGAAGTGTCTGTTTGTAATGTCAAAATAACAGTCTTTTTTAATTAAATGTATCCGTAAATAATACCGTAATTAATCACCTTACTTATATAACTTTTAAATAATTTTTTTAATTTTTGTCTGTCTGCCTGTCTGTCTGTTTGTTCCGGCTAATCTCCGAAACGACAGGATCGATTTTGACGGGATTTTCACTGAGAGATAGCTGTTAGATGTTATAAGGCTCAACTTAGGCTGGTGCTGCAAAATGCCACCTGGAGGCATTGGACTCAGTGGAGAGACGTGTTAAGAGGCTCATTGGTGACCTTGATTTGGTTGAAACCAATTTTGTCAGCCTCGAGCACAGGCGCAGAGTAGCCAGTCTCTCGGTATTCTATAGGATGCATTTCGGTGAGTGTGCGCAGGAATTACCCGCTTTAATTCCTCCCTCTCATTTCTACCATCTGACAACCAGGCGGTCAGCGGGTCTTCATCCCATTGTGTCGATATTCCACGCGTTAGAACCCAACGGTTTGCTTAGTCTTTTGTAATGCGTACAGCAAAGGAGTGGAATAATTTGCCGGCGTCTATCTTTCCGTTCGAATACAATCTGGGCGTCTTCAAGGCAAGAGTGAATAGGCTTTTGTTACGATAAGACAGTGTGATTTACCATCTTATGCTGCATCACCACTTACCACCAGGTGGGATTGTGGTCAGGCACTGCCTTATAAAAAGTAAAAAAAAATTATTTTAGTAAGAGAATTAGGGTTCCACACAAAAAAATTAAAACCCATGAAATCGAATCGTAACAAATTCCACGCGGGCGAAGTCGCATGGAACACCTAGTAGCAAATAAAGCAATAGGAAGCAGAGTAGGTACTGTATGTCTGAGTAGCGGGTCGTGATATCATGTATGGAACCGGTTGTAAAGACTTTTATGTAGCATACTAAGTAGCATTTAAAGACTTTTATGTTGTATTCAAAGAAGTCTTTGGTTGCAGTAGCTGGCGGTAACAACAATTTTATTTGTGCCGTCAGGGATCAAGCTCGATTTGCTCGTGTGCTGTAATTTTTTTTTAAATAAAAGAAAGAAAGAAAGTCACTTTGGCCTGTTATTGTATTTATATAAATTAATTTGACTTTTATTTCTATTAATTTTTAACAGTGGTAGAGCCACGCGGCAGCTTTTGCTGTCGCACGGATGGACCGGCTCGAACCGGGGTGGTAGCACGACCTCACAGAAAACCAGCGTGAAGTAGAGGTTTACCTCTGCGTTTCGCTTGGTAAGTTCAGGTGGCCGGAGGCCCTTTTTACTGGAAATGAGGCATCCCATCTTGGTCCTCACGGGTGACAACGCATCTACATTTTGATTTGTAACAGAGGATAGATGTAGATGCCTATGGGCCGCAGCAGCCACTTACCATCAGGTGGACTGTGTGCTCGTTTGTCACCCTTATACTATAAAAAAAAATATTATTAAAAAAAATATATCTTACCCAATAATACGCAAAATACTCGGCGAAGTGGTTCACGCTGCGTTCCACAAGATCACGAATTTGTCTGGACATCAAACCGTGAATGCAACTGTGAGGTAAAAAATAATGTTTTACGTAAATTGTCATGTGATGATGGCTGCGTTTAAGAATTCAAAGTTTCATTTCTCGTGATTAGGCTTGTTTGAAGTTGACTGCAACTGTCCATGTAATGCAGAAACCCGTTACCATGTGGACTGTGAGTTTGTCACTTATGTTTTATGAAATAAGGTTCTTCTTGAACTAACAAAGTAATAATGTTAAGTAGTAATGTTAATAATTATACCTTTATCAAAAAGTAAAAACCGACTTCAAATTGCTAAAAAAGAAGTTATTTATTTGCTACCCATAGGGGTAGAAACTTTTCTCCAAATTTATATGAGACCACCCTTGAAGTATAACATAATGTAATAAAATAAGAATCATTAAAATCGGTACTCAATCTGCGAAAATATATGAAATATTGAAATTTTACTTTAAGCAATAGAAGATTATGAAAATTTTCCTCTTATTTTCCACCCTTGAAGTCTTAATTTTTCTGCAAAATTTAATGCTTGAGGTAAAAAAAATTAAAAAAAAAGAATAATTAAAATTGGTTCACAATCTGCGAAGATATCACGTAACATACATACAAAAAAACATACACTCGAATTGAGAACCTCCTCCTTTTTGAAGTCGGTTGACAACTACCAAAAGAAGGATATCAACCGAACAATATGAATGGGTCGAATTGACCGGGAAAAGAACACAGTACTAGCGTAAATTAACTTATCATCATATCATTCACAAAAAAAAAACTGCATTATCTGTAATTCTAATGATTCACATTAGAGATAAGATAGATAAGACCCGGTTACCCCTTTACCAGTACCTAGTTTTTGAATTTATGAGAACGCATATATTTCATACGCATAGGTTTCTACGACAAAAGCAGTTACTTAATAATAACCCTAGAACCCTACACAGGGTGCTGGGGAAACCCAGGGAGGTTTGTATCTTAAATAATTCTGCTTATGCCTACACATTTGAGCTTTCGTGTATTTTAGTTTAGTGTCGCCCACTACTAATTAATTGAACTAGCGTCAAAAGTTGCGCTGTGTGGTGACACCTCCATGACACACCACGAATGACGTGGGGTACCTCAGCACCCCAGTGTACGAAAACCGTAAGTATTTTAATTTTTTTATGTATTACAGTTTTTCCCTTTTATTTAATGTATTAATTAATGAAGTTATTAAAAATATATGAAAATCATAATTAAAAGAGTTATTTTTGTAAAAGAAATGAACAACGGACATAAATGGAGATGGAGTGGTGAAAAACCGACTAGGCATCAAATTGTTCAACTAATTCAATTTTGCGTGTGATGGGCAATTATTTCAAGAGCAAATAATTAGCAGGAAAAAATTTTGACGCATATTTTAGAAAAAAAAAATGGATTTAGAGATTGTCAAGCAACAGTCGGAGCTAAGCTTTTAAAAACCAATTTAAAGGAAAGATATAAAATAGTCGATTACAGCTTTTCCTAAAGAAAAACTATGGCTAATCTACTATTTACTGGAAATGAGGCATTCCATCTTAGTCCTCACGGGTGACAACGGTTCTGCATATGTCTGATATAGATGTCTACGGGCCGCAGCAATCACTTACCATCAGGTGGACTGTGTGCTCGTTTGTCACCCTTATCCTATAAAAAAAATCATAGTACCGTTCCTGTACATTATACATAAGGTGTGCTATAACTTTTTGCCCAGGAATTAAGAATAGAAAAAGCAAGACGACGTACCATAAGCGTAAAATAACAATTTGTATGGAGCAATGGATGAAAGTCTGTGTAAATGCATATAACGTTTAGATTTTGAGACTGATTTGTAATCTCAAGTTACTACTATTTCATAATAAAGTAGTAGTTTCACTAATTGGTTTTTATTTTAAAAATACATACATTCTTGTATGGGGTACCTACCTCAGCACCCCTGTGTAGGAATAACAAGTACGTCGGATAGTGTAGGGTTCTAGGGTTAACTGTGCTCATTATTCATGCTTAATTGCATTAAAAATAATATTTTAATAAAAGTTAAAAATTAACAAAAGTAAAGGAAAGTGAATTTTTTTTACTTTTATTTTTAGAAGTCCGTACCTATTCATTTTTATTAAAAGTTTAATTACTTCTATTAACGACGAAGTACAAGATCAATGTCATCTAAATAATAACATTAAAAATTTCATTACTTCATACTTATAAAATAGTAACATTAAAATCAGTTCAGAATTTGGCGACAATATCGCGTAACATGCCCACAGAATAAAAAGAACACACTGCCGAATTGAGAACCTCTGCCTTTTTGTCGGCTAAAAATAACAATTATTCATCCATCCGTTCATTACAGGCTTTAATAACGACATAAAATAAATCTGAACATAGGCTTTCCCCATATACGCTATATTGGATATAGCAGGCCGGTTGACAACCGCTGTTTTTTATTATTTTGAATTCTTAACGGTTAGTCACCGCATTCTATTTTACCTTATGATGCCTCATTTAGAAGCGAAATACGCGTCGTACATTCGACGGTGGCGTGTGTTTCCTAATGAAATAGTGTTACGAGTGTGAGATTAGTGGTAATCGGGATAGTGCACGCTATTGAGGGAGGCGGGGCCTAAACTAGGTAAGAAGATGTTTAATATAATGGATTTCCGCAAAGTAACGCCTGATTATACTAATTACTTTGAATTTTTATCAGGAAGACGCTGCTGCTCATCTTTTTTTGCTTTTTTTCTTCTTTTTTCTTTCTTTTAGTAACACACTAGGATTTTCTCCTGTATCGTGGAGGCAGTTTACAAACACAAATTTCACAAGGACAAACATCCAGACCTGGAACAATTATTTTGTAGGCCATACAAATACTTGTTCCGTGCGGGATTCGAACCCGCGCCCCCCAGCGCAGCAACTCACTGCTAAGCCACTGCGCCACGGAGCCGTCCCACCTGTTTCAGTTTCCCTCTGACGCGACTTACGACACCCACGGGACGATATGAGGTAATGGATATTCTTACATAGCCACTACACAGTAAACAAGAGTATTATACATTTGGCTTTTACTGAGGCTACCTGAAGAACTTCTCCACTTCAAACGTAGATGCGTTCTTCTGCTTTCCCACGTATATCGACCAGTGCTTCCTCATTTTCACCATGGTGTCGGCGACGTCAATCAGCCAGTCATCCAACAGCTCGGTTTTAGTCGCCGCGCAAAGTTTCTGCAGGCGTTCGGTGAACTCTGATGGGTACTGGGGGAAAGGGAGGTCTTCCTGCATCTTCCGCATATCACATATGTACATATTTTCATATCTACAAAGGCAATACAAAAATCAATATTAGGACTTTTATCGCTTTAATTTTTAAGTTCTATTAATTTTCCTTCCGGACGTGACTAACTTTTACACGTAGTAGAGCTATGCTGCAGCTATATTATAGTTACTAGCTGTGCCCGCGGCGTAGCTCGCGTATACAGGTTTTACATAAAGAATTTGTCGTTTAGGTAAGAGAATATTAAACGATTTATTTCATTACTGTATCAATAAGTGGTAACAAAATAAATCATTATCATCAAAGTTCTAAGTCGTTTATGATAGAGCTTCTGTGTAAACGACGTTAGAAGTAGGCTTAGCCCGGGGTGTACACAAAAAGGTTACGGGGGCTACTAACGCGGGAAAAAGCAACATAGAGTTGGCCATGTGCAAAACAGTCAGTACTGAGGTACACTCCTACAACGCGTAAAGTTTGACCTTGCGCTTTATTTACGGTCATCGCATAACACACACTCACTGTAACTGGGAACTGAACGCGCTTAAAACTGAAAGGAAAGTTACTTCTTAATAGAGGGTTTTTGGGCAGTGCTACCAGATAAAAAAAAACTCATTCAGCTCTAGGACAACACAAAAAGCGCTAGATTTCATGAAAACAGCGCTTTAAAAAAGCCCTAGATTTCGCGCTAAATTAACTACAAACAAAGTTTGTGTATTTTTATATAATCATAATAAAGAAAACAACATTAAGTTTTTTTTCTGGCAATATTTTTTTGATGTATCAATACTTCGCAGGACATCGACTTATAATTATAGCAATTGCTGTCAACAGTAGTTAGTACTGTACGAACAATAAAAATGTCATTAATTGTTTTAATCTGTCAAGCCTTTGAAGTACACATGAGGCAACCCAAGGTCAACTTTGTAGAACGCTCCAAAGAGTATGGTAATATTTAGAAAGGACCCCTCAGAACCAAAGAGTATATGATCACTACACTACGTTTAGTCAGAACCATAGTTATTGTGCTCATAACAATTATTTTTTAAATGTTATTTAGATTTTATTAGAATTAGTTTCGTTATTAAATTACGCTTCTTTAAATTAACAGAATTTACTTCAAATGACGAGTTTCCGCCTCGCGTCGCGTTTACGTCACATACTTTAGTCTTATATCCTTCGCCGCGTGAGTGTAAGAGGCAACTAGAAATTTTACAAAAAATTAAGTGGGTACAATAGAAAGTTTTTTGTTAGTTTTTATACAAATGGTAAGTAATTACACTGTTTTAAAATTTAATTCCTTATATTTTGCTTCGTAACAATTTCATATATTTTATAAAATTGCCATTTCAAATACTGTGTCGTTCACGTATCACTATATTTAATAGCCAGAATTAACTGAAAAGTAAATAAAAAGTGTGAGTTATCACAATAAATCATGTAATAAACACAAATTTTCATATCCCACAAAGTCCAATGCGCGAAAATTACGTTTTATGTTATAATTTCGATATATAGTGAACATTATTGGCGAAGTTGTTTTCAACAATAACTAAAAATAAAAATGTGAATGTGAAGCACCAGCTTTCAAATAAAAAAAGAATCATCGAAATCAGTTCACCCAGAAGGTTATGAGGTAACACACATAAAAAAAACACAGTCGACTTCCTTCTCCTGTTTGAAGTCGTTAGAAAAATGGCGTTGCTCAAAGATAGCGTAATAAAGTATATACTTTATTACGCTATCTTACGGATGTACAAGTATATACCTGTGATTTAATTTTTTTTGAGGCTTCTACTGAGTTTATCGATATAATTATATTATATATTTCTTTTCTTTATGAAAATCAAGTGTTTCTATGTCCTTGTTTCTTTCTTCATAATATTTATTCGATTTTAACATATATATATATATGTATATATATTGAATTTTAACATAATATAGCGATTCGTTAGATTTGCCTTAGTTGTAAAAGTGAAATAATATTTACTTTTTTTTCTTTTCAGTAGAATTGTTTGGTTTTGTTATTTAATATTGTTTTAACCATTGAACTTGTTTACGCAACTTTTGTTTAATAAATTGTTTGATGCTGTTTGATGACTTTTTTACACATAATTGTTTACCACCGGCGGATTTTCCGGACCGATACGACTTAGGGACCTTCAAGAAAAGAGCTTACACCTTTCTAAACGGCCGGCAACGCATCTGCAATTCCCCTGGTGTTGCGGTTGTTCATGGGCGGCGGTAATCACTTACCATCAGGTGAGCCGCATGCTCGTTTGCCCCCTCTTCTATAAAAAAAAAATACAAAAATATTTTTTTAAATAATAAAATTAATCCCTCCCTCTCCTTACAGTTTCATTCCACTGCTGGTGATGGACCGTTACATCCTATAAAAACCCCCAATGAACATAGGCCTCCACTATATTCCTCATAGAGGGTATACTTGTCATAGTTGCCACGTTCTGTTCCACGGTACACGTACCTTGTTGTATTGAACAGTGGATCAGTCGCCTCTTACGAAACCCACGGAATAGTATGAATATTCATACACCGCCACTACACAGTAATTGATAATTTCTCGAAACATTTCATTTATCGACAAATCGTCTTGCAATCGTCGTCACTCTAGCGCTCACTTGACCTTCATATAAATAATTCGATATTTTAATTGTTGATAATTTTTTATTTTTGGATATGAGCATAGTAATGACTCTAAGTTATTTTTACCATTTTTTTAAAAAATCGTCTGGCCTGACCTACTATACTCTTTGGCTTGACCATAGTTCTAACTAAATTTGTCCAATAAAATGTCAAGGTCTGAGAGGTTAAAGTGCAATGTATTTCGCAACTTAGTTTCAGATGTCAGCATCTGATTGCGGTTGCTACACAGTTTCTTTGTGTTATAACTTCTAAGTAACTTTTAACTTAGCTGTGCTCTAAGCAACAGACTAAAACTGAATAAAGCAAAATAAATGCGTTGCCAAAACCATGAACGAAAACTTTAATAAAGGGATTTCCCCGCTTATAGTCGTCGGTAAAAAAATCAAGTTGATCATCCTAAAGGGGAAGCCAGGAGATCCATAGCACAGGGTATCCTAGTTTGGACTCGTCTCCCATGCTCTTTGTTTTGTGGAAAAAATATGTTTGAAAAAGATAAACTGCAATGTACTATTTGTGGGAAAAAATAATTAAGGTCATTATTATTATTATCGGTAATGTGGACTAACAGTGCTGCTATAAAATAGTTAATAACCCGCTAGTCGCTAAGATATTGAAATGTGTGCTAAATACACCAAAAAGCGCTGGATTAAGCGCTAGGTGCTAAAATTTCGAAATGCGCGCTATACATTCCAAAAAAGTGCTAAATCTAGTTCCCAAAGCGCTAAAATGGCAGTTCTGATTTTGCGTATATTATAAATACAATATCACGACATTTCGTTGCAAAATTTTTCTTTTTGGTCGGGTTCCGTTGTATTGCTTCGATGGATACAAATTTCTTCAGTAAGTCTCAATACGATTCATCGGCGAAAAATCTCAACATCTATTACGTCCTTTGTCTGAGAAAACATCCTATCTCTTTTTGTGTTTCAAGTATAAATATATTAATTATTATGGAACGTTTTTTTTACACAGAAATCTTTTTATTACTATTTCTGAGATTTTATGGCGCCATTGAACAAATTCGAACCTACATTTCAAAATAATAATCATTACTTTCGATAGAATGAACCAATTTTAATAAAACAATGATTAAATGTAACTCGAAGATACGCTTTATGATATTCTTAACGATTTCTTTGAAAATAAAAGATGTTTACGTTAGACGTGATGCGTTCATATAATAACAGACAAATAGACAGACAGACAATTCTAAAAATTATAAAATGTTCTTATTTAATTATTTTCAGTTCCCCATAATGACACAACATGTTATCATCATTTTTATTATATGTATATATTTAAAGAGAGATGGCGCTGCTAACATCATCAATTCTAAAAATAAAAGAGATTAATTGACGCGATTGATACATTATATAAAACGTAAGAGAACTTATAAATCAGTGCCTGCACAGTAAGCAAAAAATAAAGTTTGACTCTCGCCATAACCAATGCAATTGTTAATAGCTCTTTTAAAATTTGATTTACCACATAGAGTACTCGGCGGTAAAGAATAAATTGAGTTTGTCAACACGCAGTAGGGCAGCGAGTAAAATAATAAAGATTAGCAGTAAATATGAAAACTCATCTACAGGAAAAAACCACATTTGCAATTGCATTACATTTTCACAACACCACCATCTATCGAAGAAATGGGTTAACTATTGTGCTTCAGATTTAGTTAATAAGGTTAATATATTTTTTGTATAATATATTTAATACGTTCTTTATTACTTTTGTTTACTGCGTTTTAGATATACATAATTATATCATTATTTTACATAATTTAACTATGATTTATGATATGATATTAGTTTAAAATGCACTTGATGACTCAAACAAAGCCACCGTTGAACAAATTCGTACCTATACTTCCCTACCCATACTTCAGAATATTTATCATAACTTTTGATGGAATGAACTGATTTTAATGAAATAAAGACTAAATGTAACCCGAAGATACACTTTATAATTTCCTTAACAATTCTTATGATATAAATTAGTACTTTATACGTGATACGTTAACAAACAAACAGACAGACAGACAGACAGACAGAAAATTCTAAAAATGGTAGAAATGTATTTAATTACTTATTTTTAGTACCCCTCAATCACTTTTATTACAAAAATATAAAATGTACAGACATCTGCTATTTACAGTTTTATTATATGTATAGATTGCAGCTATATTATACAGCTATATTATATGCAGCTATATTATACAGAATAACAGCATAAAATAGTAGCTTAACGCTGCTGTGTTTCGTATGGTGAGTGTAGAGCACCGGAGACCCTTTTTACTAGAAACGAGGCATTCCATCTTAGTCCTCACGGGTGACATCGCATCTGCATTGTGATTCTTCATCGAGGATTGATGTAGATGTCTATGGGCCACGGTATCCACTTACCATCAGGTGCATATAGCAAAATATATTTTATTCTATTAAAAAAAACTTTTGAAATACTTTGCAGCAAAGAGGAACTAAGGTATTCAGCGTCCTGATGTCATGGTTAACTACTAGGGCTTTGACTGCATCGTTGATGTGTTCGCCGATCATGTGGTCCAGAGTTCGAATCGGGAATCGGGTTGAAATCGGTTAGATATTGGGTCTTTCTGTCGAGTAATTCTCAGTGGCAGCACGAAGTTAAGAAACTGGTGTTTCACCTCCATGTCTCAGGAAGCAAGTGAGCCGTTTGTTCTACGCCGTTACAACCAAAGAGAGATCTTTAGTTGTGACGAATTACCGTCCCATTGAATTATGAGAAGGAGGGTATAGAGACTGAACCAGTGCCACTACATGACAGATAGCTAATCTCCGTTGAGAATGGTCGCCTTGACAGAAATTCCGTCAGGAGTCTATTTCTTAACGAAACACGCGAAAACACGTTTTGACAATCACATACATAGAAATGGAAACATCTCGCAGATTGGACTCGTCGCCGGTTTGGGTATTATATATACTTTTGGCCGTTTGTTACGACACTCTCATGACGAAAAAAGGGTATTGGAGTCTCTTATTCCGCCACCAGACGCCATCATTTATATCTACCCACGAATAAATAATAAAATTATGCTCTGAAAATCTGAGCGGAAAGTGACAAAAGATAAGCAAATGTAGCAGCGACGCCGCGGGCTCACTCATATGACGTGGCACAAGCGCCGCGATGTGGCTCACCTGTCGTGCCACAAGGGGCGGGGCCTGGCTTATCCGTCGTGCTATAAGCAGCGCGAGCTCGCTAGCTGTGCGACAAGTGGTGCGGTGTCGCTCACCTGTCGTGCCACAGGCGGCGCAGGTGCAGCAGCACGGGGTTGGCGTGGCAGTGGCGGTGGCTGAGCGCGTGGCGCGCGCGCACGGCGGCCGCGTGCCACGGCGCCGGCGCGCGCACCACCAGCGCCGGCCACAGCGTAGGCACGTGTGAAATGCCCAGCCGCAGCCGCTCGCTGGGATCCTCCAGGATGTACGCTATGAGGCACCTGCGACACAAAACACTTCTATATTTACTACACAGACACTACAGTACTAACACATTGCGCAACAAATTACGATCAACTCTCCGTAACTGCTTTAGTAGACTGCGAATCTACGAGCATGATTAGTTCTTTGTTTTCTACCGACTTCAAAAAGGAGACTTGTACTCAATTCGACTGTATGAATTTTTATGTGTTACCTCATAACTTTTTACTGGGTGAACCGATTTCGATGATTCTTTTTTTATTTGAAAGCTGGTGCTTCACATGTAGTCCCAGATAAATTGATCAAGGTGTGATCAATAGGTTTTGAGTTATTCTTAATAATTTATATTGAAGTCGGTTGTACAAAATTTTTAATTTTAAATTATGTAAAACGCGGACGTTGTTTTCGAAAAACTGTCATCATTTATGTGTGTATTTTTTCAACGTGATTTGAAGTTTATTTCAAATAAGTATATAATCAAGCAAATAAGTATGCAACTTTATTTCGTATTTGCCCAAAAACATTAATTATTGTAAATGAAAATACAACTGTTTCCCTCTATCGCCTCTTGCGACATCTACTGGACGATATGGGATAGTGGACATTCTTACATCGCCACTACACGGTCAAACTGTGATACATCTAGTTATATCGAACATGACATGTTTTACAAGAATATGAAGTAGAAATCAACAGCCTTGGTCATAAAATCGAAGTCAACTTATGAAATGTTTAAAATTGTTGCTTCTTTCTTTTCTCTTTTCTTTATAGAAATAATTAATACGCAATTTTAATAAGATTATTTTAATAAGATTATTAGTAAACCTGCAAATTTCTAATAAAAATAAATTAAATTAAATTAACCATACTACTACCACACAGTCAGAAAGACAGTGTGTATCAAACTACAGACGTGTTGTCAACCCTGAGGACTGAGATGGAATACCTCGACAGTCGACACTAGTAAAATGCAAGAATCGCAACTTTTCCTTTACGAAACGGCATAAATAAGACGCTATTTCACGCTGATATTATATGCGAGCGTGATCCTCGTATTTCTGAGGTCCCCAAAGGTGTCAATGTTTTTTATAGAATAAGTGTGACAAACGAACACACAGTGCACCTGATGGTAAGTAGATGCTGTGGCCCATAGACATCTATACTTATCCATTATTAAGAATCGAAATGTAAATGCGTTGCCACCCCTGCGGACTAAGATGGATTGCCTCGATTTGTCCATGAATTGCAGTACTCACATACCGTCCCTGGACTGTGGACTCGTTCGTTACTTATTTTTTTGCACCCATCGAGTTGTAGTCATAATACAGCTCTGGCCTCCCCCAAGGAATGACAAAAAGCACTGTCCCGCGCCACCTACATCTATTGACTTCCTGGAAGTCTTATGATCTCGTCACTCCATCTTTTGGAGGGCCACCCAACACCTGTCACTGGACATACATCGCTAATCAGTGCGAGTATCAAATATCTCTTTATTTAACCAAAATTGAGATCTTAACAAGTAATCCGAGCACTCACTGCAAGACCGAGCTCACCTTTTCATTGCCGCCATAAAGGTTTCCCTTATTTCAGTCTCGCTTTGCCGCACGCACGCTTGGTATAAAAGTATCATAAGACGTTTCTTGATAGAGGCCGTCTGCTTGTCGACGGCGGTCTTAGCTCGCTGGTAAAGGTCTTGAGGGAATTCCGGTATGTGCCTATCGGTTAGCGACTGCAAAATTAAATATCATTGGAATAGCCCGCAACATAATATAATTTTTTATCGTCATGATCAATCTATCCTCTTCTGGACACAGACGTCTCCCGTTGTTGGGAGGGTTTATTTAGAGTTAAAATTTTGTGATATTTTTTATTTTCAAAATGTAGAATATTTGACGGAAGGACAGTTCTAATACCGCACAGAACAAGCATTTGTATGAATAGCTAATATTTGTTTGTAACGACTCCAAAGATTTAATAATTCCTTTATGGGGCAATGGTTTTTTTTATAGAATAAGGGTGACAAACGAACACACAGTCCACCTGCTGGTAAGTGGATGCTGTGGCCCATAGACATCTACATCTATACTCGATTAAGGTACAGATGTGTTGTCACCTCTGAGGACTAAGATGGAATGTCTCGTGTCTAGTAAAAAGGGTCTCCGGTTCTCTACACTCGCCATACGAAACACAGCAGTATTGAGCTGCTATTTTACGCTGGTGTTCTGTGAGAGCGTGGTCCTATTCTGTTCGAGCCGACCCATTCGTGCTACAACCACAATATAGCTACAGCATGGCTCTACCACGTAAAAAAGAATTCTTCTGCTAGACTTGTGTTTATTTCATTGCTCTGTATACTCGCATGTTATAGTATAATATCCACGCAAATCAGCTAGTATTTTTGGCCTTATGTAATCAATAATCATCGTTACATTCCATCAAAAGTCCATGTTAAACATAGGAGTTTTCCATACATTACTTCGTAGGATATTTGCCATAGATGCCATGCCATGCTTGACGGGCTATATTATGCTTGCCATGCAAACATAATATAGCTGCTTTTACAACAAAGTCCCAGAAAATATGCAGGATCTATCTATCAAAAAGTTTAAAATTATTATTATTTAAAAAAGGTTATTATACTACTAAACTGTACATAATTGACAATAACCCCTGGGTATGAGGTAATCGCTACCATGCTGCTTCTAAATGTTTTCATATTTAAATATAAGTACAACATATTATTTGCATCTTACTGTTCGAAAGTGTTGAGAGTGTGTCATTAGTGATAACGGGGATAGTGCACGTAATTGAGGGATGGGTTGTGCTCTTGTGTTCACAGCTAAAAAAAATTTTACATCTTTAATAAATGGCAATTCCCATTGACCCTGTTACGGTACCCACGGTATAAAAGGGGGTGATGAATTTTCTAACGCCACCACCACACGCTGATGACAAATACATACGTATGAAACCAAAAATTCGTTATTTTAAACTGAACGGTGCCGTAGTTAACTATGACATTGGGAAGTCGAACACCTCAGTCTCCCCGTGACCATAGGTGCTGTAAAGTGCTCGAAACGTCGGCAATATAAAATAAGTTAATATACGCGATAAAATCCGTAAAAAGATTAGTTGAATTAAACTAGTTTTTACCGATAATATATTTCAGGGTTTGCAGTTTTATACTCAACCGTGGTCATGTAATATTGTATCCTCTCCAATTCTTTAGGGTGCAAATATTTAAAATGCTCCTCCTCTGTAATCTTCAACATTTCGGCCTTTTGTTCGTCAGGATCACGTGGAAGTTCAAATGCCAATCTCGCTAAATGCCTTTTAACAAAAGATTTTAAATTAGGAACGAAGCAAACATAGAAACGACCATGTAAATATTTTCTTTTATAAAATACCATAGACAAATCTGATCGTAAGTGGCCACTGCAGTCCGTAGACAACTGCAAATAACTTCAAATAACCGGCGAACTGCGAGTCGAACTCGCGTATGAAGTGTTCCGTACCATCGTAATACACGTTTCTAGTAGGGGAGCCCCTTCTAATTTTTAATTTGTTTTAATTTTTATTATTAATATATTGCGGCAACCGAAATACATATTCTGTGTAAATTTCAACTGTCTATTGTATTACGGATCATGAGATACAGCCCACTGACAGACAGACCAGTTCTTTCTGATCGGCTCGATACACTGAGCTGCGTAGGGATGTTGCATCCCTTTGCATTTTCTATCGAATCTACCACGGGGAGTGCTCTGAGGAATTGTTCGGATTAATTCCAGCCGCCAAATTTCACGAACGCACACCGCGTCAAAATTCACGATACCATCCTCACCATCTGGATGCTTGGCGGTCCACGACTCTGCGTTTTACAAGGAGTTTTCTTCCTCGTACAACTTTCTGTGGAATTGTTTACCACCGGCGATTTTTCCGGACCGATACGACTTAGAAAACTTCAAGAAAAGAGCTTACACTTTTCTAAAAGGCCAGCAACCCACCTGCATTTCCCCTGCTGTTGCAGTTGTTCATGGGCGGCGGTAGTCACTTACCATCAGGTGAGCCGCATGCTCATTTGCCCCTGTTCTATAAAAAAAAGACGGACGGACAGCTTAGGCTTAGTAATAGGGTCCTGTTGGATACCCTTTGGGTACGGATCTCTAAAAAAGAAGGTTACAGATGCGTTGTCATCTCTAAAGACTAAAATTCAATGCCTTACATCCTGTAATTATACTGGCTCTCTGTTCCTTTCATACGTGAACACAATAGCGCAAGTACTACTATTTGACAGTACAAAAAGGTGGGGGGATGTGACCTACCCTACTTCTATGCAGAAAAAGAGTCCTACCACATAGTATTAATATAAAGTAAGGAGTTACAAATAGAAAAATTATTATCTAGACTATTTACACGAATTAATTCATCACTCTAAAAGGCACCAATATTTCTCTTAAAATAAGTTTTTTTTTTATAGGATAGGGTGACAAACGAGCACACAGTCCACCTGATGGTAAGTAGTTGCTGTGGCCCATAGACATCTACATCTATCCTCGTTTGCGAATTTAAATGTAGATGCGTTGTCACCCGTGAGGAATAAGATGGAATACCTCTTTTCCAGTAAAAAGGGTCTCCAGTACTCTACACTCACCATACAAAACACAGCAGTGTTGAGCTGCTATTTTACGCTGGTATACTGTGAGAGCGTGGTCCTTCCCTGGTCGAGCCGACGTATATAATTTTTCTACCACGTACAAAATTTTAAGTAAAAGTTTAAATATTAATAAAATAAAGGTCCCCTTATCATACCGTGCGTGTCGTAAGAAGCGACAGAGGGAAATATATCAGAAGATGGGCAGCAGCGTCTTCCTAATAATGACTAAAAATAAAACTGCGGTTGCTAACCGGCTTGCTAAGCGTGGCAACTATGGCAAATATCCCCCTATGAGGCCTATGTTCACCAGTGGTCTTTGATAGGCTGTAACGGTAACCATAAACTAGAGGTAGAAAATATATGTCATTAACGCAATTAACAAGGGTCAATGTACTTCTTCAATGCCTCCTGCGCCGCCATTTCTGCAGCTTCCTTCTCCTGACGCTTCTTCTCAACTCTTCTCCTTTTCGCTTCTGCTGCTGCCGCTTTCTTTCTTTCATACGCACCAGATACCAAGTCCTCTAACAATACATGGCCTGTGATAGAAGAAACCGGTTAGGTTTATTAATTCGTAGCCGTAAATTATTACGCCCACAATTTTATTAAATGTAGTATAACACTTAGGCATGTAATGTAAATATTTTTAAAGAATAAAGGTGACTAAAAGCACATAGGTGGTAAGTAAATCTGTGAGCCAATCAGGACCTTTTTCTACTCTCGTTTAAAAATCAAATTGTAGATGCGTTGTCATCCCTAAAGAATCCTAAAGACTAAGATATAAATGCTAGGTTAACAGAAAAACTTGTCTCCGGCTTTCTATTTTCACCATACGAAACACAGCAGCATTAAACTCTGGTATTCTGTGAGACCTTTCCCAGTCGTATCGACCCATTTGTATAAGAATTATATATCGCCGTGTAGGAGTGGTATATTTTTGAATGCCATCCATTAGTTTGAAAAAATCGTGAACACATTATTTATGTAGGTACACACGTAATTTCGTGGGTACCCACATAAATAACTGCCGAAATTTACCTTTATTATGTACCTATAAAAAAAGTAATTCAAAAGTTATATTTTAAACATTGATTATATGGGTTGGCACGCGCTGTGTCGACAGTTCACCTTCCACTACATCCCTTGACACCCTAAGTAATTTTGTTAAAATCAGTGTTTTCTTATCGAATTATTTCATAGGTAGCATGAAAAGAAATATCTTCTTATTTTGCTACCGCAAATCGTTTTTACAGTTTTCGCACTGCACATTTCCCCGTGGGAACTTAAAATTCAAATAAATACCGTCGATAGAAACAATTCTATTAGTGAATACCAGTTATTGGCTTCTTGTAATAAAACATGTTATTTAATACAAATTCAAATTAAAAAAAAATTCAATCAGCTGTTGGTTTTCCATGACATAAAAAATAAATGAAATAAAATAAATAAATAATAAATGCGCTTGACCTTTCGTGATTAATACCGTCGCCCTTGCCATTTCGAGACTGTTCATACTCGTGCTTACTGTTCATACTCGCTAACGCGCTTAATAGCCTGCTTATTAATATTCTAAGAATTCAATACTTAGTTAAATATTTACTACATGAAACAATATTTTATTAAATGTTCTTTAAAAATATTTAATAAAACCAAAATAAAGTTTATTCTTAGGTTAATCCTACCTTTGGGTAGCTTTTTCTTATCCTGCTCCTTTTTAAGAGCCTCTAACTTCTCTTTCTCTCTTTCAGCCCAAGGCTTTAGCGGTGGGAACTGCAGCTCGCCGTTAGGCCCAATAGGTCCGTATAGATCAGGTGGAGCGCGGCGCTTTGGTGGCATGTTGATGCCGCGGATCGTTTTAGTTGTCACCGAATAGCAATTTCCTAAATTAACGCAGAAAGTATATAATTATGTATATAAGGATATCCGTAACAGAATCAGAATAACCGACATAGCGTAACAGATCAGTAAGCTGAAGTGGCAATGGACCGGTCATATAGCTCGAAGAACCAATGACCGATGGGGAAGAAAGGTTCTCCGAAGATAGCCTCATTCCAGTAGTCGAAGTGAAAGGCGATCTCTTATAATAAATATTTATATTAACTTCTTATACTAAATGGCGTGACGACGTGATAAGACATGCAGGAAGTCGACGGATGCATACCAGATGGCTCAGTACCATGCTTCATGGCATTCCTTGAAAGAGCCCTATGTTTATCGGCTGTAATAATAATGACAAGTACACAACAACTCTTTTTATGGTAAACTTATTTACGTAACGATAATTAAATCTCGGCTACTCTCGTTATAAACAATTCCTTACAAAATTCATTACATCTAAACTATTAAATAATAATTAAAATAAAATGAGTGTTTATATTTATGTCACCTTTTTAAATATTATTTAAATAATAAAATATAAAACCTTTAATAAAATTTATTGCTAAATTAAAATGCTATTGAATTTGCATGGACCTCAGACCAATAAAGAACGTAAGATGGAGCGCTGCGACACTTAGATGTGATGTAAAAGTGATGTAAAAATTAAACTAATACCATGCTCGACTTACTGTAAGAACAAGCACTCACGTACCCATATACATCCAAAATCATTTGCAACCAATAACATGGTTATAGATGCATATGTGTAAATCCAGCTAAACTAAAGGCTGATAAAGAAAGAAATGAGAAAGATGTGTGCGTGAGTGCGTATCAGGAAGTTTAACATGGTTTCGGCCTCACATGAAATGTACGCAGCCTTCCGTATCTTTTTCTTTATTTGATCTAAGACATGGACATATTCAAAACGACACCAACAAAATGTATTGACAAAAATTTACAGGTTATATACATCCCACTGCTGGGCACAGGACACCTCTAATTTCAGAGAGGGTTTTAGGACAAGGAGTTAGCCGCCGCGCTGTCCCAATGCATTATGGCTTACTTCGCATATCTTCGAAACATTTTTTTTTAAGTTTTAAGTACAAGAGAATTTTAAGAATTTTTTGTTTCAGTAATATCTCGACTTGGACAGTACATTATAGTTTCACTACCACGTTCAACAAATGATTATTTATAAATAATAAATAATATGCCATACCTATAGAATCAGATGGTTTTGCATGGTCGAATCCATCTCTGTACGGCACTCCCTTCGTCCATGACTTGTGTAGCATGAGGGGAGGAAATTCACTACATCCTCCTTCACCTTCACCTGCATTTGTGTAATTTTTATCGTTATTTAAATGAATGAATATGTATACATATAGTAATAGGGTGCCTTTGCTGCCTAGCAGCTTCACCTCGAGCCTACTAGTGCACTCAATGCAGCATTATGGTTATGGTAAGACAGGGTATTCTATTAATTATAAGACATTCAATCTTAGTCTCCAAGAAGGTCAGTCATCAAGACAGTTTTGTACCTCACCGCTCGGCGTAATTTTCAATGTATGCGACCAATCTGAGTTTGGTCCCCGCCGGCACAAACAAAATTGTTAATTAATATTTACCTATAATCAAGAAGAACCAACAAACACATTGAAAATCTAGCGTGGCTTATAAAAAATAATTATAATAATATATAAATAATAATTATAATAATATATAATTAAGTACAAATCAAAGTTGATATATCTTCCAGGCAGCTACCTTATTCCGAAATCCCGAGAGCTATTATCATCCATGTATTCCTTAATAACGCTTTTTACACAATCTTCGTTTAATAGTTTATTTGAACTTGGTGTTTCGTTAATGGTCGTTTGAAAAATTCTTGTTCGGTATTAGATACTACTTTTTGAAAATAGAGTGAAACGCTCCGTTCATCCACCATGAAGGACATTCTGCCCAAGTCTGCCAGCAGCTGGTACGTAAAGCCGAAGATCCGAGCTTTTAAGTACAGCAGGGGACTTCCAAAATCTATATACGTAACACAAGGACGTGTTTTTATTATTTTTGTCGTGTGGTGATATCTTCCAGATAATAATTCAAAAAAATCTGCGCTTGCCAACCAGCAAGAATATCAACTATGTCAAATATCCCCTCTAAGAGGCAATCTATGGGGAAGGCTTATGCTCAACTGTGGACTGAAATGGGTGGAAGGATAGGGTGGATTTTTTTCTTAATGTGTTCTTTTCGTGCCAGATTGAGTTTCTCTGTTAGAGTAGCTTTGCTTTAAATTATACATTTATAAATTATATATCACTATAAAGTAAGTTAGTAAGTAAGTAAGGTAGGTAATTATATCTTACTATAAAGATCGTAACCGTAAATTGCGTGTTAGATGTCACCCTAATATCATCATCGTCGAAACAACATCATAGCACCTAAATATCAACTAAAAACTTGTTGGAACGAAGTTCCTTGCGTAGTATATTATTATTTATAAACGTAGGTATTATATTATTGATTAACAAATACAAATAAATGAATTACTAGCGTCTATTAAAATGAAACGTCATTTGAAATAAAATAATATTTCTTTCATGGCAAAATAAGAAAAAGTGCGAGGGAGATGGATATTATTCCATCTCACTTCCTTATTTCGCCGCCAAGGCCGTCTACACTATGACACAAGGGGTAGTGACGAAAAAATCTTACTCTTTTTGTCGCCTAGCTCCCATCCGCCTAACCAGTACCGTCCGATAAGGAACTTCGTTCCAATAAATATAATAAAATTTTTATGTAATAAATATAATAATGACATAATAAACCACTAGACGCTCGGCTGGTCTCCACCCCTTGTGGACATACCACGCATTTGAACCAAAAGTTCTGAACCAAAAGTTTGCCTTGTCGTTCATGATGTGTACAGCAAAGGAATGGAATAATTTGTCAACATCTATCTTTACGGTACCGTGTAGTGGCGGTGTAAGAACATCCACTACACCATATCTTCCCGTGGGTGTCGTAAGAGGCAACACACGGAAACTGATTTAAATTCAATTAACAGTTTTATTGGTGCCGGTGGGGATCGAACTCAGGTTGCTCGCGTACTGAATACAAAGAGGGTTTTAACAGTTGATTGACATTGCCGTCCTGATAAAAACTCCAAATAGGAAAAACTTAGGTTACCAACCCGCCTGCCAAGCGTGGCAACTATGGCAAAATTCCTCCTATGAAGAAACCTATGAGGGATGGCTAATCTGTCTTTCTATCTGATTATAATGTAGGTGTCTTCAAGGTAAAGTGAAATAGGCTTTAGTAAAGATGAGCCAGTGCGCATTACCATATTCGGCTGCAAAACCACTTACCATCAGGTGGGATAGTAGTCAAGCACTGGCCTATAATAATAAAAAGAAACTCTTGTCACCTTCCGGGTAATAGTTGCTTGCTGCTCTCAATAAAATGCTATCCCTGTCTAGCTCATGTGGCAGTCCAGCGCGCGCAAGTCGAGGCTGTGGAGGCGGCTTGTGAGCCGGCGCCGGCACAAACCGCGATTGGACCTTATCTCGCTTATTGAGCTGCAGAGACCGTTTTCGATCACCGCTCGCCATTTCTGTACTCATTTAAAAATATCAAGATAGCATAAATACAGGTAGCAAGATTACATCTTGCATCTTGTTATTATATTAATATGTATATATTATAGTATTATATTAGTATTGATTATTCATATTTTACAAGTAACTAGCTGACCAGGCAGACGTTGTTCTGGCCTTTCCGACGACCATTTGCTTTCCTAAAAAAACTCTTGAGATTAGCAATAAAAAAACTGATGGTCACTTATCGGGATAAAAACTTTCCTATCTTTCAAGTTGGACCAAACTGCACACAGTGTGCAAAATTTCATTGAAATCAGTTCTGTAGTTTTGGAGTTCTTCGCGGACAAACAATGTGACACGTAATTTTTATATATAGAGATTATCGAATATACTATTATTAAGTGGCGAAGCTTGCGAAGTCACTTATTGATTTCACGATGTCTGTCCGTCTGTCCATCTGTCCCACGATTATCTCGAGAACGGTTTCGAATTTTCAAATTCTATTTTCAGCAATCGATTACTGATCACCCAGGCATCTGAACCTCCTATTTTTAAACTGATTGCTCAACGGCAACCGTTAGAAATCGCTACAAAGCTGATTGCTTCGCCACTTTGCTATGCTGTTAGCTTGCTAGGTTTATTTAATATAATACCTACTAGTAATTCGCCCGGATGATTTCTGGATCTCGAAAACAGTGCCACATTTTGTCCAATTGTGAATATAAACCATCCAGGGTCCAGACATTTTCGAATTTTTACGCAACTAACTGACAGCAATTGATTACGTATAATATTTACGTGTTACTCGTAGTAGTAAACCCCTTTTTTAATATCGTTTATGAGTCTACTCGAAGAAGTTCTATTAAATTATGGAATAAGTAGAACCTTTGTACGAACTCACTATATGACTCTTTCTACTTGTGGTGTGTGCATAAATAAATAAAATATATAAAGAGCCTTGACTGATAACAGGTAAATGCCGTATTGTGAAGGCGTAAGAGACTGTGGTAGAGTCATGCTGCAGCTATATTAGTAGTATAATTTTGGCACGAATGGATCGGCTCGACCGGGAAAGGACCACGCTCTCACAGAATACCAGCGTAAAATAGTAGTTTAACATTACTGTGTTTCGAATGGTGAGTGTAGAGAACCGGAGACTCTTTTTACTGGAAAAGAGGCATTCCATCTTAGTCCTCACGGGTGCTAACGCATGTGCATTTTGATTATTTATTGAGGATGGATGTAGATGTCCATGGGTCACAGCATCCACTTACCATCAGGTGGACTCTGTGCTCGTTTGTCACGCTATCCTATTAAAAAAAAACCAACACCTCGTCTCGTCCTGTGGGTGTAGTAAGAAGCAACTGTCCAACCGTTGCCAATAAAATCTCATGGCTTTCGATAAATGGCGATATACCATATCGTTTACGCCAGACTTAGAATTGCTAAGCGTGACAAATAACAAATAAGGCAAATCCTTTCCACACAGAAAGAGGCCCGCGTTCAGCATTGTACTTCTACTTACTGGTGCGTGTAAGAATAAGTATTAAGGTGGTGGTAAGGATAAATATTATCATGTAATTGAAGCCGACGTAGTGGCGGCGAAACCGCAGCATCGTCTTCATTACAATTAAAAATAATAAAAACTGCGGTTGCCAACCCGCCTGCCAAGCATGGCAAATATAGTAAATAGTACCTCTACGACATAATCCATGAGGAGGCCTACATAATTGGACTTTTAGTAGGCTTTGATGATGAAGCAAATGGTTTAAGACATGAACTGCGAAATTTAAATAGTCGTGTGTTCAAATCCGCCAGTCGACTACTGCCATAAACTAATCCTTTTGTTTCAAGTAATTTTGATAACCTGGGCTTGCAACTAATTATTGTTCATTTGTGGCGCTGGGGACTGCAGGTTTAAATCCCGCATACGAGTTAAACGAGTGTTTGTAAGTATTACATACAACTCATCTGGTTGTAGTTGTTCATGGGCGGCGGTCGATAAGCCATCAGGTGTGCCGCATGCTCGTTTGATAAAAAAGTATTATAGTTTTCACAGACCACCTGGAAGTGGATGCTGCGGCCCGTAGATAACTACACCTATCCTCGATTATGAATCAAAATGCTGATGCGTTATCATCACCCCTGAGGTCAGATGGAATGCCTCGTTATCCGCTTAGAAGGGTCTCCGGTTCTCTAGACTCATCATACGGAACAGTCGCATTAAGCTGCAATTTTACGCTGGTATTCTGCGAGAGCGTGGTCCGTTCTCGCTCGAGTCGGCCCATTCGTGATGCAGCCATAATATAGCTGCAGCATGGCTCTGCTAGTTAAACAAAAACATTCTGCACCCGAAATCGAATACAGGTTAAGCGACTCAGTAGGTATGTTGACCATTTCTTGCGCTAAACACAGGCAATAATCAGTCGCCTTATGCTTGTCACTTAACAATTGACTCGTCGGATATAAGATATAAAAACTACTTTAATATTTACGCTGAGACTAGAAAACTTGTAGTATCATATTATCATCATCATCATCATTACAGCCTCTCACAAGTTTTCTGCTGCTCCCCCTAGGAATGCCACAAAGAAAGTTCCTTAACCACTTGCATCATACAGTGGTGGTCGCCCTATACTTCGTTTACCGGTACGAGTTTGCCACTCAAGAACCTGTCTTCTTCAACAGTTGTCGGTTCAGCTTACTGATCCATAGTATCATGACATCATATATAATATACAATTATAATATCATATCACATAGTAATAACTCACCAGAAACTCAACGTATTAAAAATAATACTTTGTCATTTTGTTCCTCACTTTACCAACAATAACAATGACATTAACGACGCATTTCCATGGCAACCACTTGGCAACCATCGATAATTTATTAGATACCAAAAAGAATGTAATCACTATGCTTAGATAATCACATTGATTATCGAATTTCGGTCACGGGGGTCAGTTTTAAGCTTTCAAGCTATCTGCACGGGGCAGTATCATATTTTTTTTTTGTTTTGAGATGTTAGTGCTGTTATCCTTTGGCTTTTATAACTTTATCTAACTCGGGGCTGCCAAGTAAGGCTGCGAGCTAAGGTCGAGAGCTATGTAAGGCCGCGAGGCACGAATGCGTACGCAAGCACAGGTGCACTCTCTATTACCTCACTTTCATAATTCGATGGTACGCCAATTCGACACGGTCGGAGAGAGATAAGGCGCAGAGCAAACTGCATTACGTACTTTCCGAGGCATCAACTTCTTGCCTTTGGGCTGCTACTGAGAATGTCTTGACAGAAAATCCAATAACTGAGTTTAACTCGACCCGAAATTTTAACCCAGGACCTCCAGCATTCACGCTTATGACCACTAAACCAAAGAGGTATTCATGTTTGGAATAAATACTCTTTGGCCCTAAAGTTAAAGACTAAACACTTTATATGCATCGGTCCTAGCCGCAGTGCTTCGTAGAATTATTTTTATGTGCCATTTTATTTACCAGAGACCCGTGGTAAAACGCTCGTTGTAGTTGTAGCTCATTACGCTAGCAACCTGAGTTCGATTCCCGCCGGCACCAATAAGTGTTAATTGCGATTTAACTACTAACTTACCACTTACCCTGCGGTGAAGGAAAACATCGTGATCCCACACATGTAAGTCTGAGGAATAAAGATATTTCGAAGATATGTTGTGAAGTCCTCCAACGCGCACTGGAGCACCTACTGGACTAATTATGGAGTAATCCCTATCAGAGCTGTGGTCTGGGATGACTGGATGTATATAGTGTGTACATTGCCGGATTATACAGGGTTATTTTGTAATAACCGGCCAAATTTTCAGAGAAGGTTCAGAATAAGTAATATAGGCAAATGGTGAAGAAAAATTAATTAAAAAAATCTCAAACACACTGCCTTTTATCTTTCAAATTCAAAATGCGTGGTAATGCACTATTTTAACTGATTTTACTGCGCACGCAGTCGTAGGCAAAAACGTAGTAAATTGAGTTGCACACAGAGAAGCGCGCATACGCGTAGTTGTTGCTCATAAATCACATTCAATTTGGGATTATTTTAAATATTCTCTAATAATAATTTCTCTAAAAATAATAGGCCTAATAATGTCCACAAAGCACGGTCCTGAATCCTGATCCACCTGCACCTGAGTACTTTATGATCGGCTCTATTCACTGGCGCTGCAAAGAGTAGTTGCATCCCTTTTTTGAATTTTCTATCGCATTTACCTGTGCTCTGAGGACTATTTTCCAGATTGTATTCGGATTAATTCCAGCCGCCAAATTTCACCAACACACATCGAGACAAAACTCTCGATACCTTCCACACCATCTGTTATCTACATCTGTTATACGTGGTAGAGCCATGCTGCAGCTATATTTTTGGTATAGATGTAACACGAATGAGTCGGCTCGACCGGAGAAGGACCACGCTCTCACAGAATACCAGTGTAAAATAGCAGCTTAATGCTGCTGTGTTTCGTATGGTGAGTGAAGAGAACCGGAGACCCTTTTTACTGAAAACGAGACATTCCATCTTAGTCCTCACGGGTGACAACGCATCTGCATTTTGATTCGTAATCGAGGATAAATGTAGATGTCTATGGGCTACAGCAACCACTTACCATCAGGTGGACTGTGTGCTCGTTTGTCACCCTTATCCTATAAAAAAAATCTGGATGCTGGGCGGTCAAACACTGTATGTGTTTAACACCAGCGATTTTTCCGGACCGATACGACATTTTTAAATGGCCGACAACGCACCTGCAATTCCTCTGGTGTTGCAGCGGCGACACTTACCATCAGGTGAGCCGCATGCTCGTTTGACCCCTCTTCTATAAAAAAAAAACCTGCATCCATCGACTTCCTGCATATATTACCAGGTCGTCATTCCATCTAGTAGTGGGCCGTCCAACGCATCGCTTACCAGTACGGAACTGCCACTCGAAAACCATTCTTCCCCATCGGTTGTTGGTTCTGCGAGCTTTACGACCGGCCTATTG